TGAAGTGTCTCAAGAACTTTAAGGGACATCTGGTGGTTGTGGTGTTGCAATTAAAAACAACATCTAAGATGTGACCAAATCAAGGAGAGAAGCAACCTAGAACTCAGGAGAAACTTCCTGACAGTTAGAACAATTAACCAGTGGAACAACCTGCCTCCAGAAGTGGTGAATGCTCCAACACTGGAAGTTTTTAAGAAGAGACTGGACAGCCATCTGTGCAGAATGGTATAGGCGTTCCTGCCTGAGCAGGGGGTTGGACTAGATGACTTCCAAGGTCCCTTCCAACTTTTTATTATTATTATTATGGATCATCGCACAGTCAGCCAGATGTTCAGACTGGATTTGGCATTTTGTCTACCTATCAAGTCATTATTATTATTATTATTATTATTATTATTATTATTATTATTATTATTATCATCATCATCATCATCATCATCATCATCAGTGCAAGGTGCCGGAACTCACACACGTCATACAACCCGCCTTGCCTACCCTACAAGGTTCCATCTAAAAAAGGTGCCGCAACTCCGTTCTGGGCATTCTATGAGAAAAAAAGCCCTGATTATTATTATTTATGTGACCAAAGCTACAACCCTTTTAATAATTCACGTAAAAAATGGCAGGGCCTTAATTGCTCAGGTGTGGCCACATGCTGACTTTTTTGACCCTATCTCCATTGACATTCCATCTTGTATGTCACATATTCTCTTTGGTTTGGTTTCTAGATGTTCCATTTCTGTTTTTCCCCTCTCGTTATCTCTTCCCATCTGACACCTCTCTTCTTCATTGTTCTAGTAGTCTTTGAAGATTTTAAATATGAATAGTTTACAACTGCCTTCATTCAGAATATAGAATAACAGAACTGGAAGGGACCTTGGAGGTCTTCTAATCTGACCCCCTGCTTAAATAGGGGGCCCTGTACTATTCTGGACAAATGGATGTCCAATCTCCTCTTAAAAACTTCTAGTGATGGAGCACCCACAACATCTGAAGGGGCTGCCACAAAGAGGAGAGGGGTCAACTTATTTTTCAAAGCCCCAGAAGTCAAGAGAAGAAACAATGGATGGAAACTACTCAAGGAGAGAAGCCACCTGGAATTAGGGAGAAACTTCCTAACAGTGAGGACAATTAATCAGTGGAACAGCTTTGTCTTCAGAGGTTGTGGGTGGGTGCTTCATCACTGGAGGTTTTTAAGAAGAGACTGGACAGCCGCCTGCCTGAAATGGTATAGGGCAGTGGTTCTCAACCTTTTTAATGCCGCGACCCCCAATCGGTCATAAGTCGAGGACTACTCAACTGGTGCAGCACCGTTTGCAGAATGGGACTTTTGGTGGGCTCAGCAGGGCAGAGACAGCCTGGACAATTCCTATTGGCTTTTGAAGCCAATAGAATTAGACTCTATTCAAGAGAGTCTATTCTATTGGCTTTCAAAAGCCAATAGAATAAAAGGGAGTAGCACAGCTAAGGAAAAGGGGGGGAAAATGGCAGACTGCGTTGTTTGGCAACCCCCGTGAAATGGTCGTTCGACCCCAAATGGGGTCCCAACCCACAGGTTGAGAACCACTGGTATAGGGTCTCCTGCTTGAGCAGGGGGCTGGACTAGACCACCTCCGTGTCCCTTCCAGCTCTATTCTGATTAAGATGTTAACCAACTCATTTTATATCTCTTCCTCACACACACTGGCCCCAACAGAGATTCTGACTCTAAGTCAGACTTTTCATAAATATCACCCTTATCTCTAACCTGAAGTGGTGCTCTCCAGAATTTAGTCTGTGGCAGAACCGAAATCTTATGGACCTATAAAATGAACATCCCTTGTAGGCATCTCATGGGAACTGGTAAAATGATGAAACTCTGGGCATTTGTTGCAAATCACTGCATCCCAATGAACATTTCCCCATTCGTCTCCCTGGTTATGATCTACCTTCTCTCATCTCTTCCCGCGAAATAAACTGTAATACTGAGATTAACTTCAAATTGGGCAATTCTTAGATCCTGGCAAGGACTCAAGGGTGGCAGTGACCTGAAAGATTCGTGTACTTGAATAATGATTTATCCAATCTCAGCTCATTGCGATGTTTCCTAATATTCTCAGGGCAATAGTTTTGAAATGCCCTCCTCCCCAGTACTGAGATATTATTCTGACTCGGGAGAAACTGTAATACCAAAAATGTGAACAGTTATGTCATTACCGTGTCATTACAGGTAGTCCTCAGCTGAGCCCAAATTTTTTGTTGCTGAGACAGTTGTTAAGTGAGTTTTGCCTCATTTTACGACCTTTCTGGCCACAGTTGCTAAGGGAATCGCTGCAATTGCTAAGTTAGTGACACAGCTGGTAAGTGAACCTGGCTTCCCCCTTAATTTGGCTTGTCAGAAGGTCGCAAAAGGGGATCACATGACCTTGGGACACAGCACCGTCATAAATATGAATCAATTGCCAAGCATCCGATTTTTGATCACGCGACCCTGGGGATGCTGCAACGGTCACACGTGTGGAAAAGGGTCATAAGTCCCCTTTTTCAATGCGGTTGTAACTTTGAACAGTCACTAAATGAATACGTTGAGGACCACCTGTGTATGCAGAGGAGACCATATGCCTGTGTGCTTGCATAGAGACACAGACATGGATTACCAGATAGTGCGTCGTTTGGTTCTCTCTTTCCCCCCCTTACATTTATTATTATTATTATTATTATTATTATTATTATTATTATTATTATTATTATTATTAACAACAACATATTGGAAGACGGCTATCATGTCCCCCCTCGTCCTTCTCTTCATTAGACTAGACATACCCAATTCCAGCAGCCGTTCCTTATATGCTTTAGCCTCCAGTCCCCTAATCATCTTTGTTGCTCTTCTATGTACTCTTTCTAGAGTGTCAACATCTTTTTTACATCATGGTGACCAAAACTGGATGCAGTATTCCAAGTGTGGCTTTACCAAGGCATTGTAAAATGGTATTAAGACTTCGCGTGATCTTGATTCTATCCCTCTGTTAATGCAGCCCAGCACTGTGTTGGCTTTTTTGGCAGCTGCAGCACACTGCTGGCCCATATTTAAATGATTGTCCACTAGGACTCCGAGATCCCTCTCACAGTTACTACTACTGAGCAAGGTACCCCCTATACTATACCTGTACAATTGGTTTTTCTTGCCTAAATGTAGAACCTTACTTTTTTCACCACTGAATTTCATTTTGTTAGATAGCGCCCAGTGTTCAAGTCTGTCCAGATCCTCATGTATCCTAAGCCTGTCTTCTGGAGTGTTGGCTATTCCTGCCAGCTTGGTGTCGTCTGCAAATTTGATGAGTTCCCCATCTATCCCCTCATCCAAATCGTTGATGAAGATGTTGAAGAGCACTGGGCCCAGAACAGAGCTCTGGGGCACCCCACTACACACTTCCCTCCATGTAGATGCGATTCCATTGAGGACCACAAGCTACGGATATTGGGAGCTATTGTGTGTAATACAGGTAGTCCTTGATTTACAGCAGTACATTTAGTGACCATTCGAAGTTACAACGGCACTGAAAAAAGTGACTTATGACCTTTTTTCATACTTATGACCTTTGCATCCTCCTCATGATCACTTTATCAAAATTCAAACGTTTGGCTACTGACTCATATTTATGATGGTTGCAGTGCTCCAGGGTCACATGATCTCCTTTTGCAAATCTCTGACAGGCAAAGTCAATAGGGAAGCCAGTTTCACTTAACAACTATGTTGCTAATTTAACAACTGCAGTGATTCACTTAACAATTGTAGTCACAAAGATCATAAAACCCAGTTAACTAATGTCTCACTTTACAACAGAAATTTTGGGCTCAAAATTGTTTAGACTGTCAATTGTGTGACCTTCTTACGCTACTGGAATATGAATTTCAAATTGTCCTATTTCTTCCTGGGCTGTAATGTATACATTGTGAAAGGAACTTCTAGGTTTATAGTTAAGGCACTTGAGCTTTGAATCCATTATATAGAACAGATTAAGGGTTCCTGTATCTCAATGCTGGTTCTTCTAAAATCATTACAGATAGTCCTCAGCTTACAACACTTCACTTAGTGCCCGTTCAAAGCTACAATGGCGTTAAAAAAAACCTGACCTATGAAGGTTTTCACGCTTACAATCGTTGCAGCATCCCCATGGTTACATGATGAAAATTCAAACACTTGTCAAATGATTCAAATTTATGACGGTTGCAGTGTCCCATGGTCCTGTGATCTCCTTTTGTGATCTTCTGACAAGCAAACTCAAAGGGGAAGTCGGATTCATTTAGCAATCGTGTTACTTAACAATCACAGTTATTCAGTTAACAACCAGAGAAAGGTCATGAAATGGGGCAAAATTCACTTAACAACGGTCTTGCTCAGCAACAGAAAGTTTGGGCTCAATTGTGGTTGTAAGTCAAGGACTACCTGTACTGTATTTTCTTTTATCTGAATTAGATGCTACATTTTATTTTTATTTTATCTTTTGATACTGTCATAAGACTAGTACATTAATAAACTACTATTATAACCTGCAGAGGGCTCAAGGCGCCCTCTGGGAAGATTCGGTGCTGCTACTTCAGGGCGGCCAGCAGGGGGCAGCCTTCTTGCCATTGCCAAGTTGTCTCTGCCAACTCAGTGCTGCCATTTCTTTGCAGGACATCTCAACACTGGAAAGTTGCTGCCAGGATAATGAGAACCGGACAAGCGAGCGGGCTGCCAGCGGGTAGTGGTGAGTCGTTGTAGACTGGGCTCAAGGCCCCAGTTGCAGTCACCATCTTGGTTTTTTGGAAACACCCCCCCCCCTTGCAGACGCTTCTGTGTAGAAACTAAGCCCAACCATCCCAACATAGGAGCTAAGCAAAGGATAACACATATCACATTTATTTATTTTTTTTGTCTATACAGTTACATTGGATAGCCATTGTTAACATAGAACAGGGATCTTCCAACTTGGCCCTTTTAGGACTCATGGACTTCAACTCCCAGAATTCCTCAGCCAGAGTGCCTGGCTGAGGAATTCTGGGAGTTGAAGTCCATGAGTCCTAAAAGGGCTGAGTTGGAAGACCCCTGACATAGAATTTACTTGGCAAGATTTGAAGGGAATGACTTCTATGTACAGAGAGGATCTGAGTGGGAAGAACAAATCTAGAGGAAATCTAGTCCCTCATCGGCCAGCTTTTCTTTGAGCCAAGGAATAACTTTGAAGAGGTTGAAGTGATAATCCCTGGCAAAGGAGGGACTACGCCTCTGGAATTTTTCGGGTTCCTCACATGACGCAATATTGTGACTGCAGACATCAACCACACCCCAACTAATCACGCCAACCTATAGAAGAAAAGAGATATCCAATGAGAAATCCAATCCTGGAATCTGACCGCATGTCACATGTTCCGACTAATGAAGCACTTCAAAGAACTTTCAGGCATGTTTCCTAAAGTCTTTATTTGCAGAGCTACAAATTTTGCCGGTCACCATGTTGGACTGGTTATGCCAGAATCTGAACTTCCTGTCGCTGGCATCAAGCTTTCCTTGCTCAACCCCTCCCTTCTCATGCAGTCACAGGTCACATTATCCAATTAGTGAGAAGGTTAAAAGTTTACTTCCTCTTTCTTTCCCGGGCTCCCCCCCCCCCCCGCCCATTCTAAGCTAAGTATTAACCCAATAAATGCCAGACAGTTTTGCATATTGTCAAAGCAAGAATATACAGTATTTGCAGCATTGACACCGCTTTTGTTGAAGGAAAACCAACATCAGACAAAGAAGAAGAAAAAACAACCCCTCTCTTATGTGACTTTGCTTTATGAAATTATGGCTGCGAATGGACATTCCGTCTGAAGATAATTTTTGGAACTGGGGGACACACGGCCAACTTACACATAGCACAAAGATAATATCATCTGTGGAGATTCTCATTCATTTCCGTCACGGTTGCCCTGAAGGTGCTTTCTCAAGAGGGCCACTGGATTTTCTTGTTTTTTTTTCCCCTTGAAGACGTTTTCACTTCTCATCCTCGAAGCTTCTTCAGTTCGCTTCTCATCCAAGAACTGAAGAAGCTTCTTAGAGGAGAAGCAAAATGCGTTCCAGGTAAAAGAAAGAAAGTCCACTTGCCTCTTGGAACAGAAAGGTAATAAGAATTTCATCCCGGCCATGATCTGAAGCCGACAACACACACACATACACACTCACTGTGTAGTCTAGCAGTTTTGGTGAACTAACCACTCACCTGAATATAACGCAATTTTTTCTGAACAATGAGAGGACCACCAGAATCTCCTGCAAGCCAAAAGGAAAAGGGATTTAGTCAAGCGACTGAGTTGGGTACAGAGAAATCAGATCTATAACTCACACAGGAATCCAACTCATGGGAGAATTTCAGACGGCTATCAACATGTAACCAAATGTAAACATGATTCAGTGATGTGAAAACTAGAGGAGGAGGATGCATTAGAGAGGGGTTGGGAACTACCCGCATGGTCCCTTTATGACCTGTGGACTTCAACTTCAGCTCCCAGAATTCCTGAGCCAGCAGGAATTTATGAAGCTGCATAAAGCAGTGGTTCTCAACCTGTGGGTCGGGACCTCATTTGGGGTCGAACGACCATTTCACGGTGGTCGCCAAACAACGCAGTCCACCATTTTTTCCCCCTTTTCCTTAGCTGTGCTACTCCCTTTTATTCTATTGGCTTTTGAAAGCCAATAGAATAGACTCACTTGAATAGAGTCTAATTCTATTGGCTTTCAAAAGCCAATAGGAATTGTCCAGGCTGTCTCTGCCCTGCTGAGCCCACCGAAAGTCCCATTCTGCAAACGGTGCTGCACCAGTTGAGTAGTCCTCGACTTACGACCGGTTGAGTAGTCCTTGACTTACAACCGGTTGGGGGTGGCGGCATTAAAAAGGTTGAGAACCACTGGCATAAAGCAACTCAATAAAATTGCATGAAGCAACTCAATCAGAATTTTCTGGGACTTCTCAGTTTCATTATAATTTCTGAAGTTCTACTAGAAACAGTTTTCTCCAGATTTTCCTTAAAAAAAAAAAAAAAAAACCCAGATCAGGGGTGTCAAACTGCCGGCCCACAGGCCGGATGCGTCATGAGGAAACAGTGCCCACCCCGTTGCCGGCAATGGGGAAAAAGCTCCAATATGTTGTGTGAGGTCACATGACGTTGCGAGTTTGACATGTCTGCCCTATATGATTATATGAATGTATTTGTCTATATCAGTGTTTCTCAACCTTGTCAACTTTAAGATGGGTGGATTTCAACTCCCAGAATTCCACAGTCAATCACACTGGGGAGGAATGCTGGCTGGGGAATTCTGGGAGTTGAAGTCTACTCAAATTGAAATTGACGAGGCTGAGAAATGCTAATCTACATGATGTCAAGAATCACCTATAACCTCTTACCATGAAAAGACTCTGTATATAGAAATATGTCTCCAATAATTCTCCCAAATTATGAGATGGTTCACCTAGATCAGTGGTTCTCAACCTTTTTAATGCTGCGACCCCCAACCGATCGTAAGTCGAGGACTACTCAACCGGTCGTAAGTCGAGGATTACTCAACTGGTGCAGCGCTGTTTGCAGAATGGGACTTTTGGAGGGCTCAGCAGGGCAGAGACAGCCTGGACAATTCCTATTGGCTTTTGAAAACCAATAGAATTAGACTCTATTCAAGAGAGTCTATTCTATTGGCTTTCAAAAGCCAATAGAATAAAAGGGAGTAGCACAGCTAAGGAAAAGGGGGGGAAAATGGCGGACTGCGTTGTTTGATGACCCCCGTGAAATGGTCGTTCGACCCCAAATGGGGTCCCGACCCACAGGTTGAGAACCACTGACCTAGATATTATAATCCAGTGGTGGCGAACCTATGGCATGGGTGCCAGAGGCGGCACTCAGAGCCCTCTCTGTGGGCACGTGCGCCGTCACCCCAGTCCTGGGCCTTCAGCTGGTTTTTATAAAACCTTTTCGCTTTAGGCCTCCACCGCTGTGTGCAAAAAAAAAAAAAAAGTTCAATCAGTCAATTTCAACTTCTTGTGGGAAAAAAAAAGATCTTGCAAAGTTGGAATTGATTGATTGAATATTTTAATCCCATTCAGTCTGCCGTTACCACCACAGCTATGCCCACCCAATGGGCCACACCCACCCAATGGGCCACATCCACCCAGCACTCGGCAATGCATAAGTGGGTTTTGGGTTGCAGTTTGGGCACTCAGTCTCTAAAAGGTTTGCCATCACTGGTATAGGTAAAGGTTTCTTCTGTTCAGTCATGTCCAGCTCTAGGCACAGTGCTCATCTCTGTTTCTTAGGCAAGGGAGTCAGCATTATCCGAAGACAATGTCGCCATTGTCTGTATGCTGAAGCACACAGAACGCTGTTACCTGTCCATGGAATTATCCTGTCACACAGCACTCAGGTCTTGAACCTGGGCCTGTCAGCTTTCCAGCTGACAAACTTAGCGTGTTTAACCATCACGTCCCCATTTTCCAAAGGGTGTAGGTGGGGTGTAGTTATATTAATGAACTGTTGCATTTACACTGAAAGACCGTGAAATATAGGGCTTCCTGTCTGAGCAGGGAGTTGTATCAGAAGACTCCAAGGTCCCTTCCACTCTGTCATTCTGTTATTTCTGTTACACAGTGCATTCAGAGTGAAATATATTAATACCTGCTGTTGTGTACTTATGTGAATGTTACTGTTGAAAAGTCCAATTTTCTGTTCCCAGGTGCCTCTCCATTATAACTTCAGCCCAGAGCCAAAAGGAGCAGAAGGGCAGATCCTTGCAAACAAAGTAGCTCCTTGCCTTTATATTCTTAAACATCTTTAATAAATAATTCCCTTTCTTCCTGCTAATGCTGTTCTACTATGACTTGCAAGATCAGCTGCCATGAAGCTTTGGAGGTCACTTGGTTTCGAGAGGCCTAAAGAGATAAGAAACTCAGGAAACAGCAGAGAGCATCCCTCCTCCTCACCTTTGCATGTATTGGGGTCCAGCACAGGGTCCTGTCCCCCAGTGCAGAGAAAGTTATCAGTCACTACTTCTTTGATATTGGTAATGTTTTTGTAGAATTTGGCATTCCTAGCATCTTGTTCACAAGCTATTTTCTGGAAATAGAAAAAGGAAATAGAAAAAATTGAATACATCGCTAAAGATTATCACTCAGAGGCATTACATAATTATCACATTTAGCCACAGTTCATTGGAGCGGCGATTAATGGAATGCAATCTTTAATAACTCCCGGTTTAGGGTAAGTAGCAACGTCTCTGCTCATGACATTGCTGCATTGCTCTTTCCTTTTGACCACTGTCTCCTCTTTCTGGTTCTCGAGAGATGCTGCAAGCTGCCTCATATTCTCTATTCAGCTAATTCACCCAAATAGCAGCTAATGTGCTGGAATGACAGCTATGTTAAAATCTTGGCCCACCAAGCCTAATTTTCAGCTCTGAAGAATTTGGAGAAGTAACGAAAGGACCTTCCATAAACACAGCCCGTTTGGGATAGATTTACTTAATAATAATAATAATTTTATTACGGTCATAGACCAGCAATAGACATCACTTTTTACGATATATTAAGAAAAAAAAATAGTACTGACATTAATAGTAAATAATAACATCCCTGTTAAGAAAATACATGTTCTCAAAATGTTAGGGTCACTCCCTAGTTTACGTGAGTTGGAAAGCCGATAAGTGTGTGAGTAAATATGGGACAGATTTACTATTTTAGTGAGAAATAGATTTATACTAATTTGTAGGTCGAACTGCTGTGTCTATTAGGAATAGTGGGGGGGAGGGGGGGAGAGAAAACAGTACTTGGCAAAGTGGTACAATCCAGCCAAAGGAGAAACATCAAGAAAAGAGATGTTTTTTTAAAAAAAGGTCAGCTCTGGTTGTCCTTGAGGCTTTTTTGACTTCCTTCCCTTGCAGATACCCTCAGACAAGATTATATCTTGACCCTTTTGACCCCTGGCTGCAGGTACCTGTTGAAGAGAATCTGGTTTTTTTTCCTATAACAGAGTTCGCCCATGAAAATGTAGACCTCCTCTAAAATAAAGATCAGGATTTTTCCTTTCTTATCTACATACAAGATTCAATCGCCACTGAAACCGATACAATAATTCAGCGAAGACCCTGGAAATAGATGTTATCCAACTTGATAAGTATTTAGTTCCAGAAACAATGGAAAATATTTGAGATTTTATTCTGGGGTGTGTGTGTGTGTGTGTGGGCACGCGCGCGCGCATGCATCCATGTGTACATCTCTGTGTGTGTGTGTGTGTGTGTGTGTAAAACAGTCATATAAATTCTCTACATTTATTATTAATTTAATATATTCAGTTGAGGCAATGGCTGACTCCCAAAAAAAGGAAGGAAGGAAGGAAGGAAGAAAGGAAAAAGGAAGGAAGGAAGGAAGGAAGGAAGGAAGGAAGGAAGGAAGGAAGGAAGGAAGGAAGGAAGGAAGGAAAGATGATCAGGGAGGGAGGGAGATAGGGAAGAAGGAAGGAAGGAAAGAAAGAAAGGATGAAGGATGGGAGGGAGGGAGAAAGGGAGGGAGGGAGGGAGGAAGATGGGGAAGGGAGGATGGAAGGAAGGAAGGAAGGAAAGATGATCAGGGAGGGAGGGAGGGAAGAAGGAAAGAAGGAAGGAAAGAAAGGATGAAGGGTGGGAGGGAGGGAGGGAGAAAGGAAGGGAGGGAGGAGGGAGGGAGGAAGATGGGGAAGGAAGGAAGGAAGGAAGGAAGGAAGGAAGGAAGGAAGGAAAGATGATCAGGGAGGGAGGGAGGGAAGAAGGAAGGAAGGAAGGAAAGAAAGGATGAAGGGTGGGAGGGAGGGAGGGAGGGAGGGAGGGAGAAAAGGAAAAAAAGAAAGGATGAAGGAAGGGAGGGAGGGAGGAAGATGAGGAAGGGAGGATGGAAGGAAGGAAGGAAAGATGATCAGGGAGGGAGGGAGGCAGAAAGAAAGGAAGGAAGGAAAGATGATCAGGGAGGGAGGGAGGGAGGCAGAAAGAAGGAAGGAAGGAAGATCAGGGAGAGAGGGAGGGAGGGAGGGAGAGAGGAAGGGAGGAAGGAAGGAAGGAAGGAAGATCTGATATATTGGAGTCCTCAGGTGTTAGATTTGACTTAAGGGAGCCTCACTTCACCTAATCTTGTTAGATTATCTTGCTCAAAGATCTTACCTTGTCGCTATTCTTGATCTGAACAGGCCTGCGAACTAGCCCTCTAGTTTGTTGGTTTTGGGACTTACAGTTGGTTACAAAAAAAGAACGAATGTTTCCCACAGGTAGCAGCTCATTCTCTGTTAAACCAAACAAAATGAAAAGAGCTTAGTGAACTGCCAAAGGAAATTCCTTCCTTTGGAGGCAAGAGGAACATCTAGTGAGGAGAAAGAAAGAAGAGGGGAAGATGCTGGACGAATCAGCGATACCATGCACCAGGGATGGCCAACGTTTCAAGCCAGTTTGCTCCAAGTCCAATTCATTCATGTTCGAGGTCGAATCAACCCAGGATTGCAGCGCAACATGTTACAAGAGGGATGCAAAGAAATTCAGAGAACGGGTTCAGAGAAGAGCCATAAAGGAATTCTGGGAGCTGATGTCCACAAAAGATGCCAAGCTTGAGAAATGTTACTTTGGAAGAAGATTTGGTCCCTAGGGAACCTACTGCTCTTCTGCCCCATGTTGGTTACTTTTAAAACACAAACACTCCTCTTACCATGGTCCTGACACGTGGTCGTTGCAAGAGGCTTCCTCAGAGCTCGGGTTGTTCCTTGTGTACACGGTAAACAAATTGGCCTGTAGGGGAGAATATAGAACAGTGGTGGCGAACCTATGGCACACGTGCCAGAGGCGGCACGCGGAGCCCTCTCTGTGGGCACGCGCCATCACCCCAGCACACGTGGTCTCTATAAGTTCGCCATCATTGGCCTAAGGCCAGTCAGCCTGGAGCCACCACTGGGAAGCCCACCATCCCACCTGCCAGAGATGCCTGGATTTCCCGCAACCCTGCCCTGCCTGGCTCCCACAGGTGTCCCTCCCCATAAGCAACATCGAGGTAACCACGCCCACCCCAGCCATGCCCACCCAATCTGCCATGACTACTGCAGCCACACCCATCCAGTGGCCATGCCCACCCAGTCTGCCACGCCCACTGTAGCTGCACCCGCCAAGTGGGCCACACCCACCTGGCACCCGGCGATACCTAAGTGGGTTTTGGGTTGCAGTTTGGGCACTCGGTCTCCAAAAGGTTCGCCATCACTGATATAGAACATTGAATAATAGAGTTGGAAGGGACCTTGGGGGGTCTTCTAGTCCAGTGTTTCCCAAACTTGACAATTTTAAGGCATGTGGACTTCAACTCCCAGAATTCCACAGCCAGCGTTGCTGGCTGTGGAATTCTGGGAGTTGAAGTCCTCATGCCTTAAAATTGTCAAGTTTGGGAAACACTGTTCTAGTCCAACCCCCTTTTTGGGCAGAAGATCCTATTTCAGGGGTTTCCAACCCCCAGTTTGTGGACCAGCACCAGTCCGCAGCATGCCAGCAACTGGGCCGTGCAAACATGCAAAGCCCCATCCGCAGGAGGCAGGCAGCATGCAAAACCCCACCCCCTCTGGTCCATGGAAAAACCTTTCTCTGTGGAACTGTTCAATTGCCCAAAAAGATGGGGGTTGCTGCCTGATATCATTCCAGAAAGATGGTTGTCATAAGGTGACCAACCGTCCTCCTTTAGGGAGGACAGTCCTCCTTTTGTAAGTTCTGTCCTCCCTCAAAAAGTGTCCTCCTACATGTCCTCCTTTTCGCTATTTGAAGACTAATCTGAGGGGCTTTTTTTTCCCTCATAGAACGCTCAGAACGGCGTTCCGGCACCTTTTTTTGATGTGTTTTGTTTTCAACTTTTGCATGAGCTGTGCTACTTCCGCTATTGGCTTTCGAAAGCGAATAGGAATTGTTGCTGAGCGCGCCAAAACACCCGGCTGGCAAACTTTGCACATGCAAGTTGTCTGTATTATTGTTGCAATGAATAAAATGTTTCTTTTATTTACGATATTTTTTTTCTTCAATTTATTTGTGTCCTCCTTTTCATTGTAAAAAAAGTTGGTCACCTTATTGTCCGGTCTTTTTTTTTTAAAAGCCTTCAGTGATGGAGAGCATCCACCCCTTCTGAACGCACTCAAGAAGTGCAAGAGAACATCAGCTGGGCCTTATTATGACTCTGGAGTTTCTGCCCAATCTTTTTTAATGGGATTATTCTTCCCTAGGCACTATAAGTCTTTTATGTATAACTTCTTCCAAACTAAAATAAATTAGGAAGTCCCGTGCCTTGCTGAGGGATTCTGGGAATCAAAGTCAACACATCTTAAAGTTCCCAAGTTGGGGAAAAAACACATTGATTTAAGACGTATCATCCCACCAATTTGCCTTTTCAATATGAAACAACCAGCTCCTCTTTGATAATAGAAGACTGAGATTAAAAACGCCACACATTGTGTAGAACTAAATCAAAACCAATGTCTTGATTCTAATATTCCTTTGAGACAAAACTGAAAGTGCTCTGCCATCTCTCTCTCTTTCTCTTCCTGCGAGATCTCACCTTGCATTGAAACTGAACTCAACTTTTTCCTTAAGTTTTATCAGGGCGATGTCATAATCATAGAATTCAGGGATCCCGCGATGTTTCAGTTTTCCGATCTGGTAATCTTTGTGGACTTGAATTTTCTCCACAGAATACTGTTGCTTGGCTAGGAAATAGGAAAGTAAAACATAATAATAATAACAATAACAACAACAACAGCAGCAGCAGCAGCAGCAACAACAACAACAACAATAATAATAATGATAAAGTTGGAAGGGATCTTGGAGGTCATTGAGTGCAACCCCCTGCTCAGGCAGGAACCCTACACCATTTCGGACAAATGGCTGTCCAGTCTCTTCTTAAAAACTTCCAGTGTTGGAGCATTCACCGCTTCTGGAGGCAGGTTGTTCCACTGATCAATTGTTCTAACTGTCAGGAAGTTTCTCCTTAGTTCTATGTTGCTTCTCTCCTTGATTAGTTTCCATCTCTTGCTTCTTGTCCTGCCTTCAGGCGCTTTGGAGAATAGCTTGACTCTTCTTTGGGGCAGCCCCTGAGATACTGGAATACTGCTATCATGTCCCCCCTCGTCCTTCTCTTCATTAAACTAGACATACCCAATTCCAGCAACCGTTCCTTATATGCTTTAGCCTCCAGTCCCCTAATCATCTTGGTTGCTCTTCTCTGTACTCTTTCTAGAGTCTCAGCGTCTTACTCCTGCCCATTTGGCTACTCTGAAACAGAACGCCAGACACATTTCTTTCCTGGCCAGCTGCCCATGCTACCAGCTTCCTCTCAAAAGATAATCCTGCTTACCAATTGTGACTGTGATCTGGTTAGCCTTATCCTCCACAGTGAAGCAGTGAGCTGCTGTCAAGATATAATACTCAGAAACGAGGGTTCCTTTGCAGTGTTCGAACCCTGCCCTACCAGCACGCTGTGATTGGAAGAGAAAAATCACTATGAGTAAGTCACAAAAGCATCCTTCATAGATTTCCTTGGAAATAATCCCCATTACACTCAATAGGATTTACTCATTATTCAACATTAACTGAAGAATTTGTCCTACTACCATAGCAATAGCACTTAAGGACTTACAGTATATACTGCCGCATAGTGCTTTACAATAGTCTCTGGGTGGTTTACAACATCAGCATATTACCCCCAACAATCTGGATCCTCATTTTACCGACCTCAGAAGGATGGAAGGCTGAGTCAGCTTTGAGCTGATCAGGAACAAACTCCTCTGCTCTGGGCAGAGTTAGCCTGCAATACTGCATTCTAACCACTGCACTACCATCTTCCTATAAGCCAGTGTTTCTCAACCTTGACAATTTGAAGGCATGTGGACTTCAACTCCCAGCCAGCAATGCTGGCTGTGGAATTCTGGGAGTTGAAGTTCACATGCCTTAAAATTGTCAAGGTTGAGAAACACTGCTATAAGTGATATTAGATAATCCTAGTTCTTAGCTTTAGGTTCACCCGTACTCTACTCCACACTGGGCAATGATCATTCTTTCAGAGTTGCAGTCAACTACAACAGTTCTGCCTTTCCCCCACTTTTTCCAAGACCCTTGGATAATAATTTAATAAAGGAGAATATTTGTAGCTCAGAATTGAAATGGAGGGGGGTCCTTGGTGCTCTCTGAGCTGGATTGTTTTCTAGCACTTAGCACCTAGATCAGTGGTTCTCAACCTTTTTAATGCCGCGACCCCCAACCGGTCATAAGTCGAGGACTACTCAACTGGTTGTAAGTCGAGGACTACTCAACTGGTGCAGCACCGTTTGCAGAATGGGACTTTTGGTGGGCTCAGCAGGGCAGAGACAGCCTGGACAATTCCTATTGGCTTTTGAAAGCCACTAGAATTAGACTCTCTTCAAGAGAGTCTATTCTATTGGCTTTCAAAAGCCAATAGAATAAAAGGGAGTAGCACAGCTAAGGAAAAGGGGGAAAAAATGGCGGACTGTGTTGTTTGGCGACCCCCGTGAAATGGTCGTTCGACCCCAAATGGGGTCCCGACCCACAGATTGAGAACCACTGACCTAGATGTTTCCGAGCACCTAATTACCAGGAGGCACATGTGTTCTATGGGTGTGTGTGTGTGTGTTTGTGTGTGTGTGTAAGCAGATGTCAAACAAAGTGACAGGAGATAATCTTTTAGGCCAAGAGCAAGCACCATTACAGACAAAGAGAGAAGATAAAATAAATCCCTCGCTCTCTCTGTATCCCAATGATTCTTGGTGATTGGTAGGTCATTAGCTAGTGAATTAATGTAACTGAATTTGCATCTCCAATAAAAAACGATGTCGAGATCAAGAAAAATCCTCATACCTCTCTATTCTGCACTGATTATATTGCATCCAAGTCTGAGCACTACTTTAGGAAGGACTTTGAAAAATGCAGCATGTCCAGAGGATAGCAATCAAGATAATAAGAAGGAAAACCAGATGAGGAATGGGAATAGTTAGTATCTTAGAGAAAAAAACAGGTAGTCCTTGACTTACAACATTTCATTTTGTGACTGTTTGACGTTACAACGGCACTGTGAAGTGGTATATAAGTCTAAGTGCTATTGCTGTTGCTACTTTTCACACTTACGGCTATTGCAGAATCCCCAGGGTCACCTGAGCAAAATTCAGATGCTTGGCAACTGACTCATATTTGTGACGGTCGCAGTGTCCCGGGGTCATGTGATTTCCTTTGGCGACCTTCTGACAAGCCAGGTCAATGGGGAAGCCAGATTCATTTACCAAACCATGACACTAACAACAACCGCAGTGATTCACTTAACAACTTTGGCAAGGAGGTCGTAAAATGGGGCAAAATTCACTTAAGAACTGTTTTACTCAACAACAGGAATGTTGGGCTCAAGTGTGGTGGTACGTGGAGGCCTACCTGCAAGATGTATGAATACACAAGAGCTTTGTTCAAATATTTGACTGGTGGTCATGTAGAAAAACAGGCTAGGATTGTTTAGAGCAGTGGTTCTCAACTTTTTTAATGCCGCAACCCCCAACCGGTCGTAAGTCGAGGACTACTCAACCAGTCGTAAGTCGAGGACTACTCAACCGGTGCAGCACCGTTTGCAGAATGGGACTTTTGGCGGGCTCAGCAGGGCAGAGACAGCCTGGACAATTCCTATTGGCTTTTGAAAGCCAATAGAATTAGACTATATTCAAGAGAGTCTATTCTATTGGCTTTCAAAAGCCAATAGAATAAAAGGGAGTAGCACAGCTAAGGAAAAGGGGAAACAAAATGGCGGACTGTGTTGTTTGGCGACCCCCGTGAAATGGTCATTCGACCCCAAATGGGGTCCTGACCCACAGGTTGAGAACCACTGGTTTAGAGTTTTTCAGTAGACAAGACAAGAAATTGTGGGTTGAAATTCTAATGAAATAGATTTCTGTTGGACAGCAAGAACATTTCCAAGTGATACGAGATGGGACACGGGCTTCCTCGGGAAGTACTGAATACTCCTTCACTACTTCTCACAGAAGTGTTTAGAACAGTGGGGGCGAACCTATGGCACATGTGCCAGAGGTGGCACTCAGAGTCCTCTCTGTGGGCACACGTGCCGCCGCTGCCAGCAGCTTGCGCAGGTCCACTAGCCCGTCACCACTGCCCAGAGCGGCAGCCCCACCCAGCACAAAGGAGGCGAAGCATTCAGCTAGCTAGCTCGAGTAGAGGTGGTAGAGCACGCCCACACCCAGCTAGCCAAAGGCCAACCTGAGCAGGGAAAGCCAGATCCCCACTGGCGCCATGACCCCCTAGTCCCAGCTAGGGTTGTGTGCCTCTCCCCATCTATGCTGGGCCTTCTGCCCATCGCCCCACCCTCCAGAGACCCCCTGGATCTCCCCCAACCCTGCCGGGCACCCACAAGCATCCCCCCATTAGCAACATCGAGGTGGCCATGCCCACCGCAGCCATGCCCACCCAGTGGGCCATGCCCCCATGTCCCCTCTGAGGGCACCACAATGGCACTTTGCAATAAATAAGTGGGTTTTGGGTTGTGGTTTGGGCACTCGGTCTCTAAAAGGTTCGCCATCACTCGTTTAGAAGTTAGATGACCATCTCTTGAGCTGGGCTGTCATGGCGGACTCCTGCTTTAGGCAAAGGGTGGGCCAGACCATCTTCAAGACCCCTTCCAACCCTGACATTATTTGACTGCTCTAGGATTTTACCTACAGATAGTCCTCGCTTTCCCACAGTTTGTTTAGTGACCGTTCAAAGTTACAGTGGCACTGAAAATATGACTTGTGAGCATTTTTCATACTTACGTCCTTTGCAGCATTCCCACGATCACGTGATCAACCTTCAGATGCTTGGCAACTGGTTCACATTTGTAACCTTTGCTGTGTCCTGGGGTCACGGGATCATCTATTGAGACCTTCTGACAAGCAAAGTCAATGGGGAAGCCAGATTCACTTAACAACCGGGTTACTAACTTATCAACTGCAGGGATTCACTGAACAACCGTGGCAAGAAAAGTCATGTTGTTGTTGTTGTTGTTAATTGCGAAGTCGTGTCCGACCCATCGCGACTCTATGGACAATGTTCCTCCAGGTCTTCCTGTCCTCTACCATCTTGTGAAGTCCATTTAAATTCACGCCTACTGCTTCAGTGACTCCATCCAGTCATCTCATTCTCTGTCGTCCCCTTCTTCTATTGCCCTCAATCTTTCCCAGCATTAGGCTCTTCTCCAGTGAATCCTTCCTTCTCATTAGGTGGCCAAAGTACTTGAGTTTCAACTTCAGGATCTGGCCTTCTAAAGAGCAGTCGGGGTTGATCTCTTCTAGGACTGACCGGTTTGAACACCTTGCAGTCCAAGGGACTCTCAGGAGTCTTCTCCAGCACCGTAGTTCAAAGAAAAGTCATAAAATGGGGCAAAACTCACTTAACAAATGGCCTCACTTAACAACAGAAATTTTGGGCTCAATTCTGGTCGTAAGTCAAGGACTACCTCTACTTCATGCAATATGCCTACCTTGCCTTGACTGGTCAATTGAACTTAACTTACCTGATCTCCTCCAGACTCCACTCACTTCCTTGCCAATCCCATGTAATAATTGAAGAGGCCATGTCTTGCTCACAAGACATACAAAACTGGGGGAAACATCATTATAGGCTCAATGTTTTGCTCCCTTGGGAAATAATTTTGAAGTTCAAACTGTAGTGCCCATCTAAAAGGATTTCCACACTTGTATCCCAGTCAACATTTTTTTTTTCTGCAATGTCCCATCAACGGTCTCCAAGTCATTTCCAGCCCACGGATAGATCAGACATAAATAATCCTTTCTTGTTGTTAATTGCGAAGTCGTGTCCGCCTCCAGGTCTTCCTGTCCTCTACCATCTTCTGGAGTCCATTTAAGTTCACACCTACTGCTTCAGTGACTCCATCCAGCCACCTCATTCTCTGTCGTCCCCTTCTTCTATTGCCCTCAATCTTTCCCAGCATTAGGCCCTTCTCCGGTGAGTCCTTCCTTCTCATTAGGTGTCCAAAATTCTTGAATTTCAGCTTCAGGATCTGGCCTTCTAAAGAGCAGTCAGGGTTGATCTCCTCTAGGACTGACCGGTTTAATCGCCTTGCAGTCCAGGGGACTTGCAGGAGTCTTCTCCAGCACCATAGTTCAAAGGCCTCAATTCTTTGGCGCTCAGCCTTTCTTATGGTCCAATTTTCACAGCCATACATTGCAACTGGGAAAACCATGGCCTTGACTATACGTACTTTTGTTGCAGGGTGATGTCTCTGCTTTTTGGTATGCTGTCTAATATTAAGATAATATTTTCATCCTTATTCCAACATTGTCTAATAGTGGCCTCAAGATAATCTAAAATCAATGAGGCACCATGGAGAGAGCCCATAAGAAACGAGGAATATCAAATCTTCCTCTGGTTACAGGTAGTCCTCATCTAAGCACCACAACTGAGCCCAAAATTCCTGTTGCTAAGGGAGTCAGTTGTTAAGTGAGTTTTTCCCCACTTTATGACCTTTCTTGCCACAGTTGTTAGGTGAATCAATGCAGTTGTTAAGTTGGTAACACAGTTGTAAAGTGAATCTGGCTTCCCTGTTGAATTTGCTTCTCAGAAGGTCACACAAGGTGATCATGTGATCCCAAGACCCTGTAACTGTCATAAATATAAATCAGTTGCCAAACATTTGAAATTTGATCATGTGACCATGAGGTTGTAAGTATGAAAAAAAAATCAGTGCTGCAGTTGTAACTTTGAACAGTCACTAAATAAACTGTTGTAAGTCAAGGACTACCTGTATAATTAAAGAAAGCATTTTTCTCTGAGCTTAATTCTATTCCAAAGGCCACCCTTACCCTGATGGAGATATTGGTGTTCCAGGGATTCTTCTTTTGATCGTCTGTTTTGTGTTCTTTCGCCAAGCCACACATAGACAAAGCTTCACTCTCATCTGGAAATAGAGAGGCACTTTTCTCAGACCTTTGAGTTTTCTACAAAAGCCAAAGGCCTAGATTAGGCAAGAAACTATGACTGAAGGATTTCTTGAAAAGGATGAGAAGGGTAATAGAAAGATTAGGCACCGTATATTCCGGCGTATAGGGCGACCCGGCGTATAAGACGACCTCCGAGTTCGACGCCGAGTCACAAGACGATCGAAGCCGAGTCGCATGTCTGGAAAGTCGTCTTATACGCTGGAAACTACTGGTATTTCCGGCGTATAAGACGATTGACGCCGAGTCGCATGCCTAGAAAGTCGTCTTATACGCCGGAAACTACATTATTTCCAGTGTATAAGACGATCGATGCCGAGTCGCATGCCTAGAAAGTTGTCTTATACGCTGGAAACTACCTTATTTCCGGCGTATAAGACAACTCGGCATATAAGATGACCCCCGAGTTCGGCGCCTGTTTCAACACTCTCAAAAGTCGTCTTATATGCCGGAATATACGGTAGCTATGGAAAATCACACGCCACAGAAAAATGGAAGCGGGGTAAATTCTGGAAGGGTGGGTCCTTAAACAGGGCAGCACGTTGGCTCAGAGGTTAAGATGCTGAGCTTGTCAGCTGGAAAGCCAACAGCTCAGGTTGAAGACCCGAGCTCCAAGCAAACGGGTGAGTTCCCGTCCTCGCTCCAGCTCCTGCAACGTAGCAGTCTGAAAGCATGCAAAGGCAAACAGATAAATAGGTACCACTTTGATGGGAAGGTAACAGCGCTCTATGACCTCATGCCAACCACATGACTGCGGAAATGTCTTTGGACAGTGCTGGCTCAATGGCCTTGAGACCCCTATAAGTCAGCAATGACTAGCGGAGTCAAATCCGTAGGGTCCCTAAACTCAGCAATTTTCCAAGAAGGATTACAAGACCTATAGAAGCATGCAAACAAATCAACAAAAGGTAGGTTCAAATTACCGATCATCTCATCAAAGGTTCGTTGCAGGTCTTCGATTTTCAGAATGAATAAATGTGTCTCACCAGGTTTATGTGATGCCAGAGCATTCAAGCTTTTCTCGTTGGCATCTTTTCCAATAGCAAAGACATAAACATCTGCAAGCAAGCATGGATAGGGACATAAGTTGAGAGGGAAGTATGAATGTTCCTGACCAAAAAAAGGCAACAGTCGTTTGTAGGGGTGAGTCCTTAATAAAGTACAATTTTTGTCCGTCTTCCTGGCTAACACCAGGCTATCAAAAACCTTTAGACATTTTATTGTGACACTTTGGTTACTAGTTTTGGCAGAAGACTTCCAAACCAGCTGGATTAAATGAGGATTATTATTATTATTATTATTATTTTTTACTGCAGACAAAAATAAAGCCACACACAATAGTTTGCCCGCTGCCATTTTCAAAGATTTAAATTACCTTTATCTTTGTATTGGTTTAAACCAGGAGTCTTCAAACTTGGCCCTTTTATGACTTGTGGACTTCAACTCCCAGAATTCCTCAGCCAGGCATGCCTGGATGAGGAATTCTGGGAGTTGAAGTCCACAAGTCATAAAAGGGCCAAGTTTGAAGACCCCTGGTTCTCCCTTTATCAATTCACCTGCTAGAAAACCTGCTACTATTTAGGTACCAATTGCAAAAACTGGTTTCTTTTCCGAATCATGCCAAGTTTGAAGACCCCTGGTTTAAACCCATAGCTTCTTTCTTCTAAACTTCTGAGTTGACTGACACTAGTGGCTTGAAGCCAAGTGGTTGTTGAACTATTTTGTTCACACCTAGCCTGGAAACTGCTAATTTTACACTCAACGCCTACACTTAGGAGTTTTCATCTAGTATCAGAATTCTCTCAATGATCCATCACTACACTTTTTAAACAAGGCAATTATGTACGTTCTTAATCAACAGAAAAGTAGGAAGTGTCAACCATTCCATTTGGCACATTCAAGCAAAGAAATTCTTGGCTCTTTTAAATTACCAAAAGTGTAGCTTTATTGAAAGATCCATGTAGGTTACAGCAGAAGCAAAGTCAGTTCTGGGATTTTTCCCGCCAAAATTCACATAGGTAGAACCCTTTTTCCCTCCCTGGACTGCCGACAGTTCTTAGTTCACCAATTGGGTTCAGTTCTTTTGTTTTGGGAAAAGGCTGTGTAAGCCACTCAAATATTTCCTAACTTGACCTTGGCGTCTAACGTCTCGGCCGGCAACAGAAGCTCTCTTGCATTCCAGAAACTTCCCTCCCCACTTAGAAATTTGCCCACCTCCCTCCCTTGCTGTTGGGCAAACTATAAGTGACAGCAGGTGCAACTATGGAGTCAAGTCAGGTTTGACAGGAACCCTCTTGAAGGATCTGGGACAAACTTGTTTAGATCTCCACTGAATGTAAAGAAGTTTCTTAAGCAACATTTATGTGTGTGAACCAACATTCGTAGATATCATTTGAAATCTGCAGTTCGCCACCAGTAAAAATGCATTTTAAGAAAAAAATATATATTCAATTCAGAACAGAGTTAGACGGGACCTCGGAGGTCTTCTACTCCAAGCAGGAGACCCTATACCAGTGATGGCGAACCTTTTAGAGACCGAGTGCCCAAACCACAACCCAAAACCCACTTATTTATTGCAAAATGCCATTGTGGTGCCCTCAGGGGGGACATGGGGCGTGGCTCACTGGGTGGGCATTGCTGCGGTTGTCACAGCAGGCTGGGTGGGTATGGCTGCGGTGGGCATGGCCACCTCGATGTTGCTAATGAGGGGATGCTTGTGGGGGCCTGGCAGGGTTTGGGGAGATCCAGGAGGTCTCTGGTAGGTGGGGTGATGGGTAGAAGGCCCAGCATAGATGGGGAGAGGCACGCAACTCTAGCTGGGACTAAGGGGCCTTGGCGCCAATGTGGATCTGGCTTTCCCTGCTCGGGGTGGCCTTTGGCTTGCTGGATGTGGGTGTGCTCTACTACCTCTACTCGAGCTTGCTAACTGGACACTTCGCCTCCTTTGTGCTGGGTGGGGCTGCCGCTCCAGGCGGCGGCGGTGGCCTTAATGGACCTGCGCAAGCTGCTGGCAGCGGCGGCACATGTGCCCACAGAGGTGGCTCTGAGTGTTGCCTCTGGCACACGTGCCATAGGTTCGCCACCACTGCCCTATACCATTTCAGACAAGTGGCTGTCCAGTCTCTTAAATAGCTCCACTGATGAAGCATCCACAACTTCTGAAGGCAATCCATTCCACTGGTTAATTGTCCTCACTGTTAGGAAGTTCCTCCTTAATCCCAGGTTGCTTCTCTCCTTGATTAGTTTCCCTCCATTTTTTCTTGTCCTGCCCTCTGGTGCTTTGGAGAATAATTTGTTCCCTTTTTCTTTGTGGCAGCCTCTCAAATACTGGAATACTGCTATCATGTCACCCCTAGTCTTTCTTTTCTCTAGATTAGTCTGCAGGCCTTTAATCATCTTAGTAATCAGGGGTTCTCAACCCTGGCAACTTTAAGACTTGTGGACTTCAACTCCCAGAATTCCTCAGCCAGCTTTGCTGCCTGAGGAATTCTGGGAGTTGAAGTCCACAAGTCTTAAAGTTGCCAAGGTTGAGAACCCCTGTCTTAGTTGCTCTTCTCTGCACTTTTCCCAAAGTCTCAACATCTTTTTTGTAATATTTATGAGAATAACGTACACAAATGAATTGTGTACAAATTCCAGATTCATCCATTCCACTAACAAATTGGATTTGTGTATGTGTGTGTGTATGTTACTGCAAAATACTTTACATAGGGCTGCCTTTGAAGAGTATTCAGAAACTTAATTGACACTTTGAAATAATAGGAAATATTTGTAGCTTGGGTTTTAGATTTTGGCTGTGGTTTGTTCTCCCAGCTTGCTTTAATATAATTCCTGAATGTTTCATTACCAAACTAGGTAACATCATCAGCAGGATGATATTATTATTATTATTATTATTATTATTATTAATAATAATAATAATAATAATAATAATAGTAAAGTTGGAAGGGACCTTGGTGATCTTCTACTGCTGTGCGTGTGTTTGTGTGTGTGTGTGTGTGTCTGAAGAAGACCAGTGCCATGGTGACTGCAAAGTTACAGCAATTAATATTTATGCAATAATTTCAAACTATTGTAAGAACTTTACTTTGCTACTTTAAAACAGTTATATTGAGCATATGGCATCTCAAGTTTTAATTCTGATAAGCTTCTAGGAATTGAACACAGTGATATATACAAGCATGACCCAAAAATAAATAATCACATATACTTGCCATACACAATTCTTGATTTATCAAGTCAAATGTGGCCCACAATCCTTGCATAATGCCTGCAAGTTCTAAATCCATAAGTATCACCCAATTATTTGTTCCTTCGTCTTTCAGTAATCCCATCCTCTGGCAGATACAGTACATGCATTAATTTCCACAGGGCAAATGTACTATCTTCAACGTGTGCTAATCTCACTAGGTGTTATATTCAACCAGGAACACAGAAATTGCTTTTATTATATTATTTATTTGTTCCTTGGGTTAAGTTGCCAAGAAGTCAATCAGACACTCATAAAATAAAAACAGCAACAATACAGTGGTTTAAGGTTTAAAACACTGGATCTATCCTTTCTGACCTTGCCTATAATATTGGCAGACAGTCTTATCACAGGCAAGTGAGGCCAAACCTTGTGAAATTCTGGTTTAAAGTACTTTTCTCCCCATGTCCTTCCTGGCGTGTAGATCGTCAGAACTTACCTAAGAATTCATTGCGAGAATTGGAGCCGGATTTCTTAATCTTGAGGAATTCTTTAATATCATCCATGACAGGAACTGGATCCCCGCCCATGTTGTAGCGACCTGAAGGTTGAGAGTAGCAGTTACTATACGGTAGAAGTGATCAAGTTGCCCTTCAAAACTCTGATTGTGGTCCCACAGCTCTTCCAAAATTTCCATGGAACTATAGAAATAATTCACTTCATTCAACTCAAATGAACTTGAATCACTGAAATAAAATTAAGCCAGAGGTCGATTTCTACCAGCCCCACTCATTTTTTTGATATGCCATTTAAAGACTAAGTAATGATCTTGATCCAAAAAGGGTTTGACTTCCCCCAAGATTGCGTGCTGAACAACAGGGCAATCTTTTTCTTCTACTGACAATCAGCTGATTTTGCTGCCAAAGTTGGCTTTTTGGTGGTGCGCCCCCTAGAATTGAATGGGAACATTTAGGAATGATCCAAGACAATCCTTGGACAACCATGGACCCATCTGGGAAAAGGAATTTTGAGGATTGCAATTCCTGGTAGGAGCAGCTGGAGAGACAGATCTCCATCTTTTCCTCTCAGCTGACTGATTTCTTTTAAGCATGCCTGGCTTTTAACTGCACTCTCGGATGTTTCTTTTTTAATTTGCTTTTTATTTTCAAAAGTTAACTGACTGGTCAAATGCTGATTTATTCTAACCCCTTGCTGGATTTTAATGTGATTTTTTTGTGCATATGTCTTTTGTTGTTGTTGTTGTTGTTGTTGTTCTGCTCTGCTGTACTGAATAACTTTCGCTTTCTCTGTAAGGAGGTTCCGGCAATTTTATGGATACTGAAAGTAACTTGACTGGACTTACATCTATAATTGGACTTTCATTGCAGGGATTTTGCATTTTATTAACTCTCAAAAACTTCTATTTTTACAGTGAGGAATATCACTTCAATATTCTTTGTCCTCGCTCCTTGAAGAACTCTTTCTCTTTGGTTGCTAAGTTACAGGAGAATAAACAATGCACCAACGTAAAGCTTTCTGGGAAGCCATTGAAAAAAGAATGCTTTTAACTACAAGTTCAAATGGAGAAGGCTAAAAGAAATATGGACCTTACAGACTTAGAGCTGATAGACTTGATGAGTGATGCATTGGATTTTTTTTTTTAAAGAAGATTGATGGAGTTTGGGGAATGGACTTATTATATCCAATTGGAAAACAAATTTGACTGGGCTTTTTTGGGAAGATAGATCAACTTTGGAGAATGGATTTACTATATTTAATCAGACAACAATTGATAAGAGATGTTATTAGGAAGCAAAGCACAATATTTGTTCCAGGATGGATCAGAGATAACTCTTGTGGTGATTTGAAATAGATAAAGAAGTCGTGGTAGACTTTCTGCAAGTTAAATAAAATAATAGATTGTTAATAGGTTTTGAAACTTTAATTTTGCTGTTGCTTTGCCTGTTGACTGTTCTTAATATAGTAGATAGATGACAGATCAAATAAGCTATAAATAGAGGTAGAAGTTTAAAAATTTGGGACTTGGTTCCAAAAGAGGGGGAAACTAACATTGTTATAATATATTTATCAATATTAACTAAGTTGGATAATATATGTATATCGGTTTGTGTTTGTGTTTTTTGTTCTTTTTAATGCAGAATTTTAAATGCTCTATTTTTTGTTTTGTTTTTGTACAATATTTTAGACTTTACTTTAATTTTTTGAATAAAAAAGTTATTTAAAAAGGTGGGCGGGGTTCATTGGTGGGATTCAGCCAGTTTGCACCAGTACAACAGAACCAGTAGCTAATTTTTTTTTTTGCGCAGGCCCAAAATGGATTTCCGGAAGCGGAATCCACACAGAGAACCGGTTGTTCACATATTTGAATCCCACCACTGGGGTGGGGGTTTACACACATAGCAAGAGGTTTGAACCTGTGGATTCTGGATTCTGGAGGATGAGGGGGAAAAGAATAAAAATATAAAGCAACTTTTCCTGAATATACATATTAACAAAAAAACTGGGCCCTGTCTAAATTTTATTTAAACTACAAATTAAGGAATATATTGATTAAATAAATAGCATAAAGGTTCCTTCAAAGAAATATTAAAGTATCTGCCCTGTTAAATATTAAAAAGTCGCCGCAAAAATTAAAAAATAAAGTTTTTTCTTAGGTGTCCATTTTCTCACCATCAGTCAGGAGGATGATCACATGGCGGGTGGAATTGGAAATAGGAGGAGGATTTAATCCAAGTCTCTTCTCCTCAGCTTCCTGGGAAATCATCATTTCATAGACAGTTGTCAAGGCCCTTTTGAGGTTGGTTCCTGACTTTTTCTTATGCTCTAGAGAGAGAAAAAGGGAAGAGATAAAAGGAGAAAAATGAACACAATTATTTGCAGTTAGCTAGCAGCCTTAGCAGATCTCATTTGCTATTCAGGCTACATATGTAGCAGCAATATAACCTAATTGAGCTTCAGACTTCGCTTCAGAAAAACATCGACAGTTGCCGTTCTTCAGTACTGAACGTTTCTCAGTCTCAAGAATTCCTTTGTTATGAAGCATTTTGAATGTATATTAATACGTCCCAGTTGGTAGAATGCGGACAACAGTATATTGGCTACTATATGGGTAGTATGGGAGGACTCTGCCCATTATTTTTGTACGTCATAACAGTTGTAAATCGGGTTTATCACATGATCTACCTGATTTTATAATCTTGTTTCCTGTGGTTATTAACTGAAGGATTGCAGACAACTGGTCCATTGCCAAGCAAGGGAATAAATTCAAGCAAGGCCCTCCCAGGAGGAGAGGGCCAGCCCACACGTGCGCCAAGGCTCTGGTTACAGCCGGGACTCGTGCTCACCTTTCAGCCCCTCCTGAGCGGGATGTGGGCCTGTAGATGCCGGTGGGGCTAATCCCCCCTTTGGCTGTGACATGTCTATAAATGCAGCAGGGCCATGGTGGGGAACAACCACTGGCCAGGCTGCTGCCACTGCCGTCGCTGCTGCTAGGGGGGTTGTGCCAGGCATCCGTCCCACCCAGCCATTTAAGTGTCCCACACAGTGAAACACCTGGGGCCAAACGTCCCTTGGTGAATGAGCTGTGAAAAGCAGGCAGGGCAGGAGCAACAGAGGAGGCCCCACCATGTATAAATGCTGGTGGTGGATCAACTGCAGTGGAGGCCCATGAAGAAGTGGGTGTGTGAAAATGTGGCTGGTGCAAATTGTCCTAGACCCTCCTATGAATCCTGTTCCTGTAAGAAACCTTGAACTTCTGACATTGGTATTGGCTGAGAATCCTGACCTGGCTCTCAGAACCTTGGGCTGATTTTGGATTATTTCTCTGTGCACCCTGTTGAAGATAACAGCAAATCATCTGGGCAAGCATTTGAGACTCTGTTTGATTTGCTTGTTTTTACTATTACCGGTCTTATCTCTTGACCTTGAGTAAAATGAATTATCAAGCAACTATGTATAAGTCACTAGGATAGGCTAGAAGTCTTGCGGGTTGTTGTGGGTAAGTATAAAAGTAGGAATCATAGATGGATATTAGTTCCCTGTCAGACTACAATGGATGGTGATAATGAAAGAACCAGGAATGACCTTGGAGAAAAAATGAAGAATATTTTGATTAACCCCAATTCAGAGGAATTTTTTTTCTGCTAGATTATATGAGTGTATTGGTGAGAAGAGATGAGAAGAGAAGAGCACAAAAAAAAATGGTTATTCCATTTGGAGATCCAAGAAGGGTGATTTTAGGGAGGGGGGAACCTGTTGGTGTCAAATACATGGTTGAAGTAATAATAATAATAATAGTAGTAGTAGTAGTAGTAGTAGTAGTAATAGTAACAGTAGTAGTAAAGTTGGAAGGGACCTTGGAGGTCATCTAGTCCAACCCCCAGCTCAGGCAGGAAACCCTATACCATTTCGGACAAATAGCTGTCCAGTCTCTTCTTAAAAACTTCCAGTGTTGGAGCATTCACCGCTTCTGGAGGCAGGTTGTTCCACTGGTTAATTGTTCTAACTGTCAGGAAGTTTCTCCTTAGTTCTAGGTTGCTTCTCTCCTTGATTAGTTTCCACCCATTGCTTCTTGTGCTGTCTTCAGGTGCTTTGGAGAATAGCTTGACTCCCTCTTCTTTGTGGCAGCCCCTGAGATATTGGAACACTGCGATCATGTCCCCCCTCGTCCTTCTCTTCATTAGACTAGACATACCCAATTCCAGCAACCGTTCCTAATATGTTTTAGCCTCCAGTCCCCTAATCATCTTTGTTTCTCTTCTCTTTCTAGAGTCTCAACATCTTTTTTACATCGTGGTGACCAAAACTGGATGCAGTATTCCAAGTGTGGCTTTACCAAGGCATTGTAAAGTGGTATTAAGACTTCGCATGATCTTGATTCTATCCCTCTGTTAATGCAGCCTAGCACTATGTTGGCTTTTTTGGCAGCTCCAGCACACTGCTGGCTCATATTTAAGAGGAACTGAAGCATGACTGATGATAAAAGGCAGAAAATTTGCAAAGCATGCAAGGAGAATGTGAGGTTCTGAATTTGAGACACCATATTTTAGTGGCGTATAAATAAATTATAAAATTCCCAGCAGAATTTAGAAAGGGAATGTAAGGGAAAGGATGCAGACGTTGCTTGGAATAGAATGGAAAGGGTTACAGAGTGCCATGTAAGTGTGTGAAGTTACCTATTCCAAGTCCGAAAAAGACTTCTTTTTTGAGTTATAAAATTAAACAGGTTGTGGATGAGCAAAATGTTCTCCTAGCCAGACCTATCTCCCTGGCAAAGATCAGGAATATACCTCACCAGCGATGTTGACATTTTCCAGTAGCTCAATCACCTTGGCTGCATCAGTGCTCTCTGCCTGCATTGTGTTCAAAATCTCTATGCTGTTTGTGGCAAAAGTGATGAGGGCGTAATTGGGAGAGACATCATAGCTGGAGATCTGCAAAGGGAAACCAGAAGACAAAAAGAAGCATGACTGCATTTTTCAACTAGATTCATTAACGTTCAGTCTCAAGGGCAGTAGAATAGAATAGAATAGAATAGAATAGAATAGAATGGAATGGAATGGAATAGAATAGAATAGAATAGAATAGAATAGAATAGAATAGAATGGAATGGAATGGAATGGAATGGAATGGAATGGAATGGAATGGAATGGAATGGAGTGGAGTGGAGTGGAGTGGAATGGAATAGAAATAGAAATAGAATAGAATAGAATAGAATAGAATAGAATAGAATAGAATAGAATAGAATAGAATAGAATAGAATAGAATAGAATACAGCTGGAAAGGACCTTGGAGGTCTTCTAGTCCAGCCCCCTGCTCAGGCAGGAGAACTTATACCATCTCAGACAAGTGACTGTCCAGTCTCTTCTTCGAAACCTCCACTGATGGAGCGCCCACGATTTCTGGAGGCAAGCTGTTCCATGGGTTAATTGTCCTCATTGTTAGGAAATTTCTCCTTAATTTCAGGTTGCTTGTCTCTTTGATCAGTTTCCAATCATTATTTCTTGTCCTGCCCTCTGGTGCTTTGGATAATTTGACCCCCTCTTCTTTATGACAGCCCCTCAAATACTGGACTACTGTTATCATATCACCCCTATTTTTTATGTTCTTTACACTAGCCAAGCTCAAGTCCTGCAGCCATTCTTTATATGTTTAAGTCTCCAAGCCTTGGATCATCTTAGTTGCTCTTCTCTGAACTTTTTCCAAGGTCTCAACATCTTTTTTGTAGTATGGTGACCAAAACTGGATGTAGTATTCCAGATGTGGTCTCACTAGGGTTTTATAAAACGGTTCTAATACTTTGTGTGATCTTGATTCTGTTCCTCTGTTTATACAACCCAGGATTGTATTAGCTTTTTTGGCTGCTGCTGCACACTGCTGGCTCATAGTCAAGTGATCATCCACTAGGAGTCCAAGGTCCCTCTCACAGTTACTGCTTTTGAGCCAAGTCTTACCTATTCTATTCTATTCTATTCTATTCTATTCTATTCTATTCCATTCTATGTTAGTTTACATCCATTACTACTTCTCCTGCTTTCAGATGCTTTAGAGAATACGTTGACCCCTTCTTCTTTATTACAGCCCCTTAGAAGACTATTCTCATGTCATCCCTAGTCTGTCTTTTCACTAGACTAGACAAACCCAGTTCCTATAACTGTTCTTCTTATGCAGGATCCAATATGGGTCTGTTATCAGGACCAGAGGTTTTGTCTTCCGAGCTTTTGGACTCGTGCTGAAGTCCATCTAGAGAGAAGTTCCCTAAAGGTGAGTTCCTGGCTGAGGAATTCTGGGAACTGAAGTCCACAACTTGTAAAATTGCCAAGGTTGGAGAACCCTGCATGGGATGGTAGAGAATATTTTGTGAAGCTAACAAGAATGTTATGTTGGGCCAGGCTCACAGCGACAGCCATTTCTCAGTGGCTCTCCACATTTCCAGTGTTCCCTTGATCTAAAAAATGGTCTATCACTGCCTTATAATGTCATCATGCTTGCTGGGGAATTCTGGGTATTAAAGTCCACATGCCTTAAAGGGGTGAAGTTTGATAAACCCTGGTTTATAACTAGTGTTGGACTTGGTACAGGACTGAGCAAAAAAATTATCTGATTCTTCCATACCTTTTCAATCAACTTGATTGTAGCATTCTGTGTATTGTTGAAATCCTCTTGTTTAATACTTTTTGAGGCATCAAGGAGAAAGTAGATGTTCATTGTGCCTCCTTTCTTAATGACAATCCTTCGCTTCTGTGTAGAGGCTGGAGAGGAAAAGAACTAGTATTCACGTCTTGTTTTCCTAGTTATGTGTAATTTTGATATTTTGGACATTCTACCACAATGTACTAGATTTCTGCACCACAATATACTGCTGCAAATTTCATTAATGGAAATTACACTCAGGAGCTATTCCTTTGATAACTAGGAACATCTCTGTATTTTGAGGTGAGATTTAATCCAGAGCTGCAAAATGGTTCAGAAGAAGGTAGCAGACCGATATGTCTATGAGTAACAGCAGCTGTCAATCTAACAGGCATCCACAGAGAAACAACGGGCTTCATAGCAATAGACATATGCCCAAGATATTATGGTTAGAATCTTCTGCCTTGGAAGAGCCCTAGATATTTACTTCCATTTTTCCTCAACTAATGACCTGCTTGAATATTTACAAAAATATTATGCAATGTCTTGGTTGTAATGCTTTTAACAATTCTCGTAGAAGAGAATCTTTGTAACTCAGAGTTGAGCGACAGAGTCCTTGGTGCTTTCTAAGCTTGGTTGTTAGCTTGCAGACATTTCATTACCGAACTAGGTAACATAATCAGTGTCAATGAGTTCTGTTCATTAACATTCTTGAATGGAAACAAGAGGGATTGTTTTGTTCGTTTGTTTTTTTTAAAAAAAAACCTGCTTGGTGCTCTTTTTTCTATATTGAAATGACATTCCATTAAATTGTCCTAGAACAGTGGTGGCGAACCTTTTAGAGACCGAGTGCCCAAACTACAACCCAAAACCCACTTATGCATTGCTGGGTGCCGGGTGGGCGTGGCCACCAAGTGGGTGTGGCCACCAAGCTGTTGGCTCGTGCTCGCTCGCTCGCTGTCTGCTCCGACTTGTGCTCGCTCTCTTGCTGTCTGCAGCAAATGCTGCTTCCACCAAAAGTTGCTCCTTTTATAGCCTCTGGCCTATTCCCAGACTCCGCATGCATGGAGAGCTGTGCATGCAGACTCCGCATGCATGGAGAGCTGTGCATGCATGGAGAGGAGGAGGGAACAGCTCGGCCCAGCACTGGCTCGCGTGCCACCAGAGATGGCTCCGTGTGCCGCCTGTGGCACGCGTGCCATAGGTTTGCCACCACAGTCCTAGAATATTTACCACTCAGAGAAATTGAGAGCATTAACAACATAACTGTGCTCTCTCTTGTTAGGCTAGGAAGGGAATTATAATTATCCATTCCATTTACAAAGACTTACAGATATTTCTATTGGCATCTGCAACTTCAGCAGTTTCAGTCAGAGATGAGATGAAGTTGGAAGCAACCTCTTCTGGGGTGTCATAAGCAAATGGCTCTGGGAAGGAACAAGAGAAGGCTCAATTAGCAACAGATCATAAAAGAGAATGCCCTCAAATAAATAGAACTAATTTTTATGCAAACTAGTATTGAAATATTAAGAAGGGAAGTTGCACATTTTGCTGCTCTGGGGCCCTTTGGGATAAACATAGGAGACTCTCTAGTGTTCTCAATTTGGTCCATTTTAGGGAGACTATATGTCGTCACATATGTAACTAATATTTCTGTTCTGGTATATATAGCTTTTATGGGTTCATTTATTTATTTTTAGCAAAAAATACTTTATTATTACTGAAACATTCTTTGAGATAATTTTCTCTTCTCCCATTTCCTTGATGACTGGTTTTTTGTTTTTGTTTTTCTTACAGAAAGCTTGCTTATATGTTTGATATTTATTTGTTTGATGTTTCCCGTGGAATATCACTTCCTTGGAGACACAATTGATCCCCACCTTGTTACTTTTCTGAAAGGCTCTGAAGATCTGATTCTGTCTGTGGACGTGGGGACTCAAGGCCGACATGGAGCCTATCAAGTGATTGATATTCTTGCCTTTCTTGCCACCGATAGGGTGTGGGGGAGGGTTATATGGGGTTTATGCTTTGAATTTTTTAATGTTGTAAGCTAGGAGCAAGATGGTCACGTTGTTAGGACACTGGGTTGGAGGATAGCAAACCCATGTTTGAGACCCGAGTGCTGCTGCATGGCGGGGTGAGCGCCTGTCATTCACTCCAGCTCTCTGATGAGGAGATGGAACGAGCTCCCCCCCCCCCCCAAGGGCAACAGTGATGTCACCGGCTAACCTGTTCAACCCGGAAGCGCCTTAAAAGGTGTCTCTGACACAAATGGGACAGGATATTGTAAGCTGCCCAGAGTCATTGTGTGTCAGTTGGGCAGCCGTATAAATTTGCTTAATGAATAAATAAATAAATAATAAATACATCTGCAGCGCAGTCAAAAGACGCTTTGCCAGCACAAACCTAAAAAATAAGTGAATGAATCCCCCTGAGGTAAATACATATTACGAGGAAGTTTCTTTCCTGATTTTGTATTCAGCTTTCAGACGACGGCTATTTTTCAGATGCACATTCCTTAAAATGATATTTATTGTGAATTCTTGACTGGTGATAAAGCAAAGCTCTGAGATTTGACCCAATCTTTGTGTTGAAGTTACGGTGTTTCTTAGGGTGAATTTCATCAACTAACTCTAACAGAAACCCAGGGCTGATTCCCCACCACCACCACTACATAAAGTAGTAAAAACAAAAAATCTTCTGTTCATCTGGAATAAGTTCCTGCAGTTTCCTTGACAAAGTTTTTCAGAAGTGATTTGTCATTTCTATTTCCTAGGGCTCAGAGAAAGTGACTGGCCCATGGTCACCCAGGTGGCTTTATGCCTAAGGAACACACTGCTTCCTGGTTTCTAGCCTGATGCCTTAACCACTACACCAAACTGGCCCTCATTTGTGTAATAGAAATGCCTTAATAGGTATTCTGACCCGTATAGCTCTATGTAACCTCGTATAGCTCTATGTAACTTGTTAATGGGTCAGTGGGAGGAGTTTCTAAAGGGCATTGGGAGACTTCCTGGACACAAGCCAGATTGGAATGTCTTTGTCTGAAAGAAGCATGAGCCATCAGATGTCACTCGATGAGCCTGAGCCATTATAAAGATGGTATGGAAGAGAGCATCATCCTTTTACCTATAGGAATGGACAAAGGATGTAATTTCCAGAAGTATCAGCCACAGTATATATGCAAGGGATCTTTCTGATTGAAATATAGTTTTTGTTATAAAACCATTTCTATTGAGTTATCTATCTGACTTGATTTAAAGAAGGCGTTTTTAACAGAGTCAGAATAATAGGGCTAGGGAGAACTTTTGCAAGGAGGATGGGAAAGCAAGTAAAACTAGAGAGAAGTCAGGTCACCTAACATTATATCCGAAGCTTGCCTCCGGACATAACCCCTGAATGCAACAACCAAACCAAACCATGACGAAGGTGCGTTATTCCTATACAATAATTTTTGTAATCAAGAATTCCTCTCACAACCCCAGGGTTCACATTTTCAGTACAGATAGTCCTCGACTTACAACCACAACTGAGCCCCAAAATTCTGTTGTTAAAGGGAGACATTTGTTAAGGGAGTTTTGCTCCATTTTATGACTTTTCTTGCGCCGTTGTTATGTGAATCCGGCTTCCCCATTGACTTTGCTTGTCAGAAGGTTGCAAAAGGGGATCACGTGACCCTGGGACATGGCAATGGTCATCAATGGCCAGTTGCCGAGCATCCAGATTTTGATCGCATGACCATGGGGACATTGCAATAGTTGTAAGTGTGAAAAACAGCCATAAGTCACTTTTTTTCTGTGCCATTATCACTTCGAACAGTCACTAAACGAACTGTTGTAAGTCGAGGACTACCTATATTTAACCCCAATATTCTTCCCATTAGATATTCTTTCCCCTTTGCTCACGCCGACACTGTGGTTCTGATCCACTCCAGCTTCCTGATTCTTGGCAAATCCGTTCACTGGATCCCACAAGAATGAGACCACGCTCACAAGTGTAGCGGACACGATATTCTACCCGATATTCATTGCCTTCTTTTCGACCGCCAATTGGAATACCGGGGTTAGAGCAATGACCAGCTAGGTAGGAGAAGAGAGGACACCATTAATAAATAGTCACTTTGAAGTATATGCAGTAAGCAACAAATACACTATGCGTACATGAAATATCTTTCGTTCCTCAGAAAGCTAAGAATTAAAGCAACAAAATGTGGGATTCAAAAAGGTAATCTTTCTCTACTCTTGTTCATATTAGTTCTTGAGGTAATGAACAGAGAGAGAAGACAAGATGAGAGAATTAAGAGGGGGGTTAATTTTAAAAAAGAAACATATAAATTGAGGCATTTGCAATCATTTGGTCTTAATTTTGGAAGATCCATTAAAGGGAATAGAAACATTAATGGGAAAATGAAAGGACTTGGTATGTTAGCAGGTTATAAGATTAACAATCAGAAGACAAAGATGTCAACAAAAATATGAAATTAGAGCAAATAGAACTTACAGAGAGCACTAGATTTAAGACTGAGGAAAAAATAAAATGTTTGGGTATTACTCTGACAATATGCATTGTATGCTATTTCATAATTGTTGTGTCCTGAGCCTGCAAAAGCAGGCTCGGGATGTTGCATTGGTCCCGGGCATTCCAAAAGCTGCCCAGGACCAGATAGAGCGGCGCCAGCCTTGTGCGCATGCGCAAGGTGCGAAAGCGCTCTGTTACTGTTGCTTGTCATTGTACGGGTTTCTGGCCGTATAAAGGGGCCTGCGAGCCTTTTGTTTTCGTTCGGGTGTTGTTGGAAGAAGAATAAAGAGCTGTTTAACTTTGCCATGTGTATTCATCATTCTCACGTGAATGAAGTACTTAACAATAATAATTTCATTAAGACATGGAATTAAATTAAGAAGGACTTGTTAAGGTGGGAGAAGTTAAAATTGTCATTGTTGGGGAGAACCTCGGTAATGAAAATTAAATGTTTTGCCAAAATGATGTTTTTGTTTCCGACAATTCCTGGTTTGATGATTGATGAACCATTTGAACAATGGCACAAAAAATATCTAAATTTATGTGGCAAAGGAAAAAACCCACAGGTTGCCTATAAAGTGTTACAACAGGGGTAGTCAACCTTGGCTCTTTTATGACTCGTGGACTTCAACTCCCAGAATTCCTGAGCCAGCTAAGCGGCGCCGCCCCCTGAGGGGGAAAAATGGCAGATCGCGTTGTTTGGCGAACCCCGTAAAATGGTCGTTTGACCCCAAATGGGGTCGCGACCCATAGGTTGAGAACCGCTGTTCTATGTATTAGTTTGCATTAATTTTTAATTTCTGTTTTAAAGGCTTTAACAAAACTATACATATACATGCATACTATAATGTACTCTATAATAAAGAAAGGGAGGGGAAAGTAAAGACCAAAGTGGTCTCAGTGGCAATAGGAGCACTCAGGGCTGTGACTCCTAAGCTGGGCAAGTGGCTCCAACAGATGCCAGGAACAACGTCAGAGCTCTCCAGAAGAGGGCAGTGTTAGGAACAGCTAAGACAGTGGTGGCGAACCTATGGCACAGGTGCCAGAGGCAGCACTCGGAGCCCTTTCTGTGGGCACACGTGCCTTTGCCCCAGCCTTGCCTCCCCCCATGACCTCCTCCTCACCAGCATCCCCTCTGGAGGAGAGTTACCCTCAAGTGTGGCCCACGTGGAGCAGTGCAGCCAGGGACATGGCAGCCAGGCAGCGTAGACAAGACTCTGCCCTCATGCCCCATCTTGCACAGTTGATGCTGCGGGCCGCAGGCAGAGGGCGTGGCCGCCATGGCACTGCTGGGCTGCCTGGGCGATCTGCGGCGGGCCCTGGTGGCGATAAGTGGCCCTGCGGGCAGGCGGGGTGAGGGCGGGGCAGGGGGTGAAGCAGGGGTGGGGCGAGTTTTTGGGCACTCGGTCTCTAAAAGTTTCGCCATCACTGGTTTACATGATGGAAGATAAAAACTGATGTTGTGTTTTCGAAGACAGAAAAGGAAAGGAAATCTGAATAGCAATTAATTTTCACACTCACTTCCATCATCACAAATGGTTGTTTTTCCACTCCATTTCCCATTGGGAAGGCAGAAGCGGACTTCAGACCCCGTCATGCTGTATCCTCCATAGCAAGTAAATGTGATGTTCTGGCTTATATTGTAATATGGCTGCGGGGGCTCAAAGTAACCGTTTTCAAATTCTGCAATCCTGGGGCAGCGGATATCTGAAAATAATAATACATTATCAGTAAGCAGGATTGAGTACTTCAAGGTTATATTCTCTAACTCATTCCACCTCAACAAATTAATCCTCTCCTCTCTTTCTTGAGCTATTTCAATATTCAGCATACAAAATTGTGCAGAGGTATTGTCAAGCTCCCCTAACTGGAACCTGTGTATGAGGTAAAAACAACAGAAACTGCTTTGGTCGCGCTGATGGATGATCTCTGGCGGGCCTGAGACAGAGGTTATTCCTCTGTCTTGGTGCTACTTGACCTCTCAGCGGCTTTCGATACCATCAATCATGGTATCCTTTTGCGACGACTCGAAGGGGTGGGAGTGGGAGGCACCGTTTTACAGTGGTTCTCCTCCTACCTCTCTGGCCAGTCGCAATCAGTATTGGTGGGAGGTCAGAGGTCAACCCCAAGGCCCCTTGAATGCGGCGTGCCACAGGGGTCAGTCCTCTCTCCCCTCCTATTTAACATTTATATGAAGCCGCTGGGTGAGATCATCAGACAGCACGGGGTGAGGTTTCATCAGTATGCTGATGATACCCAGTTATATATCTCCTCCCCGAGCTCTCTCAGTGAAGCGGCCGATGTGATGGGCCGTTGCCTCGAAGCCGTGAGGGTCTGGATGGGGGTTAACAGACTCAGGCTCAATCCTGACAAGACCGAGTGGCTTTGGATGTTGCCTCCCAAGGATCATGTCGACTGTCCAGTGTTGATTCTTGCGGGGGAAAATATACCCCCTTCGGAGCGGGTTCGCAACTTGGGTGTCCTCCTTGATCCATAGCTGAATTTGGAACATCAATTGACGGCTGTGGCTGGGAGGACCTTTGCACAAGTTCGCCTGTTGCACCAGTTGTGACCCTACCTGGACCGGGAGGCTCTCCTTACAGTCACTCATGCCCTTGTCACCTCACATTTGGACTACTGCAACGCGCTCTACATGGGGCTACCCTTGAAAAGTATTCAGAGACTACAGTTGGTCCAGAATGCAGCCGTGCAAGTGATAGTGGGTGCTCCTCGATACACCCACGTTACACCTATCCTCTGTGAGCTGCACTGGTTGCCTATTGGTCTCCGGGTCCAATTCAAGGTGTTGGTCATTACCTTTAAAGCCCTATATGGCTCAGGGCCAGGCTATTTGCGAGACCGCTTACTACCTCATAGTTCCCTACGTCCAGTTAGATCCCACAGGCTAGGCCTCCTTCAGGCCCCGTCGGCCAAGCAGTGCCATTTGGCGGGGCCTCAGAGGAGGGCCTTCTCTGTGATGGCGCCCACGCTTTGGAACTAGCTCCCCCCGGAGATTAGGACCGCTCCCACCCTGTTGGTCTTCCGTAAGCTACTTAAGACCTGGCTTTTCCGGCAGGCCTGGGGTTTATAAAACCTTACCCCGGATGATTGTTTTTGTATTGTTGCTTTGTTATGTTTTATGTGTTTTTTATTGTTAGCCGCCCAGAGTCCTTCAGGAGTGGGGCGGCTTATAAATTTTAAAAATAAAAATAAATAAACATCTGTAACACCTTATAACAGAATTTCAGACTTTCTATGTTGCTGAGAGAACCAGCAGGACTAAGAGGATTGTACTTCCTCCATCCAGCCCACATTGCTGGTCATCCATAAGAACAACCCATGTAGTCACCTTAACCCAGATTGAGAGGAATGTAGATAATATGCTTCATTCAAGATCTTCTGTAGTTGACACCCTACCACCATCTTTGTCACCTTCCCTCCGAAGGGATAACTTGAGATGGGTCAGAACTTGTCCAGAATGGCTGGACCAAAGGATTACCTCTTGAAAAATAAACACAACACTAAATAAATGTCCATGGACATTTTCAATCATCCAGTCATGGGTGTCCCAAAGGTGCCTTTGCAAAAAACAACTGGATTTTTTTTTGGGGGGGGGGGGTTCCTTGAAAATGTTTCGCTTCTCATCCAAGAGCTGAAGAAACTTCTTGGATGAGAAGCAAAATGTTTTAGAGGAAAAAACCCCCCAAAAGTCTAGTTGCCTTTTTTAAAAAGTACTTTTGGGAAAAACATTCCGTTGCTTCTTTCAATGATGGGGCACAACTCCCTTTCTCAAAGAGGTGTTCATGCTAAGCTGTGTTCAGAAATAGACTGACAGATAATAAATGAAGAGCATCTTTCTGGCTGTAATGTCACTAGTGCAGGGGTCCTCAAACTTGGCCCTTTTATGACTTGTGGACTTCAACTCCCAGAATTCCTCAGCCAGGGCCAAGTTTGAAGACCCCTGCACTAGTGGCACCTCAACACACAACTAAGCAGCCACTTATATTCACTTATCCCAGGGGTCTTCAAACTTGGCCCTTTTATGACTTGTGGACTTCAACTCCCAGAATTCAAGTCCACAAGTCATAAAAGGGCCAAGTTTGAAGAGCCCTGACTTATCCCAATCCCATGGTTAAAGAGAGTCACTGATGATAGTTTTTAAAGGACCACACATGTTCTGACCTTGTTGTGGAGGTAGAATAGGGTTGGCAATATAGACCGTCCAAGTTATATATCTAGTATTTTCTTTGACGTCAACCCCAATTCAATGAGGAAGAAAGACTTCTAAGATAAGATGATACCAATTTTTTTATAGTAAAACCATTAGGTCTCATCTTTGGAATAAATGCTCAGCATCCCTGGTAGCAGAAGACGAGCAGGAAGGTTTCAGATGGAGCTGAAACACATTTGGATGCCAGCAAAGCTATGAGTCCCCCATGACATCAAAAGAGGCCCTAAAAATACGAGCTCCAGAACACAGATAACCCCTCATTGCTTTCATGGCCAGCCGAAAGGCAGGCTCTCTTTTTTAAAATTTAGAAATTAAATTATACCTCGGCACCTCGCCTGGAAGATGACCCTGTCCTCTTTATTTCTCATAGTGCTCCAGTACCCGTTCTCGCATTTCCGGTACTCGGTAGGGTATGGATATTGGCTATCTGGGCATATATACTGAAGCAATGTGTCGTTCTCCAGCAGCACTGTTTTGCCTCCTATAATTTCGTATGGCTTCGTCAAATCACAGCGAGCATCCACGACATCTGATGGGAAGAAGCACAAGAAAACATTAAAAGGATTCCAGTGTTAACCTCTTTTCTAAGTCAGCGTTTCTCAACCTTGCCAATTATCAGTCAATCAGACTAGAGCTGGAAGGGACCTTGGAGGTCTTCTAGTCCTGTCCCCTGCCCAAGCAGGGGATCCTATACAGGTGTCTGTCCAGTCTCTTTTTAAAAACCTCCCGTGATGAAGCACCCACAACTTCTGAAGGCAAAGCTGTTCCACCGGTGAATTGTTCTCACTGTCAGGAAGTTTTCCCATGCTGGGTGGGCAGGGCTGCGGTGGGCATGGCCACCTCGATGTTACTAATGGGGGATGCTTCTGGAGGCCCGGCAGGGTTGGGGGAGATCCAGGAAGTCTCTGGCGGGTGGAGTGATGGGTAGAAGGCCCAGCATAGATGGGGAGAGGCACTCAACCCTAGCTGGGACTAGGGGGGCTTGGCGCCAATGTGGATCTGGCTTTCCCTGCTCAGGGTGGCCTTTGGCTGGCTGGGTGTGGGCGTGCTCTACCACCTCTACTCGAGCTTGCTAGCTGGACACTTCGCCTCCTTTGTGCTGGGTGGGGCTGCCGCTCCGGGCGGCGGCGGTGGCCTAATGGACCTGCGCAAGCTGCTGGCAGCGGCGGCACGTGTGCCCACAAAGGCTGCTCTGAGTGTCGCCTGTGGCACGCGTGCGATAGGTTCACCACCACTGCCCTATACCATTTCAGACAAGTGGCTGTCCAGTCTCTTAAATAGCTCCACTGATGAAGAATCCACAACTTCTGAAGGCAATCCATTCCACTGGTTAATTGTCCTTAAGTTTTCCCTTAATTCCAGATTGCTTCTCTCCTTGATTAGTTTCCATCCATTGCTTCTTGTCTTGCCTTCTGGTGCTTTGGAAAATAAATTGACCCCCTCTTCTTTGTGGCAACCTCTCCAGTACTGGAACACTGCTATCATGTCCCCCCTAATTCTTCTTTTCTCTAGACTAGCGAAACCCAAATCCTGCAACGTTTTTGTCTCCAGGTCTTTAATCGTCTTAGTTGCTGTTCCTTGCACTTTTTCCAAAGTCTCGACATCTTATTTGTAATGTGATGATCAAAACTGGATGCAGTATTTAATTTAAGATGTGTGGAATGAAGCTAAAGTTGATGGTTGAGAAACACCATTCCAGATCCTGAATAGCCAACCTTTAGGCTATATGAGTTTTAATTTTGCTTTTGATGACTGCAAGTCAGTCTTGACTCCCAGCAACTACAGGAAAAAATCCATGTGATTTTCTTGGCAATGTTTTTCAGAAATGATTTTCCCTAGAACTGGGGGAAGGGACTGGCCCAAACTCCCAGTTCTGACTTCAGGCCTAAAGGCGGGACCAGAGTCTATACAGATAATCCTCGACTTACGACCACAATTGAGCCCAAAATGTCTGCTGCTAAGTGAGACAGTTGTTAAGTAATTTAGGTGAGTTTTGTCCCATTTCTTGCCACAGTTGTTCAGTGAATCACTGCAGCTGTTAAGTGTCAAAGCAAGAATATACAGTATTTGTAGGAAAATCAATGCCTGGAAGTTCTTTGAAGTGTTTCATTAGCCGGAACCATAACATTAAGTTAGTAACATGATTGTAATTGTCTCAAAGGTGCTTTTTCAAAAGGTGAGTTTGTGTGTGTGTGTGTGTGTGTGTGTGTGTGTGTGTGTGTGAGAGAGAGAGAGAGAGAGAGAGAGAGAGAGAGAGAGAAAGAGGGAGAGAGAGAGAGAGAGAGAGAGAGAATAGGTTCCTTTTGGGTCACTGGGGGGGGGGGGAAGATCCCTAAGGCAGTGTTTCTCAGCCTTAGCCATTTTAAGACGTGTGGACTTCAATTCCCAGAATTCCCCAGTTGAGGATTTCTGGGAGTTGAAGTCCACACATCTTAAAATGGCTGAGGTTGAGAAACACTGGCCTAAATTTTGAACCTCAGGAGTGCGATATGGATGGCTTCAGGCAACTAGTTGGTAATTGCTGGCTTTCCGCTTTAATTATAGATTTCCAAGTATCTGTAATAAACCTAGCTTATCAAGAACCGTGTCCTTGAATCTTAGCATTTGAGTCAGAGGGGCAGAAACTGTTTTTCTGTCCTCAGGGATCAGAATTTGGAGTCAACAACAAGCCTTTGTTTCAAATTCCAGCTAAACGCAATGATAAGCCTTCAATTTAACTCCTCAGGATGGAGAAGTCAAAAAAGTCAAGATGGCGATGCAACCACATGACGGAAGCCTATTTCTTATGTGCAAAGGGCAGGGTTTTGATCCCAGCCAAATGTGTAAAAGTTTTCAGGTCAAGGTGTACAGGTAGCGCTCAACCTGTGACTGAAATTGAGCGTAGAATTATGGTTGTAAGATGTGGCAGATCACCACTTAACCGTGCCAGATTTGACAATCTTTCTGGTGGTGGTTGTTAAGTTATGCAACAGTTGTTAAGCAAACATGTCTTCAAGGGCTGTTTTTTTGTTGGAAACGGGAAGTAAATGATGGGAAATGGCAAAAAATGTCAAAAACTGCAGTCACATCACCCCAGGAAGCTGCCAATGGCCGTAAATGTGAGTTGGTGGCCAAGTATCCAAAATGTGATAAATTGACCACGTGGGGCTGTGACTATTGGAACTTCAGAACTGGGTCCTAGGTAGTTTTGGGGAGGTACATTGTAACCTCAGATAGTCCCTAAATGAGGACTGCCTTTATAAAGGAGATACCTTTCTTTAGCTTTCCCTTGCAACGCACAGGCAGGAAATCAAAATGGCCACCTCAATCCTGCTATTTTTTTTTTACTTGCATTGCAAAAGAGATAGAGTTTGATTGTTTGGCTGTGGCTTCCATCTTGACTTTTTTGCCTCCCTCTAGGGGACATCAGGAGCTAGGCCAGGGATTTGAGGTTTTGTCCTCCCCCGTTGCAATGACCCATTGTAGGAGAGGATTTTCACATTATTTTCGTTGTTCGAAAACTGCTGTGAGCCGGGGCTGTTACCTGAGGTGAAAGCTAGCCTCAGGGCTTATTTTGAAAGGCAAACCTTAACTCAGGGTTGAGTAAAATATTACTCAAGATCTGAGGACTGTGGTGTTATATATAGATAGTCCTCGACCATAACTAAGAGCAAAATTTCTGTCGCTAAGCTTTCTGTTAAGTGAGTTTTGCCCCATTTTACGACCTATCTTGCCACAGGTGTTAAGCGAAGCACTGCAGTGGTTAAATTAGTAACCCAGTTGTTAAGTGAATGTGGCTTCCCCATTGACTTTGCTTGTCAGAAGTTCGCAAAAGATGATCACATGACTGTGGGACATTGCGACCGTCATAAATATGAGCCAGCACCATCCATCCAAATTATAATCACGTGACCATGGAGGTGGTGCAACGGTCTTAAGTGCGAAAAACTGTCATCAGATACTTTCTTCAGTGCTGTTGTAACTTTGAACCACAAAAGGTTGCAAGTTGAGGACTACCTGTACTGAATGTATTTACCCTAAGTCTTTATTTGTTTGTTTGTTTGTTTGTTTGTTTATAAATAAATAAATTTTATTGGCCACCCATTTTACCATAAGTAACTCTGGGTGGCTTAAAGACATAAAAAATACGTTTACAGTAAAACCTGAATAAATTAAAACTTAAAGTTAAGGACATCTCGATTCAATGAATTCCTTTTCCCCTTTCCTTTACCCTGAAGTCCAAGGAACTCATTTTCTTTTAGGTCAAGCTCTGAAACTATCTTGCCTTAATACAATTCCCCATTTTAAAAAAAGGGTATGAAAGGAGAAGTAACCCAGGGCCATTTTACCTCAAGCAGTGCAGTACGAAGGCAATCTGGAGTCACACCGGTTTGGGAAGCTGGGAATTGGTCTCCCTGTTCCTTTGCGTGGAGCTATATCGGGGAAGGGTGGGCTTAGTTTGCATTTGAACCCCCCCCACTTCCAAAATCTGAAATTAGTCATATTCTATGACCCCACATTTTGAAAGCTGCATCTGGACCCCATCTTTGCAGAAAGAAAGATGGGGCCATCCTTTTCCTTTGGCTGTGGGATGCATAGGGTAGTCTTCGGCTTACGACTACAATTGAACCCAAAATTTCTGTGTCATGGTTTCCGACAGATGAAACTCTTCAAAAGAACTCCGAGGCATTGTTTACCTTAAAGCAGTGCTTCTCAACCTGAGGGTTGGGACCCCATTTGGGGTCGAACGACCATTTCACGGGGGTCGCCAAACAACACAGTCCGCCATTTTTTTCTCCTTTTCCTTAGCTGTGCTACTCCCTTTTATTCTATTGGCTTTTGAAAGCCAATAGAACAGCGGTTCTCAACGTTTGTGTGATGGCGACCCCCGTCACACAAACGTTATGCGCATGCGCGGTGCGGCGCACATGGGGGCAGGGGCCTGGTGCGTGGCACGCATGCGTGGTGGCGCCCCCGCGCGTGGCGCACATGCGCGGTGCCGCCCCCATGCGCACCGTGCATGCATGACGCCGCCCCCATGCGCGGCGCGCGTGCATGACGCCGCCCCCATGCGCGGCGCGCATGCATGATGCCGCCCCCCAGAGGCGCGCGCCGCCCCATGCGCGGCGCACATGTGCGGCGGTGCCCCCGGAGGGGACAAAATGGTGCCTTTGGCGACCCCCGAAAAGTGGTCGATCGACCCCATAGGTTGAGAACCGCTGCAATAGAATAGATTCTCTTGAATAGAGTCTAATTCTATTGGCTTTCAAAAGCCAGTAGGAATTGTCCAGGCTGTCTCTGCCCTGCTGAGCCCGCCAAAAGTCCCATTCTGCAAACGGTGCTGCACCAGTTGAGTAGTCCTCGACTTACGACCGATTGGGGGTCGCGGCATTAAAAAGGTTGAGAACCACTGCCTTAAAGAATCTTTTATTCGAGAAACAAAATATCGGCACTACATAGTCGAAACCAAAAACTAAATTCCCTCCCATGGTACAAAGTAGCAAAGCGCAATGCCCTCCTCCAATTAGCAGTCATAAATCACATTCCCCAATTAGCTTGAAGCGCAGGCTTTCTCCCCAGCTCTCCAGCCTGCCAAAACTCTATCAATTCTGGGCCCAAGGACCTTGGGTTCCCACGGCTGAGTTATTATTGTTATAACTAGCTGGACTCTCATCCATATTCCCCTTCCCAGCATCAACTAACTCTAAAAGCAATAGAGAAAAATGGCTGCATTTCCATCTGTTGTCAAAGCAAGAACATCCGATGTTAGCAGCGTTGACATCCTGTGGCTAAGCAAGACAGTTGTTAAATGAGTTTTGCCCCCATTTGTCGACCTTTCTTGCCACACTTATTAAGTGAATCATTGCAGTTGTTAAGTTGGTGACAAGGTTGTTAAGTGAATCTGGATTCCCTTGTCAGAAGGCCGTAAAGGGTGCTCACAGGACCCTAGGACACTGCAATTGTCACAAATATGAGTCAGTTGCCAAGTGCCTGAATTTTGATCACGTCACCATGGGGATGCGGCAATGGTCGTAAGTCTGAAAAATTGTCATACATCACTTTTTTTCAGGGCCATTGTAACTTTGAACAGTCACTAAATGAACTATTGTAAGTCGAGGACTACTGTAGTCCACGAGGCAAGATTCTCTCCCTTCTCACTGGCAGTCCAAAATCACAAAGGTCTGCTGAAGTTTACTAGAATACAAGGAAATGCAAGGCATTTGGCCTTGGAAATAAAACATAGGGGATGGGGTCAATAAAGTCAAGATGGCAGCTGTGGTTCCCCCCTCCCCCTTCCGACAATGTGTGTAATCGAGAGTGTGGGCTTTTAGCAAAATGCATTATGGCAGTGTTTCTCAACCTTGACAATTTTAAGGCATGTGGACTTCAACTCCCAGAATTCCACAGCCAGCAATGCTGGCTGTGGAATTCTGGGAGTTGAAGTCCACATGCCTTAAAATTGTCAAGGTTGAGAAACACTGCATTATGGGGAGGGGTCCTTTGTGAGCAAATATGTCCCTTTAGAACAGCAGTTTTTAACCCTGGCAGCTTTACCGTGTGTAGAGATCAACTCCCACAATGCTCCATGCTGACTAGGGAATTCTGGGAGTTCCACACATCTTGAAGCTGCTAAGACTGAGAAATTCTGCTTTACAGAGAAGCCATCTAGCCCTTTGTGTGTGGTTCACTTAAACTCCCAGCATCCCTCCCCATTAGCCATGTATATTGGATGTTGCTGAGAAATGAAGTCCTGCAATATTTGGTAAACTAGGGATTACACGCCTCTGAGAGACAATTGGTTTATCTTTTGCATGTGTGCAAGGGTGCACACATTTATAAAAAGGGATGATGTAATAGCGACGAATTCTTCCTATTGGGAAATGTCCAGGTCTGTCAATAACCCTGCAATTTAGTGTACTTAGTGTAATAGCTAATCCAGTTTGTTTAGGAAGGATTGTTTCTGAAAGTCCCGTAAGCCTCAAACCAATAGCCAAAAACTTTCTAGGCCTTAGGCCTGTCTTATTTCTGACAGAAGCAGACCAAACAAACACAAACCATTATAAATGGCCTGAAAAACTGATTACAATCTTGCAAAAAGCAAGCCAAGTACTTTAAGAAAGAGAACACAGCCACTCTACTTTTTAGCAATAGCAGTAGCACTTAGATTTATATACCGCTTCACGGTGCTTTACAGCCCTGGCCCCTATCTAAGCGGTTTACAGAGTCAGCATATTGCCCCCAACAGTCTGGGTTCTCATTTTACCGACCTCGGAAGGATGGAAGTCTTAGTCAACCTTTTATCTTTATCTTTGTGGCAAATCTCAGTTTAATTCTTACTTAGATATGCTTAGCCTTGTGTAAGCTGCTGTTAAATTGCGGAAGCCAGTAAATAAATCTTTGCATAAATCAGGAAAAGTGCTAGGCTTATAAACGTTTCTTTCTGAGATTATGCTTTTCCCGTGCAATTATTTTTAAGAAGGACTATAATGTTTGTTATTTTGTTTCTAAAGATTGCTAGGCGCCCAGAATCATGTGTTTGAGATGGGCAGCTGTATAAATTAAATAAACAAATAAGATTAGTTAAATAAATGAAATGTAAGCCTTTGTCCGTATATAGCTTTTCATACACTGGAAAAAGGGAAAAACCCAGGTGATCACACTATGCTTTATAAATGACAAATGCCTTAAAATATGCTGAAAACTTCCTTGTAAGAATAAAATGAAACCTATTGTGTATGCATTAAAGTGTAAAGGATTCATTAACAAAAAGATACATTGCATTCACAATTTTTACACTTAAATGATTTTGAAAAACATCCAGGGCATTTCAATAGATTTTGAAACAGACCTTTGCCCATTTCTGGCTTTTCAATTCAGAAAGGAAATGATAACGTTTGATTTCAAAACTCAAAATTCATTTTGAAAGCTTTCTCCTCTCTTAGACTCCAAATGCCAAAAATTCTGTGTAACAATATCTTTATTATTTTTCATAAGCATTGCATATAAAGCACAGACATTGTCATATAAGTTAGAATAGAATAGAGCTGGAAGGGACCCTGGAGGTCTTCTAGTCCAGCCCCCTGCTCAAGCAGGAGAACCTATACCATCTCAGATAAGTGACTGTATATAAGGCTGCCTACATCACTGAATGTTGGTTCTTAAAAGCTGCCTCTTATTGAAGAACCATTATAAGTCCTCCGTCCAATATTTTTGCATGTCAAAAAGCAGCTAGAAATAATTTTTATTGAACTATGATTAACATGATTATGATTAAACTATGATTAAATCCAAGATGCACAGTGAAAAAACATAGAAAGTTACAAAATCTCTGCTAAAAAAAATCACAGTTTACACACACAAATTTACCAGGCATAAAATGTCGCCATATTGTGGACTATTGCTATTGAGATAAACTGTTAAATCCGTCCAAATTTGATAGAACTGTGGTTCCTCCCTCTGAAGTTTCATTATTCTAACTTTGTGATTTATTTATTTTTTTAGCATAGCAATTGAAGGGGCCTTGTTAATCCACAACACAGTTGCAATATTATCTAGAGCAGGGATCCCCAACTCCCCGGTCTGTGGACCGGTCCTGGGCCACGGCATGCCAGCAACCAGTCCACACAAACAAGGAAAGCCCCATCCACGGGATGCAAGCAGCACACAAAATTACACACCCTCCAGTCCATCGAAAAACTCTCTCCATGGAACGGGTCCCTGGTGCCCAAAAGGTTGGGGACCACTGATCTAGAGTTTCCTTATGCTGGGCAGTTAATAGCTTTAGCTGCTAAAATTAAATAGACAATCAATCCCTTGTTTTACAGATGTCAAAAAGCAGCTATGCAAAATACAGGTAGCAAAGACTGGCGAAAAGGAGAAAGCAGCAAATTTCACTAGCAAAGAGTTCCAACAGGGGAACTGGAAAAAAAACCCCATACCTTTACAAACGTCATTATTTTCATGTGACAACCCTTCTCCTACACCCTTGTGGCATCATTTTCAGCAGAATAAAAGTCTGAGAAGTTTCAGGCTTCAAGAGCCATTAGCTTCCGCCAAGCCCAATCTTGCTCTGGGCACCTGGAGGAAACTCACCAGCTGTTTCTCGAATTTTTTAGCTTACCTGTGCCAAGTGCCCCAAGGACACTGGCGATGTAAAGGAGCAGATGAGCCCTCTGCATTCCTGCCTCTCTTTCCCGTCTGCCTTTCAGTTTCTCTGCTGCTATTTTGGTACTGACAGCAGCCGTGCGGGGCAGCTGCTTATGAAATGTTGGTTTTCCTCCCTCCAAACGTGTTGTTGGCTAACCCCACCCTGACAAAAGCAGCTGAGTTTTGGGAAATAACACAGTCCATTAAGCAATTCTAGAGCCGGGTGGGAGATGGATGAGGCCAGAAGACCTTGGTGTGCAGGTGGACAGGAATTCCCAAGGTTTTGGGAATGAAATCGGGCAAAACTGAATCTGGGAGGCAGGAAAGGAGGAAAGATCAACTGGGAAATCCCCAGATTTAATAGTACAAAGGAAAGTTTCACAATTTGAATTATGCCAGAGGATTACTGCAGTGTATCAGGTCCCTGCTATTGCTAAGCAATGGATCTATGCTGGAGCCCAGGTCCATGGTTCTTACTCACCCCCCCCCCTTATTTGCTCTTCCCACTAATCTCCCACTATTTATCAAGCCAAACTATAATACAAATAGCAGTTTTTTTGGCATGTGATAATTAAACATAATTTCTAAAGACTTTATCAGCATGGACTATGAGCACAATATGAAGTCTAATTGATTTAGACTCAGGATAATTGATCTCAGGATTGCCTAGGAGTAGGCAGTGCAAACAAAAGCAAGGAGATACACATGGTCTGAACCAGTCCTTCAAAACAATGCGAAACACAGTTAGATTATGTTTGTTTATTCGTTACCCTGTAATCAGCTCTGGGAAGTGGGGGAGGGGGCCGGATTGGGTAGGAGGGGTTTATATTGTAACTTGTAAAACTTGTACTAAAAAAAAACAATGCGAAACACAGAGTTTCATGGCAACATTGTGAAGAGCTTGGACAACCAATTGTCTGAAATGGTATAGGGCAGTGATGGCGAACCTTTTAGAGACCGAGTGCCCAAATGTCAACCCAAAACCTACTTATTTATCACAAAGTATCAACATGGCTATTTAACCTGAATACTGAGGTTTCAGTTTAGAAAAAACAACTCATACATTAACATTTTTTGTCTAAAAAGAAAAACACAATAACAGAGCTTTCAATGATACAACTTTTTATTGAAAGGTAAAAGTTTGCAGTTGGCATGCTTTTGAACAATTAATGTGATTTTTGCTATTGTATGCATGCTGATAATTTGTCTAACCTTGGCTCATACTTTATGTTGTGTCCTGAGCCTGCAAAGGCAGGCTCGGGACGTTGCAATGGTCCCGGGCAGTTGCAAGCTGCCCAGGACCAGACTGGCTGGCGCCAGCGTCACATGCATGCGCGAAGCGCAGAGCGCAACTAATTGTTGCCATTCTGCCCGGGGGATGTTGTTAAAAGGAGTTGAGAGGCCTGCGAGCCTCAGAGCTGTGTCGGAGAGTGTGAACTGTTGAATAAAGGCTGTTGTAATGAGCAGAATGTCTTCTCTTCATTAGCCGCTGATCCAAGGACTCTACACTTTATATGTTTGAGAGCAACACATGCAGCAATCAGGTCATCCGTTAGTCTGTTTCTGGTGTCAGATTTGATATAATTCAAAGCTGAAAACAGCTGCTCACAAGCATAAGATGATTCAAACAAAGTAAGGAAAGCAATCTCAAGTGCTTTCATTGACTTAAAATTATTTGGCAGAGAATTCCACACTTTAAGGATTACATTTTCAGAACTAACTGTGCTGTCCTTTGTCAACCCTTCTATCTTCTCAAGTGTCATAGAATTTATTTTTCCAGATAGAGCTTTCTTGAAATTCTAATAGTTTCATTTCCAGATTTCCTAAATCTAACGAGTGTAAGCAGGAAAGATCAAGTTCTTCAAATTTGGCTTTACCTGGAGAAGTAAGAAAAAACAGGGTTGTCTCCATCTTACGGAACTGTAAAAATCTGTTACAAAATTCACCTTTGCAGCTGCTACAATGCTAGAAAATTCCTTGCAGATTTCCTGATGGCTTGTAGGATTGTCTGTAAATGTAGCATTTTCTAAATGCATTTTTAGTTTTGGAAAATATTTCAGCTGCCCACTTTCAAGGTCTCTTTCAAAAACCTGCAGTTTTCTCTCAAATGTTTTGATATCACAAAACATCCTTTTGGCTGTTTTTCTTCACCTTGTAGTTGTTTGTTCAGTACATTGAAGTGTAGTGTAAAATCTGTAAAAAAAACATGAGGTTGGTAAGCCAGGCCGTATCAGTGAGCTGTGGATATTCCTGCCCTTTTTCATTCATAAACAACCTAATTTCATCCAGGCAGGCTACAAATCTTTCTCATCCTCTGCTCAGCCACTGGACATTATTGTACATAAGTAAACAATTTCACTGTGCCTGAACCTCCTGAAGAGCTGCTTGAAACTATTGTAAATTAAGAGCACGAGCCATGATGTAATTCACCATTTTTGTGACATCTTTGAGGACATTGTCAAAGTTTTTGCTGCTTTCCCTGACACAAAGAGCTTCTTGATGTATAATACAATGGAACTGAACGATTTGATGTTTTGTTTCTTTAACAAAGATTTCATTTTAAGGATTTCATTTTCAGAACTAACTGGGCTGTCCTTTGTCATCCCTTCTATCTTCTCAAGTGTTTCACGCAGTTCATAGACTTAATTTTCCCAGATAGAGCTTTCTTGAAATTCCAATAGCTCCATTTCCAGATTTCCTAAATTTAACCAGTGTAAGCAGGAAAGATCAAGTTCTTCAAATTTGGCTTTATCTGGAGAAATAAGAAAACACAGGGTTGCCTCCACCTTACAGAACTGTAAAAATCTGTTACTAAAATCCACCTTTGCAGCTGCTACAATGCTAGAAAATTCCTTCCTGATAGCTTGTAGGATTGTCTGCAAATGTTGTAAAATTTTCTAAATGCATTTTTAGGTTTGGACTGCCCCGTCACTTCCAAATACACTTGCTCGCTCACTCTCTCACTGCCCCGTCACTTCCAAACGCTTCCAAATGCCACTTGCTCGTTCACTTGCTCACTTACTGCCTCATAGCTTCCAAACGCCACTTGCTTGCTTGCTGACTGCCCCGTTGGTTCCAAACGCTTCCAAACACCACTTTTTTACTCGCTCACTGCCCCCTTGCTTCTAAATGCCGCTTGCTCACTCACTCTCTCACTTACTGCCCTGTCACTTCCAAACGCTTCCAAACGCCACCTTTTCATTCGCTCGCTTGCTCGCTCACTGCCCTGTCACTTCCAAACGCTTCCAAATGGCACTTGCTCGCTACTCTGGCAAACTCTGTGCTGGGGCGATGGTGCGCGTGCCCACAGAGAGGGCTCCGAGTGTCCCCTCTGGCACGCGTGCCATAGGTTCGTCACCACTGGTATAGGATCTCCTGCTTGAGCAGGGGCTTGGACTAGAACAGGGGTCCTCAACCTATGGACCACAGCCCACTACTGGGCCCTGGCCTATTCACAACTGGGCTGCGTTAGTGGTGGGCAGGCATGCACAGCCTCACTTGCGCAAGCGGTGGGCACCGGAGCTCCCAGCCCTATTCGTGGCCACACAAATGAAGCTGTATGCGTGCCTGTCCTTCACATAAAACCATCCCCTCTTCCCTCCTCCCCCCCATGCCAACCCGGAAAGGTTAGGGAATGCTGGACTGGAAAACCTCCAACTCTGTTATTCTGTTCCTCCAGCTAATGACTACATCTCAAAGTGTTGCTAAATAAGTGGTTCCATATTGGTCATCCTAATTCCTTCTGTTCAATCCTATTCTCCATAAAATTGTAGAAACATTTGGTTGTTGTTTTTTAATCCAACTTGTAGTGGGACTGGTAAGGACTGGTGGGGTAGGAAAGGAGAAAGCCTCAAAATCAGAAGAAAGATAGAGCATCAGTGCAAAACCTAACCCTTTGGTACATTCAGCATGGCTGGCTGGGGAATTCTGGGAGTTGAAGTCCATACATCTCAAAGTGGACAAGGTTAAGAAACACAGAGCCAGACATTTGAGCCAATAGATTAATTCAACTCGGTTGGTCATGTTGTCCTCTTATAAATTGGAATTGATGAGTTCTGAGTTATATTGGGTTGGATTGTTAAAATTGTTGTCTTTAACTTTCTTCACCGTCCATAAATAAATAAAAACCCAGGTCTGCCAGGTTTGGAAAGATAATCCCAGTCCCAATTTTAAGATGTGCTTTAAGTATTTCAAGTATTCCCAGCTAACCCTTTTAACTCTGGGTAAGCCCAGGATCATTAGATTGAACTACCGTATTTTAGGCAACTTCTGGCAGGCCAAACACCCTATCTAGAATCCATTGTTGTATATACGTTTGTATGTGTGCGTGCTTTTATTTATACAAGTTACCTGAATTTGTTTCTTGATATTTTTATCATTTTTATCTGTGATGTGATGAATGTATAACTTTACAATCCTTCAAAAGAAAAGTGAGAAAAAATCCATTGTTTGGGGCAAGGGTGTGAGTTCTTCTCAGTGCCTCTCCTTGATACTCCTGGCTCTATTGGGTCCCAAGTCCAACTGCTACTGTCCATGTTTCAAGAGTGGGAGGGCTGATGGTTCTAAATCATTGTGGTTTTTTTCAGCAAGCACATCCACTTATATTCAGTTGTCATTCCCTTTGGTTTTATATGAAAAAAAGGAGGGAAAGGGGCAATGACCACGAGTCATTTATTTACAATTTATCAGCAGTTTGACACCCCAGTTCTAGAGGCAAGCCTTTCCATTGATTAGTAGTTCTAATTGTCAGGAAAGTTCTCCTTAGTTCTAAGTTGCTTCTCTCTTGATCAGTTTCCATCCATTGTTTCTTGTCCTGCCTTCAGGTGCTTTGGAGAATAGCTTGACTCCCTCTTCTTTCTGGCAGCCCCTGAGATATTGGAACACTGCTATCGTGTCCCCCCTCGTCCTTCTCTTCATTAAACTAGACATACCCAATTCCAGCAACCGTTCCTTTTATGTTTTAGCCTCCAGTCCCCTAATCATCTTTGTTGCTCTTCTAGAGCAGTGGTTCTCAACCTGTGGGTCGGGACCCCATTTGGGGTCGAACGACCATTTCACGGGGGTCGCCAAACAACGCAGTCCGCCATTTTTTCCCCCTTTTCCTTACCTGTGCTACTCCCTTTTATTCTATTGGCTTTTGAAAGCCAATAGAATAGACTCTCTTGAATAGAGTCTAATTCTATTGGCTTTCAAAAGCCAATAGGAATTGTCCAGGCTGTCTCTGCCCTGCTGAGCCCGCCAAAAGTCCCATTCTGCAAACGGTGCTGCACCAGTTGAGTAGTCCTCGACTTATGACCGATTGAGTAGTTCTTGACTTACAACCTGTTGGGAGTCGCGGCATTAAAAAGGTTGAGAACCACTGTTCTAGAGCAACTCTTTCTAGAATCTCAACATCTTTTTTACATCGTGGCAACCAAAAACTGGATGCATATTCCAAGTGTGGCCTTACCAAGGCGTTGTAAAGTGGTATTAACACTTCACATGATCTTGATTCTCTCCCTGTTAATGCAGCCTAGCTTTGTGTTGGCTTTTCTGGCAGCTGCAGCACATGGCTGGCTCATATTTAAGTGATTGTCCACTACGATTCCGAGATCCCTCTCACAGTTGCTACTATGGAGCAAGGTACCATCTATACTATACCTGTGCATCTGGTTTTTCTTGCCTAAATGTAGAACCTTACTTTTTTCACCACTGAATTTCATTTTGTTAGATAGCGCCCAGTGTTCAAGTCTGTCAAGATCCTTCTGTATCTTAAGCCTTTCTTCTGGAGTGTTGGCTATTCCTGCCAGCTTGGTGTCATCTACAAATTTGATGAATTCCTCATCTATCTCCTCATCCAAATTATTGATGAAGATGTTGAAGAGCACTGGGCCCAGAAAAGAGCCCTGGGGCACCCCACTACACACTTCCATCCACATAGATGCAGTTCTATTGAGGACCACACGCTGAGTACGGCCTGTCAGCCAGCTACGAATCCATCTGATAGTGATGCTATCTAACCCACATTTTTCTATCTTATCTAGTAGGTTGTAGTCTATTTTATCAAATGCCTTACTGAAGTCCAAGTAAATTATATCCACAGCATTCCTCTGGTCCACTAATTTTGTCACCTGATCAAAGAATGCACTAAGATTTGTCTGGCATGATCTCTTTTTGACAAATCCATGTTGGCGTTTGGTTATGACTTTGTTTGCCTCTAGGTGTTCATTGATTCGTTGCTTGACTATCTTTTCCAGAATCTTCCTAGGTAGTTTCTGAACGTTTCATTACCAGACTAGGTAACATCAGCAGCAGGATTTTCTCGTCCAATTTTCCTTAGGTTATAAATAAAATAGGATAAGAAAATAGGACAAGAAAATCCTGCTGATGATGTTACCTAGTCAGGTAATGAAACGTTCAGAAACTAAATTGAAACAAGCTTGGGGAGCCAACCACTACCAAAATCTAAAACCCCGAGCTACAGGTATTTTCTATTATTTCAAATTGGTTATTAGAGTGTTATGCCACTATAAAATCATAGCCAACATTTTTTTCCTTTAACTTCCTGAAACTACATGCACTTCTCTTCACTTACTCCAAGATTGTATCCTGGATGAAAAAAAAAAAACATAATGCATCTATTGGGTTATTCATTTATTTGTAGGAAAAAATTCAGGGGCATGAATGATTAAGCGGAGCACTATGGTTTTCTGGGTCACTTTTCTCTTTATTTTGTGTTGCTTTTTAAAATGACGTCCAGATTTAAAATGTAATTATGATACTAAACAAGGGCATTCAGATGTTATATGTGTACGTGTGTGTCCAACAAGTTCAGATGGTAGCCACAATCTCACAGTCCTAAGACCTGCCTCTCCCATGGACATCATAGAGTCTAATTTGGATAGAGGTAGCAAACCAGTCCTGGCACTTCAATATTTCGAATCAAAAGCATCCTGTTTGAAACAGGAAACAGGATTCTTTTAATTCAAAAGTGCTTTGACTTACTTATTGCTTCCTGGGGATTTCTAATGGCCTCTTATTATGAATTCCTGATTCATCTGTTTGCTCAAATACCTTTCTTTTCTCACACAAAGGCCTAACTGCAAACTACGAAATACATTATGCTATGTATAATGCAAAGAACGTGTGGAAAGAAACCACTAATAGCACTATGCACAAAACATTCAATCTAGGTAAACAAGAATATATATTAAGAGTCAAATGAGATATGCTACCCCACTGACAGTTTATTTAACAGTATTCCTGTTGCCATGCTCTGTAAGAAGTCATAACAAACAGGGGAAAAAGAACAAGGAAAAAGCTTTTAATGGCCATTGTCTTACTCAACGCTAGAAAGCTTCAGGGGAATAGGATTAACTTTTGAATAAATATTATTGAAGGATCTTGGAAGACAAGCAGAGGTGCATAATATACAGTACAGTATGGTGTGAAAGAAACCACTGGCTTAATTTTATTTTCAGCTGATTGGCATTTTTGCAATGTCTTTGGAAGGAATTGAAGGCTCTGACACGATGAACTTTGGACCAAATTTGGATCCTTCTGCTGCGAATATCAATATTTCAATTGCCAGATGTCATCAAGGTAATTTTTAATCATTATTATGGAGATTGCTGGCTTGGCAAATACTGTACTAAGTTCTGGTTAAGAGCAAATACTAGAAGTTCACTGCATGGGACTGAATCTCAGGGACTTGTCCAGATGTTTTCTTAACCAATCCTGAACTTGAAAGAGGCTGATGTAGAAATCTCGTGGTTTGTATCCTTTGTTTGGGTCATCTCGTATCATCTCCCCATTGTTGTTTTTCCTCTTCTTTACACATGGATCATATGTACCCCAGCTGATCACACCCACCTATTGGGAAAGACAAAGGAATTGTAAATAATAAACTAGATAACCTGGATGAGATCCAGTGAATCACTAATTGTGATTATTAATGTTCTTGGCCAACCTAAATCTCCCAGTTTCTTGCCCTTCACTTGGGGTGGCTGTGAACAAGGAAGCTTCCATTTTCCAATAGGTACAGCCATTGGTGATTATTCCTAAGTATGATGTCAAAATGTACTCATGATGTTATATGCAAGAGCCGTGATGGTATAGTGGTTAGAATGAAGTATTGCAGGCTATCCACTGTCAAGAGTTCGATTCTCACCAGCAAAAGGTTGACTCAGCGTTCCATCCTTCCGAGCTTGGTAAAATGTCCATTCTGGGCCTAAGCAACAAAAAAATTAGCTACCAGTTCTGCCGAAGTGGTGCGAACCAGCTGAATCCCACCACTGTACATAGGCCAGGGATCTCCAAAGTTGGCCACTTTAAGACTTGTGGACTTCAGCTCCCAGAATTCCTCAGCCAACTTTGGAGACCCTGACATAAGCTATATTTTAGAGATGAGGCCGAATGAAAGAGTCTCTGCAAGGATCCTCTGGCAGGCAGTCATTTCAACCCTGCTTCTTTTACCACATATATTCAATTAGTAAGAATATGTGGGGAAGCAAAGGGACAAGTCATGAAAAGGACCCAGATTGTTGGGGGCAATATGCTGACTCTGTAAACTGTTTATACAGGGCTGTAAAGCACTATGAAGCAATATATGCTATTGCTACTGCTATTTATCCTTTCATCATACCATCACACCCATGTACTATATGTCCAAGGCAGAACTCTCATTGTGATGTCACAGTGAACTTTTCATGACTTGTCCCTTTGCTTCCCCACATATTCTCACTAATTGAATATATGTGGTAATAGAAGCAGGGTTGAAATGACTGCCTGCCAGAGGATCCTTGCCGAGACTCTTTCATTCGGCCTCATCTCTAAAACATAGCCTATGTCAGGGTCTCCAAAGTTGGCCACTTTAAGACTTGTGGACTACAACTCCCAGAATTCCTCAGCCAGCTGGCTGAGGAATTCTGGGAGCTGAAGTCCACAAGTCTTAAAGTGGCCAACTTTGGAGATCCCTGGCCTATGTACAGTGGGTGGGATTCAGCTGGTTTGCACCACTTCGGCAGAACCGGTAGCTAATTTTTTTGTTGCTCAGACCCAGAATGGACTTCCGGAAGCGGCATCCACACAGAGAGCCGGTTGTTCACGTATTTGAATCCCACCACTGCCTATGTGGTACTTGGTAGCCTCCTCCAGATACACACTTGCATTTACTCTCACAATAACCCAGTGTTGTACAGTGGCTAACACGTAGCGTTAAGCCTACGGTGACTGTAACAAATCACCCCTACAATACTATTGGTTTATTCTTATTTCTGCAACCATGCATGTTGGCTGACCATTGTTAATCTAACTTCTGCCTTCCTGAGCTACCTTAAATTAAAACATTTTAAAGCATAAAAGGAGAGTAAGTGGGATGTATCTGCAGGAAAATTAAGAAGGTTAAAAAAAAAAAAGGGGGGGGGGCTGTTTTGGAAAACAAGATCACACAACCACGAGCCCATCCTTCTGCTTACTGCAAGAATCCAGGTAGAGCAGACCCAACAGAAAGCACTCTGATCTTTGCTGGAACACATCCAGGAAACGGGAGTCAACTTAATAATAATAATGATAAAGTTGGAAGGGACCTTGGAGGTCATCTAGTCCAACCCCCTGCGCAGGCAGGAAACCCTATGTACCATTTCGGACAAATGGCTGTCCAGTCTCTTCTTAAAAACTTCCAGTGTTGGAGCATTCACCGCTTCTGGAGGCAGGTTGTTCCACCGATTAATTGTTGTAACTGTCAGAAAGTTTCTCCTTAGTTCTAGGTTGCTTCTCTCCTTGATCAGTTTCCACCCGTTGCTTCTCGTCCTTCCTTCAGGTGCTTTGGAGAATAGCTTGACTCCCTCTTCTTTGTGGCAGCCCCTGAGATATTGGAACACGGCTATCATGCCCCCCCTCGTCCTTCTCTTCATTAAACTAGACGTACCCAATTCCAGCAGCCGTTCCTTATATCCTTTAGCCTCCAATCCCCTGATCATCTTTGTTGCTCTTCTCTGTACTCTTTCTAAAGTCTTCACTCTTGAGCATGGCTTCCTGCTTATTAGGAAGGTTTTCTAACACTCATCCTGAGGAATCTTGTCTTTTCTCATGCAAAGTATCTCAACTGTTCTCAGAGTATCTAAAGTTTGAGCAAGTCTCCATCCCCACCATGAGGTTCTAATCACCACCGCTACCACCACTTCCCTGAAGATTGCAGGACTTCGCCTAAGTTCACATACTGAACTAAGTTCTAACTGTCACGGTCAAGTTGTACCACTCTAGCTAGTTCAATAAATCACAAATTTTAGAAAACCCTGGCTTAGGAACAGGTAGCCCAGATGAAAAGAGCTTTAACCGACTGACGTCAAGCCACTGGGCATGTCACATTCGAATCCGGTACATAATTCATTACCTGAAAATGTCTTTCTCTCCTTTCCACGAAGAGTGATCCTCCAGATTCGCCTGCAACAGTGGGAGAAGGGAAATTAAACAGAGGACAAGCTTCATCACTTCTTGCCTCTTCCAGGAGGAAAAAGTTCAAAAGTTCAGGCCTTGCAAAACTGGCCAAAACTTCACCCCTGACTAGATAAAGAATAGAGGAAGACGGTCTCTTTCTTTCTCCTGATCAGAGATGTATCTTAACATCTGGGGAGACCTAAGACAGAGAACTTCTAAAGCTACAGACCTAATGCCTTGGCTTTAATCCGGAATTGTTTATTTAAAGACAATTGTTTATTTCTCACTAGCCTTGGACAGGTTTATTTTTAAAAGAGAACAGATTATCTCATGAAGATCATCCTTCTTAGAATTCTTGCCTCTGTGTTAAACATGGTAGAGTTGCTCCTATTCTTTCATTTGAAATGCCAACTGATATCTTATGGTTGATAAAGCCAAACAGCAAACTATTCTGGTCATCAAGATACAAACTATGTCAACTGGTATCCAGCTGTTCCATGGAAGAAGCATTGTGCAATTCCTCCTCCTCCTCCTCCTCCTCTTCTTCTTCTTCTTCCTCCTCCTCCTCCCCCCTCCTCCTCCTCATTAATCAATGCACTGTTGGATGAAAGATTGGGCTATGGATCATCATGTTCCAGGCTGATACATGTGGGTTGGTAGACAGATATTTTTTGACTCCCCAGTCTAGAGACCGATTGCCTCAAAATACGATCCAATTAACTTCTATATCTAAAAAGGGACCAGAACTCATGGCCTTCTGGCTTCTAATCTAGTGCCTTGAAACACTATACCAAACTGGCCCACAAAAGGTCTACTTGGGCAGCAGGAAATGTACATTATTCCTACCCCCATCTCATCCTTCGGGTGTCTGAAACATACAAGGCACTGACCCAGGCACTCAGGTCATAGCAAGGACTACAAAGTTTAGAGAGGGAGGAGAAGGGTACTACAAATAAAAGTTGCCATAATATAAATAAGTTGACTCAGTGTGTAAGGAAATATCCTGGACTGAAAGACCTCTGTTATTAGAAAATATTTGCCCAGCTGGGACCAGCAATGTGATGCATCCAATCTTTCCTCCCCCCTTTAAATGTCCTTTTTTTTAAAAAAAAAAAAAAAAGAGAATAAAAGTATGTAACTTATCCCTCTACCTACCTACCCAGCTCTGCGCTTTGCCTGAGGCAAAGTTGCCTCAACCTGAGGCAAAGTTGACTTTCCATCTGCTATGGTGCAGCTCTGTCTAATCCAGCAGTTCTCAACCTGTGGGTCGGGATGCCATTTGGGGTCGAACGACCATTTCACGGGGGTCACCAAACAACGCAGTCCGCCATTTTTTCCCCCTTTTCCTTAGCTGTGCTACTCCCTTTTATTCTATTGGCTTTTGAAAGCCAATAGAATAGACTCTTTTGAATAGAGTCTAATTCTATTGGCTTTCAAAAGCCAATAGGAATTGTCCAGGCTGTCTCTGCCCTGCTGAGCCCTCCAAAAGTCCCTTTCTGCAAACAGTGCTGCAAGTTGTCTGCAGCGAAGGCGAGCTGTCTGGAAGTTTCCACCCCTCCCTGCTGAGCAACTACTAAAAATGTAAGTAAAAGAGGGCCAGGGGTGGGAGGTGGGAGGCCGGCGGGCGCAGGGAGGGTTGCTGGCACACGTGGGGCCTGGCGGGTGCCTTACCTCCCTTGGGCTGGGCCAACTGGTGGCCCAGCCAGTGGTCGGCCTGCGCCGTCTCTGCCGCTTGCCAGCTACGCCTCGGCTGGCGCAGGGGGCGGCACCACGCATGCGCGGTGCTCCTGGGCAGGGAAAGTCTCAACTTACGACCGGTTGGGTAATCCTCGACTTACGACCAGTTGGGTAGTCCTCAACTTACGACCGGTTGGGTAGTCCTCAATTTACGACCGGTTGGGGTCGCGACATTAAAAAGGTTGAGAACCACTGGTCTAATCTCTCAGTGTTTCATCATCCCACTGATTGGGCCTTGACCCCATCTTTAGGATCAGTGGCTATTAGCCTGGATGGCTGTGGGACTGCCTCGGAAGGCCATCTGCTGGAAGGCTAGTGGTCAGTTGGTGACTAGTTGGAGACTAGGCAGTTGGTGGGCCACTGTGAAAACAAACTGCTGGCTAGACGGGCAAGGGAGCTAATCCCGCAGGATATTGCTCGTATCAGCGTTTCTCAATTTTGGCAAGGTAAAGATGTCTGGACTTCAACTTCCAGAATTCCCCAGCCATCCATACTAGATGGGGAATTCTGGGAATTGAAGCCCAGACATTTTCACCTTGCCAAGGTTAAGAAACACTGGCTTATGTCCATATTCTTACATCCCAAAATTCAGCATCCTCTTCCTGGTTCTATCTAATGGGTAGTTGAAGGGAATCACCGATTGGCTTATGATATTATCAGAACAGCCATGAAGATACAGCACAGCCTCAAACTATAGGTTGTCCTCAACTTACAATCGTAATGGAGGCTGGAATTTAGGTTATAAGTTGTTGGCGGTTGTTAAGTCAAGACACCATGTGACTAGACTTGATTTTACAACCGTTTTTAACGAGTCATTGCAGTTGTTAAGTGAATCGTGTGATTGTTAAAGGAACCAGATGGTCGTTAAATGAATCCAGTGTATCCCAAAAAGTCACACATGGCATCATGTCACCACAGAACGCTGCAACTGGTCATAAATGCGATCCAGTTGTCAAGCGCCCCAAATGCAATCAGGTGACTATGGGGGAGGGGGGAATGGGAGTAGTGTACAGCAGTTGTGACTTTGAGGATGAGTCCCAGGTAGCTTTTTTAAAGTCCATTAGTCAAGGACTACCCGTATTTCTAAAGGATTGGCAAGTGGAAATGATACAAAACACTCCTTATCTAGTGACTCCAACTTAGCTTGGCCAGAATTCAACCCTCCTTCTTTGACATTATAATGACACAACGGGGATACAATCACACCATTTTTGCAGGTAAAATTCACCTTTGCAAGTGTATGCTTCCAACGACTTATCTTCTCCACTGCACAGGAACCTGTCGGTCACCACTTCGTCCACATTGGACACATTGGAATATATCTTCTGAATAGCTCCAGAAACACACGTGGGACGCTGCAAGAAACAACAGGTTAACAACAGATCTGCTATTAGAGTAGCTACTTAGGCCATTGGCTCAAGGGCTCTCCACCTATTGTGACTTCAAATCAGGTTTCAAATACTGGTGATTGCCTTGACTGGTCCCTACCAGCAAGATTGTTTCTCAACCTTGGCAACTTTAAGAGGTGTGGACTTCAACTCCCAGAATCCCCCAGCTATTATTGCTAATGGCTGGGGAATTCTGGGAGTTGAAGCCCATGTGTCTTAAAGTTGCCAAGGTTGCGGAATACTGCCTTTACAAGTCTATGGAGATTCTCACTCATCCAGGTCATCCAAAGGTGTTTTTTCAAGAGCCAACTGGATTTTCTTTGTTTCTCCTTGAAGATATTTCACTTCTCATCCAAGAAGCTTCAGTCAGAACTGAAGAAGCTTTGTGAAGGAGAAGCGAAATGTCTTCAACGAAAAACAAAGAAAGTCCGATTGATACTGCCCTACAGTTAAGGTTATCTTGGTAAGACTTTTCAAAAGCGGCGTGCCATTGCCTCATTCCTAGGGCTGAATGAAAGATACTGGCTCAAGGTCACCCAGCTGACTTTGTACTTAAGGCAGGATGAAAACACACCCTGTGTTGGGCTACACCAAACTGGCTTGCCATCTGTTCTTGGGACAACAGAAAACTGGGCTAGTATGAAATCAGCTGCCTCCAATGTTGATTTCTCTCCTGTTTCCATTTTGTGTGTGTTCTGAGTCACCCTTGAAGGCTTCTGGCTTTGCCTTCACATTTCCAAACATCACCACCAGATAGGAGAAGCCTCCACCCCCCCACCCCCCAGTTAGGATAGTGATATAGGGAGGCAGTTTGGGGAGATGTCTGGGTAAATGCAATGAAGCCAGTTTTTTGGGTTATTATGGTTGGATGTTCTCTGGCTTTCTTACATTGTTACAGGAGTCTCCAAACTTGGCAGCAACCTTAAGACTTGTGGACTTCAACCCCTAGAATTCCTCACCTAGGAATTCTGGGAGTTGAAGCCCACTAGTCTTAAAGTTGCCAAGTCTGGAGACCCCTCTTTATCATGCAGCTTCCCCAGTCAGCCGATGCATCCCTTTGTTCAGCACACAGCTTCAATGCTCAAAACAAGCTCTGCAATCAGATCTTTGGTTTACGGGCTTACCCTACGTGTGGGGAAGAGGGGCAAGTTCCCTTTTTTCACAGGGTGCAGAATAAGCCCTCTGAACAGCTAGTGCAGAAAAGGGGGTAGTGCTCCTGCTTTACCAGGTCTGGGTTGGTTTAAAATCTGTGCCCAAATTATCCCAAAAAGTGCTTTTTCCCCAAAAGGCAACTGGACTCTTACTTGGTTTTCTTTTTCCTTTGAAAATGTTTTGCTTCTCATCCTCAGTTAGAGTTGAGTTAGAGACGAGATGAGACTTTAGAACTGAAGAAGCTTCTTGGATGAGAAATGAAATGTTTTCAAAGGAAAAAACAAAACCCAAGAAAGTCCAGTTGCGTTTTGGAAAAAGCACCTTTGAGACAACCATGACCTGGATGATTGAGAATCTCCATAGTCATTGTGTGCCCAAATTAAAATATAATACGGTAAGATTCAGCTATGTGTTTTGTTTTTTTTCCAGGGACCTGCTAGGGAAGCCAGGTGTTGGGATTCTGAAGAAGCAGGATAGAAAGATTGTTGATGCTTTGAACTTGGTGATAGAAATACTGGCTGGAAGTTTCAAAAGACCGGATTGGTGACATCCATCCATCCATCCATCTGCCTCAGAGCCTTTTCCCACTACAGGTTCCTCACTGATGGCATTTCTTCATGGCCAAGTTCTCCAACTCTGCGTCAGAGAAAACGATCCAACATAAATCTATCATCCCTGTGGCCTATTGTTTTCCTGCCTTTTCTGAGTCCTACATTTCTAAATCAAGGTAAAGCAAGGCAGCCAAACAAATCTTATTTAGGCTTCAGGCTGCCTTTTCAGTGCTGTCAGCTTGAAGAGGGGAGAGATTACTTTAAGGATGGTTTAGGCCTATCGTATAAATAGGCCTGGGATGAATTGAATGCAGTGTCACGGGAACAGAAAAATGAAATTTCCCGAATATGTTTGTACAAAGAGGAAAGGCCCTCAGTCAGTTTAACTCAGTCTTTCTCAGCCTTGGCAACGTTAAGACAGGTAGACTTCAACTCCCAGAATTCCCGAGGCAGCACCTGAAGTCCACCCATCTTAAAGATGCCAAGATTAAGAAACACTGCTATAACGAATACATGTATTTATATTTTTCTCCGTTCCTCTCGATCGTATACCTGTACATTATTCACCTAATGCCAACGTTATTAACTTTTTCTTTAGCCAGATGTGCATCTCAAAAACCCACGGCTCTTGGTTTGGTTTCATAATCAGCTTTGGTGGGTTTCAGAAAAAAAAGGTGAATTTGGACAGAGTAAAAAAAAAAAAAAAGGCTTCTCTGCTTTCTCTCCTGTGAGGTTGGCTCCCTGAATAAGTTGGGAAGTGTGGGTGTGTATGTGTGACATTTGTACAGAACAATTAGTTGATTTCATTGGATGAAAAGTATGGAGCATTCTACTTCTACTTTCCCCACAGCCTGCAAAATCTAGAATACAACGAAGCATAGTACCCCTGACTGAGTTTTTACAAGAGTGTAGCAACATTATCACAAAAATAAACTTGACTGTAAAAAAAATCGATTTTTGTTAACAGAGTTATCCAAGTCTGGAATGTCTTACCCATTTCAGTTGTCTCAACTACTAACTTTCCCAGTTTTAATTCCAATTTAACTTCTCCTCCAATATTTAAGAGTTCCTAAGAGGTGTGCCTATCGTCCCTGTCACATTTTAGTTTTTCTTCATTTTGTTTGTTCGAATTTGTAACTTTTGTTTGACCAATAAATAAATAATATGCTTTAAAATTATCTTTTTGTTTTTTCAAGGGGAACGCAAATTAACATCCCCCCATTTCATCTTCTTTAAGAGATTTTTCCACCATTATTTCCTCTTCCTTTTCAGGCTCTTATTACCCAGAATCCCTGAGTAGGGAACCAAACACTCACACTTCTTTTGGTCTTGATCTGCACATTCATTCTCTTGTGGTCCAAGGAGATGAACTCGGCAGGCACCTTCTCAAAACTCAGAAGCTCCAGTTCTGTGAAGCAGAAAGGGACATATAATTATGGGTTTAGATCAGGAGTGTCCAATCTTTGCTACTTTAAGACTTGTGGACTTCAACTCCCAGAATTCCCCAGCCAGCATGGCTGACTGAAGAATTCTGGGAATTGAAGTCTACACATCTTAAAGTTGCCAAGGTTGGACATCCCGCTTTAGCTAAATGTATAATTAAGCTCAGGAAACCTAAGAGGTTACAGCAAGGAAGACCCATCCTCAAACAAAAATAATTAAACACTTTTGCTGTTTCTGAACAGAAAGAGCAAGAAATGTGACCGATAAAAGAAAGTGGGAAGGATGGTTTTCATTTTGTCCCCTCAGAAAATGGAATGGTGAAAGGCAGCCACCTAGAGTGGAGCAATTTCCTCTTCTGAAGGAACTGCTTGTTTTGTTTTGTTCTTGAAAAAAACCCCTCTGTTACAAGATTTGTTTTCTATTTTAAAAAAAAAACTTGTTCTAATGAAACTGGGCTGGGTTGTTTGTAAGCGTGCCAAGAAACTTGAACTCAGCATGTGGAATTTCTTTATAATATTTGTTCAGAAATATTTCTTCATCTTTCCTCTGAAATAGCAAAGGTTTTAACCTCCGAATTTCCTCAAAATCTCTCACATTAGAACCGCAAAGATAAGGATGTGCTGATCAGTCTAAATTGGTCAGTGACCGGGTCTGGATAAGCTGAGGCAGGATTTGGGGTTTTTTCAATAGATTTTTTTTAAAAAATGCATTAAAAACATGCCTCAATCTTTTTGCCCTTAGTTTTCTTGAGAATAGCCTTTAGTCATTTTCCCAATATTCAATATTTCTAAATATTGGGAAGGAGGGCAGGTTCAACCCTGCGCCCCTTTTTTGTGGAGTGCTTCAGGCTTCAGGAATTGGGATTCTCCCTGTTTAAAATCTACATGAAATTGCTGGGAGAGGTCATTTGGTGTTAGGGCAGTGGTTCTCAACCTTTCTAATGCCGCGACCCCATAATACAGTTCCCCATGTTGTGGTGACCCCCAACGACTTATACATCACCGGGTGCCAGGGGCGTGGCCAAAGAAAAGGGGGGAAAATGGCGGACAGCCTTGCTTGGCGACCCCCGTGAAATGGCCATTCGACCCCAAATGGGGTCCCGACCCACAGGTTGAGAACCACTGTGTTAGGGGGTACAGTATCATCAATATATAGGTGATACTGACAACTGACACTCAATTATATATCTCTATCTCTGGTTGGGCACGTCAGACATTGACCCAGTGTCTGGAGCAGTGTTTCTCCCCCTCAGCAAATCTAAGATGTGTGGACTTCAATTCCCAGAATTCCTCAGCCAGCATTCTGACTGAGGAAATCTGAGTGCTGAAGTCCATACATCTTAAAATTCTGGAGATTAAGAAACAGGGAGTGTTGGTTTAGGGAATCTGGGTTGTTTCTTTGATGCTGGTTTTAATGGTTTCTTCAATATTGCTATTGTTCTTGGTGTAGAGTAGACCACTCAGAGTTATGGCACATAAGATGGACAGCCATCCATCCATCCATCAATCAATCAATCAATCTCATGCTTCCTAACACGTATGTTCTCTTTTTTCAATGCACTTGAACTTTTTTGTACCTTTTGCAAATATTATTTAACGCAGATTGAAGACCGGATGCTAGCAGACTGTTCACTGCTACTTTGAGATGAGAAACAAGTGCATTTTAATAAGAACATATTTCAAATGTTCAAATGAACAAACAAAGTGAAATTGGGCTAGCTTCAATCTGCAGGTTTGAATGGAACAGTCAGAGCCAAAGAACACACACATTCATGAGAATGATGCACGGAAATAATGAACTGAGGGGAGGGGGGAAACGGGGTTGCGAAACATGGGTGTATCTCACAAAATTGCAATAATAACTGCATCTTTGGGGAACTATTCCTGTGGGAACACATGGGTGCAATATTAAAAATAAAAGCAAAATCAAGCCTAACAAACCAAATGTGACAGATTTGCAACAATTGAGAAACCAAGAGGAACTTAAACCAATAGATTTCCAAAAATGGAAGAAATGAAGGAAACCACTTTGTAAAAATGAGGAACTGATATTGACAGAACAGCCCCAGAGGGACATGCATAGGGTGTTTTTGGGAGGAAAGTTAAAATGGCATGATGATGGTCCTTAGAATGCAATAAAAGCCCTGCCTCTTTAAGTTACATGTGGTTAAAAACTCAGATGCAGCTTCAACTACACAGTTGAAGCTGCCATCTTGAAGTTCTTTTTTTTTGTAAAAAAAAATTTATTTTCGGTTTTTCATTACATTCATAAAAAGTACTTCAGATAAAGAATAGAATAAATTTATACTTTTGGTATTGCTCGCCCATTTCCCCCCAAACCGCATTCACCCTCTAACCTCTTCTCTCACTTCCCTCTTTCCCTCTTCTTCCTCACTCTCCCCCTCTCCTCCTTCTCCTCAACCTTCCTACTTACTTCTCCCCTTCCTCCTATCTTCTCACTCCTGATGCAGTCCAGGGGAAATGCCCGAGCAATTCCTCTCTCCAAATTAAAACATCAATATTATATACAATAAAACTATTTCTACTTATCCAGTCTGAACATCTGGCTGACTGTGCGATGATCAATAATAATAATAACAACAACAACAACAACAACAACAACAACAACAACAACAACATTAAGAGTCTGGATGAGGAAGATTACTACAAATACTTGGGTATCCTTCAAGCTGACAACATCAAGCACACTGAAGTCAAGAAAAAGATTAGAAGTGAATACATCAAGAGAGTGAAGAAGATCTTAAAGTCCAAACTCAATGGAGGAAATACCATAAAGGCAATCAACACCTGGGCAATCACAGTCATTAGGTACACAGCTGGAATAGTGGACTGGACTCAAGCAGAACTAAAAGCAATGGATAGGCAGACCAGAAAAATAATGACAATGAATCAGGCCATTCATCCACGCAATGACATTGACAGACTTTATCTACCAAGGCAAATAGGTGGGTGTGGAATGCTACAAGTACATCAGATGGTTGAAGAAAAAAAAATGGCTTTGGAAGAATATCTGAAGAACAATGATGAAGATGCACTGAAATTAGTATATCAGGAAGGCTTACTGACTACTGGAGAGACCAAACTGGCCTACAAGAAAGACCAAATGAAGAACAGACTAGAGGCATGGGAAGACAAAGCACTACATGGCCAATACATGAAAAAAATAGCTGGGAAAGCAGATAATAACAAGACCTGGCAATGGTTAAGAGCAGGAAAATTGAAGAAAGAGACTGAGAGACTAATTCTGGCTGCACAAGACCAAGCCTTAAGGACAAATGCATATAAAGTCAAAATTGAGAAGACAGCAACAGACAGTAAGTGCCGCCTATGCAAAGAAGCTGAAGAAACAGTGGACCACCTGGTAAGCTGTTGCAAGAAGATTCACAGACTGACTACAAGCAGCGGCATGACAAAGTAGCTACAATGGTGCATTGGAAGATCTGCAAAAAATATCATTTGCCTGTAAGCAAAAACTGGTGGGATCATAAAATAGAGAAAGTCATAGAAAATGATAAATTAAACTGCTCTGGGACTTCAGAATTCAAACAGACAAGCACCTGCAACATAACACCCCAGACTTAACAATTGTCGATAAGAAAGACAAAAAAGTCTGGATAGTGGACGTGGCAGTGCCTGGAGACAGTAGAATAGACGAGAAAGAACTGGAGAAGATAACAAAATACAAAGACCTACAAATAGAAATAGAAAGACTGTGGCAAAAGCAAGCAAGGGTAGTACCAATAGTCATAGGCTCCTTGGGTGCAATCCCAAAACAACTAGAGCACCACTTGAACACCATTGGCATTGACAAATTCGCTATTAATCAATTGCAAAAGGCGGCCTTACTAGGAACTGATTCCATCCTGCGACGAAATCTGTAATACCATCAAACATCCACATCTGCCTATCCCAAGTCCTGGGTAAGGACTCGATAGGTAGACAAAATGCCAAATCCAGTCTGAACATCTGGCTGACTGTGCGATGATCAATAATAATAATAATAATAATAATAATAATAATAATAATAATAATAATAATAATAATAATAAAATTGGAAGGGACCTTGGAGGTCATCTAGTCCAACCCCCTGCTCAGGCAGGAAACCCTATACCATTTCAGACAGATGGCTGTCCAGTCTCTTCTCAAAAACTTCCAGTGTTGGAGCATTCGCCGCTTCTGGAGGCAGGTTGTTCCACTGATTAATTGTTCTAACTGTCAGGAAATTTCTCCTTAGTTCTAGGTTGCTTCTCTCCTTGATTAGTTTCCATCTCTTGCTTTTTGTCTGGCCTTCAGGTGCTTTGGAGAATAGCTTGACTCTTTGTGGCAGCCCCTGAGATATTGGAACACTGCTATCATGTCCCCCCTCGTTCTTCTCTTCATTAAACTACTAGACATACCCAATTCCAGCAACTGTTGCAATTAGTCCAAGCAGGAAATCCTCCTCTGGACAGATGGTTCTCCAATCTCCTAAAAACCTCCAGTGTTGGGGCACCCACAACTTCTGGAGGCAAGTCTTTCCACTGATTAATTGTTCTGTCAGGAAATTTCTTCTCTACGTTCTAGGTTGCGTCTCTCTTTGATTAAAGGTGGCACACTTAAAAAAGTAACGCCAACCCTCGTCTTGCTGTGGTTTTCCTGTTGTGTTACCTCCATGGCCTGAATAGTCTACACAGCAGCAGATTGAAGTGGTTGGACTTTACAGTGGTGATGGGGGGGCTGTACCATCTTCACAGGATTGAGAGATACTATTTTTGACTGTTCTCCCAACTATCAAACTTTGTAGAAAGTAAAATCCATGAACACATTTGGGAGACAAAAAAAACTGTAGTCAGCCGCTCACTCCCTGCCTGGTACTCATCCAAATGCAGCAGTGTTGTTTTAATGTAGGGATTTTGAGCATCTTAATCGTTACAAACAATGCATTGCAATCAGTACACATCCAGTATCTCATTTCCATCTTATTCTATTGTTATTATTACATTGTTGTTATTTTATTGTACAATACAGGCAGTCCTGTATGGTAATAAACTTACAATAGTTTATTTAGTAATTGCTCAAAGTTATAAGGGCGCTGAAGAAAGTGACCATTTTTCACAACCTTCGTAGCATCCCCAGGATCATGTGATCAAAACTCAGATGCTTGGCAACTGGTTCATACTTATGACCACTGCTGTATCCCGAGGTCATGTGGTCACCTTTTGCAACCTTTTGACAAGCAAAGTCAACAGGGAAGAGATTCACTTAACAACCGTGTTACTAACTTATCAACTGCAGTGATTCACTTAACAACTGTGACAAGAAAGGTCGTAAAATGGGGCAAAAGGTAACAAACGTCTCACTTAACTACATAAAGTTTGGGCTCAGTTGTGCTCATAAAGTCAAGGACTACCTGTATACACAACTCAGAGCCCTGATGGCTTATGAGTTAATGATGATGATGTTATTCATTTAGTTGAGTCCGATTCTCGGCAATTTTACGGGCCAGGTCTCTCCACATCTTCCCAAACTTGCACATCATCATCACCCATCATCATTTTTGCGTATTTTATTATGACTAATAAAATAAATAAAAACGATGTCTCTTTTGTCCTTCAGCGGCTCAAAGTGGCAGAGATAACGCTTTCTCCTTCGCCTTTTCCCCCGACTGCAAAAGCTGTATGAGAGAGGCTGAGCTACGTCTAGTTTCATGGAGTGGACCTCAACCCGTCCAACATCTTGGTCACGAGACCGCCCTGGCTCAACCAGAGTCTAATGGAGCTCAGTGCAAGGCATGGAGAACCCAGGTGCCCTTACCATGATCTCTGCATGTCGTCGTTCCAGGCTTTTTCTTCATGGCTCTGCTGGCCCCTTCGGTGCAAGGGAGGCAGATTGGCCTAGAAAGAAAAGATGGATCTGTTTAATTTAATGGCCATTAAGAGAAATCCAGGGGGGTCCCAGAAAGGTGGGTAAGTGACAAAAGGAATGAAGGAGGACAGGATGGCAATTCAAATTGGGTAGGGCCCACCTGGAATTTTCCAGCTTTGGAAATTTGTAACTGGAAAATTAGCGATTAGGTCAGCAAAATGCCAAGGTGCACTCAAAGGGGATTCTGTAGGCCAAGACAAAGGGCTGTGGCCAGGTGGCCCTTGATTGGCCACTCTCTCTTGTTTGGGATACACAATCCACTGCATCCACTACCAAAACCTGTACCTGTTTGTTTACTTAAAAGGGACTTTTTCTGTCCTTTCTTCCACTACCGGGAAAAATTGTAATAAAAATAGAAGAGAAACATCTCAGTAACCAACAGTCAACACGAGAGCAAAAGCATTGGCTATAATAAATGTAGAAAGTCAGGAGGTCACAAAAACATTAAGCCTCATTCATCACCCTTGTTTAGTGACTGCCTTGTACAGGGACACGACAGTGATGAAAAAGTATCTTTGCTACCAGTCCTCTCATTTATGATCTTTTCAGGTCTATAAAGCAAAAAAAAAAAAAAAAAATCCAAACCCCTAAGTAGTAACACATTTGTATTTTACTTACTTTAATACTTTACTTAAGTATTAACACACTTGTATTTCCTCCTATCTGTCTTATTCCAAAATTAGACTATGTACTGTGTTTTATCTAATCAATAAGTTTTATTTTGTTGATCACATCACAGGACTGATCAATCAATTAACTACTATTTCTACAAGTGTAGTTGAGGTACTATTTAGCGATCATTGTAGATTTTAGAAGAGTCAGCACAGCCACATTCCACTCTGTATCAAGGCTGCAGCTATGGAGTTGGTCAACGGTATTAAGTATTTGGGGGTTCAGGTAACTAACAATCTGACTTGGTCTCTCCACACGTCATCCTTAATGAAGTGTACAAACCAGTGTTCGCATTTCTTACATCGGTTGAGGAGAGCACATCTTTCTCCTTCTGTCCTGGCCACTTTTTACTGAGGCATGATTGAGAGCATCTTAACAAACTGCATCACTGTCTGGTTTGGTGGTAGCAATGCCTCAGATAGAAGGTCCATACAGAGAGTGATAAGGATAACTGAGAAATGATATAGGAAGCCATTATTCAGGATACTGCTTATAAGAGCTGCGTACTTAGACCTCGGAGATTGTTAGAGATCCCCCCACACTTTACGGTCTGTTTCTGTTGCTCCCCTCTGGGAGGAGGTTTCGAAGTATTTATAGCAGGACTACTAGATTCTGTAATAGCTTTGTTCCCTAGGCCATCCGTCTGGTAAACTCGCAAGATTCCTTTTTCTTGCCATGTATATGTATACATCCAAAATAGACAGTGTTGTTTCTCTGGGCCACATATGTGTGTGTATGAGGGTATATGCAAAATTTATTTTATTTGTTGTTGTTTTTTTTGTCATGTTTATGCAGTGTATCTTGGAAGTGGTTACCCTTTGAGAGCTGTATGCAACGAAATCTCATTTTAACATATGCTCATCAGTGTACATTTAAAGCAGTGGTTCTCAACCTTTCTAATGCCGTGACCCCATAATATAGTTCCCCATGTTGTGGTGACCCCCAAGTGGGTGTGGCCACCAATAAGAGGGAATAGGACAGCTAGGGAAAAGGGAAAAAATGGTGGACAGCGTGGTTTGGCGACCCCCATGAAATGGTCGTTCGACCCCAAATGGGGTCCCGACCCACAGGTTGAGAACCACTGATTTAAAGTGACAAAGTTATTATTCTGTTCTACTGATCAATCAATCAACTACTATTACTTCTATAAGTGCAGCTGCAGTACTATTTAGCGACTGCTTCACTTAATGACCAGGTTTATTTATTTATTTTATTTATTTATGAGACTTATATACCGCTTTAAGTGCAAGCACTCTCTAAGCGGTGTACACCAGTAAGCAATGTATATATATATTTACATTGCCCCCAACAATCTGGGTCCTCATTTTACCTACCCGGAAGGATGGAAGGCTGAGTCAACCTTGAGCCGGTGAGATTTGAACCGCTGACCTGCTGAACAGTCAGCTAAAGTGGCCTGCAGTACTGCACTCTACCTGCTGCGCCACCTCGGCTCTTTTTTGTTGCCGGCTAAATGAGAACTACCTGTAATAGCGCAATGTGAATGAGTTTCCAATGGAAGAGCCTGCCTTGGTAGACGAAGGGGAATTCCTTTAGATTTCAGTTGGGATGTGCAAAGAGCATAATTAGTGTCAACCAATGAACATTTCTGAACAAATCAGGTGAACTTTAAAACCCTGACAAAGTGACGCGATACCTGATTCGTCCCCCGAAGGACACCGGTTTCTCCAGTTCAAGGAGGGAGATATCGTAGTCGTAGAATTCTTGGATGCCCTGGGCTGTCTTGGCTCGAATGTTGTATAATTCATGGTCAATCCGTCTCTTTATCTTTATCCTGATTTCTCCTCCTGCCAAGGGGAGAAAGAATCAGAGATCCTCCATTTTCTTTTTCTACCATAAAACATTGCATTGAGGAGCCCTTGGTGCTCTCTGAGCTTGGCTGTTTCCTTGCAGATGTTTCGTTAACCCAAACTAGATCAGGGCTTTTCAACCTTTTCACCCATTGTGCCACTTTTAGGATATGGCAACATCCGAGTGCCACCAGTCGCCTAGCAAGGTGTCAAAAACTTGATGACCAAAAAAAAAAAAAAAGGAAAAAAGTGAAGTACAGATAGTTCTCAACTTACAACAGTTCGTTTAATGACTGTTCGAAGTTACAATGGCACTGAAAAAAGTGCCCCCCAAGGCACAGCCGATCAAGACACCTGCCTGCCCAGCCAGCGGCGCTCTTCCTCCTGTCTGAGGTGTTCATTGTTGTGAGCATTTCTGTTGAGGATTGGCAGCGGGGGGGAGGTGTTTGGTTTTTATTCCCCCCATCTGCTGGGTGGTTGCAGCAGGTTTTGGTCACTTTACATGACCCTGGGACACTGTGACCATCATAAATATGAATCAGTTGCCAAGCATCTGAATGTAAATCACAAGACCCTGGAGATGCTGCAACATTCCAGCTGATTGGCGCTTCTTCTGGGCTCAGCAGAAGCGCCAGAATCAGAGCCGAGCTCCAGCTGGGGCCTGGCGCTGATCCTGGCGCTTCCGCTGAGCCCTGACAGCCCTGCAGCTCCAGCCATCTTTTGCTCAGGCTTGTGCGGTGCTGCCACTGGTTCAGCTCATTCCCCTCCCCTGCTACCACTTTTCTAGGATGGTCGCGTACCACCTGCCAGGTGCCAATGTACCACAGGTGGTACCCGTACCACTGGCTGAAAAACCTTGAACTAGATAACCTCATCAGCACTTGAACTATTTGTTATGGACTAACAATGCTGGTTACCTAGTTTGGGTAATGAAATGTCTGCAAGAAACCTTCCAAGCTCAGAGATGACTAGATGGACTAGATGACTTCCAAGGTCCCTTCCAACTTTATTATTATGGATCATCGCACAGTCAGCCAGATGTTTATTATTATTATTATTATTATTATTATTATTATTATTATTATTATTACTACTACTACTACTACTACTACTACTACTACTATACCAAGGACCCCTCCTTTCAAACCTGAGCTACAAGTATTTTCATCTTTATTGGTAAACGTTGCATTGCTGCCAGGAAAAATGGCCTCCCTCTTTTCCTGTCATTTCTGGAGATGACGAGAAAACAGCCAGCATCAATCTGCCAGGGATTTAGTTGGTCACAAAGATATCTCAACATTCCAGTAGAAGAGAATAGCTATACCACAGGGTTGAACTGTGGGGTGGTTGGTGTTCTCTGAGCTTAGTTGTTTTCTTGCAGACATTTTGGTGCCCAACTATGTACCATCATCTGTGTCAGTTGATGATGATATTACTGATGATGGTAATGGTGGGTAATGAAACATCTGCCTGCAAACAACCAAACTCAGAGCATCAAGTGCTCCATATATCTTAGCCTTCTTCATAGGAGGAAGCTTCCACCGTGGATGAACTACAGGTCTCTGCTTTGCATACAGTAGATGCAAGACTTGCATTCCTTGTTAGGAATGTCAGCTCACAAAAAAAGAGCAAGCCTTTGAGCTGATGGGCCAAAGATGGACTCCTCACTGCATTATACTGATCTGAGGGACAAGCTCCATATTCCAATTAATACAGATGTGCCTCTGTGCATTACCAGGTGTTGGTTACTTGGTGTCCATTTTTTTTGTCTCCTGTCCCTTTGGTGAAGAACAGTAGTTCAAGAGACTGCAATTTTGATTATTAGTGAGAAAATATCAACCATGATTCTCCACCCTTACCTCTACATATACCATGGGTTTGTGTGAATGGCATTGTATTTGATTAACAAATCATGGTTAAAATTATGGTAGAAAAAAGAAAGCTCACTAGATAACCTCTGAGATCCTTCCACTATTAAACCATCATTAAACCATCATTAGATGGCTACCAGTTGTCCTTTGAGGTAGGTCAGATGAGGAAAAAAACATTGGAAGAATCCAGGAGTGCCATTTTATCATTGCAAAGGAGTGTTTCTCAACTTCGTCAACTTTAAGATGGGTAGACTTCAACGCCCAGAATTCCCCAGCCAGCAGGTATGGAGAATGCTGGCATAATGGCTGCAGAATTCTGGGCGTTGGAAGTCCATCCACTTTAAAGTGCCAAGGTTGAAAAATCCTATTGTAGAATATTATCACAGAACCTTGAAAGCCCCTGAAAGCCATTTCTTATATGAAAACACAATCACGGTGGGGTTATTATTCTAAGTCCCCTTCTCATGTCTCCCCTTTTCCCAGGACTAAGTTGTCTTTTATTTTTTTCCCCCTGAGGGCTCCTACAGTATCTACTTTCATCAAGGTGTTCTCCACCTATTCCATTCTGTGTATGTGTGTTTGTGTATCAACAAAACCAAAGATAATGAAACAGAGGGCAAGCCTTGAGTCATTGATCTCCTGACTAACCAAACAGGAAAAAATACACCAGGAGCTTTGCCGAATCAGGCAAGTAAACATTCAGATGGACTTTGCCACAAGGAAGCAATTACTGATTACCTCTATAATTACCATTCTCTTTTTCCATTGGCATGTAAGCACTTTCCACTGAATTGAGGTTACACTAGATTTTGCATGATGAGATGTATTAGAAATGTGTGTGTGTGGTGGGGAGAGACAGGATTCTGGTGGTTTTTTGAGGTAAAATGGGCCTTGACCAGAAGGTGTCAAATGAGCCTGAAGGTTTGAATTAAACTGCCCAGTGTCACTTTAGATAGTGAGATGGGTGGCATATAAATTTAATAAACAAACCAACAAACAAATATAATCCCCTGACTTTAAAAATGCAAAAAAAGGCTGGCTGGGTGTGGAATAATTGATCCTATCTACCCTAGGTAGGTTCCAAGTTCCACAGAATACAGATAGTCCTTGACTTATAACAGTTCATTTAGTGACCGTTCAAAGTTGCAACAGCACTGGAAAAAGTGACTTTTGACCGCTTTTTTTCCACATTTATAACCATTGCAGCATCCCCACGCTCATGTGATCAAAATTCAGATGCTTGGCAACTGCCTCATATTTATGACGGTTGCAGTGTCCCGGAATCACACGATTACCTTTTGTGACCTTCTGACAAACGAAGTCAATGGGGAAGCAAGATTCACTTAAACTACCATGTGGCTAACTTAACAACTGAAGTGATTCCCTGTGGCAAGAAAGGTTGTAAAATGAGGCAAAACTCACTTAACAACTATGTCGCTTAGCAACAAAAATTTTGGCCTCAGTTGAGGACTACTTGTATAGGAATGGAAGGCTGAATGTGATGCATGCGATGCATGGGCTGTGTTTTTTAAATCCCTAAAAACTAATAGCAAATCTACTATTATGTCTATACCAGGGGTAGGCAACCTTGTCTCTGTTATGACTCGTGGACTTCAACTCTCAGAATTCCTGAGCCAGCCATGCTGGTTCAGGAATTCTGGGAGTTGAAGTCTATGAGTCATAAAAGAGCCAAGGTTGCCTATCCCTGGTCTATACACTGATAGTTCAGTGGAACTAGGATAGTTTGCTGCCTGGAAAAAACAGACAATACATAGTGTCTTATTTCACTTGGAACTTATTTCAATTGGAACTTACTTTAACACTGGCTACCACAAACAATCCAGCTATAATATAAGTGCTGCCCAATTGTCAGAACCCATATTCTAAGGGGACCCCTTTCTTGCTTTAAACCCAAACTCTGTTCTCTCTACACTTCTGGGTTCCGCCATACTCCTGGAGGGGAGGGGGGGAAAGCACTGCGGACTATTGCTTTGTTTTCCTCTGTCGCTACACACTGTAACATTCTGCTGCTTCTGCATACTTCCTCTGTGAGCTCTCTCTCCCCTTGATGTCAGCTAGAAAAGGGGGGAGGAGAAAGGAATGTGCCTCCGGCAAATGGTTTATCTCCACGCTCCAAAGGGAAGGTGCGAAGAGCTGACAAAACATCCCTGCAACCCTGAGACAGCCCGGGGCGTTATCTACTCTTTTGCACAACGGACTTAATACCTGAGGATTGGCCCATTTGAACTGACTGGATGAACTATGGGGTGGGGTTTTGCTTGGGACACTTTTAACCTATTGATCTGAGCAGGAAACCCTCAGATCCTGTCTATTATGCCTGCTGTCAGCTTCTTCTAATAAAAGTTCCTTTTGGAAGAAACTGCTTCCACGAGTTCTGCTTTCTTAGGATTAGGTCTTGAAGTGGGCCCTGACATTAGACACTGATTTTTGTGTCCCTGGCGCCTCAATCCAGCTGCATCACTGACCTGGATGATTGAGAATCTCCATAGACATTCATGCATCGTAATCCATGAAGACATTAGGATAGGCTCCCAAACACACTAAACCCAATTCTGAGAAGAAGAAAAAAGGAACCCGACTAAGCCATGAAGATCCTCATCTAATGGCCAATTACAGGTAACCCTCGACTTGCAACCACAGTTGAGCCCAGAATTTATATTGCTAAGTGAAAAATTTGTTAAGTGAGTTTTGCCCCATTTTACAACTTTTCTTGCCACAGTTGTTAAGTGAATCATTGCAGCTCTTAAATTAGCAACACCGTTGTGAAGCGAATCTGGTTTCCCCATTGACCTGGCTCCTCAAAAGTTCACAAAAGGGGATCACATGATCCCGAGACACTGCAACCGTCATAAATACGAGGCAATTGCCAAGCGTCTTAATTTTGATCATGTGACCATGGGCATGCTGCAATGGTCGTAAGTTATCATTAAGTCAGTTTTTGCAGTGCTGTTGTAACTTTGAACGGTCACTAAACCAATGGTTCTCAACCTTTTTAATGCCGCGACCCCCAACCGGTCGTAAGTCAAGGACTACTCAACCGGTCGTAAGTCGAGGACTACTCAACTGGTACAGCACCGTTTGCAGAATGGGACTTTTGGCGGGCTCAGCAGGGCAGAGACAGCCTGGACAATTCCTATTGGCTTTTGAAAGCCAATAGAATTAGATTCTATTCAAGAGAGTCTATTCTATTCGCTTTCAAAAGCCAATAGAATAAAAGGGAGTAGCACAGCTAAGGAAAGGGGGGGGGAAATGGCAGACTGCGTTGTTTGGCGACCCCCGTGAAATGGTCGTTCGACTCCAAATGGGGTCCCGACCCACAGGCTGAGAACCCCTGCACTAAATGAATTGTTTGTGAGTCAAGGACTACCTGTATTCTGGTTCTGCCCACCATGGTGCTATTTATGGTGCTGCCTATTTTCATTACTTCGCCTCCTGTCTGGCCAGCAGTCCCGCCCCACATTGAAATATTAAGTGCAGCTTCCAGACCCCCAAGGCTGCTTAACCCTGGACTATAGGAAAGCATCTTTCTTCAACACACCGGAAGGTAGCAGGTCAACTTTGGAGGGGAATGTCTATGGAGATTCTCAATCCTCCAGGACATGGTTGTTCCAAAGGTGCTTTTGAACAGGCAACTGGACTTTCTTGGTTTTTTCCTCCTTAAGAACGTTTCACTTCTCTTCCAAGAAGCTTCTTCAGTTCTGACGGAATGGTTGTGCTATCTGTAGGATCTATATCAGTGGTGGCGAACCTATGGCATGCGTGGAGCACTTGGAGCCCTCTCTGTGGGCACGCACGCTGTCGCCCCAACTCCACCTTCCCCCGTGGCCCCTTCCTCACCAGCAGCCCCCCTGGGGGAGAGTAGCCCCTGGGCATGGCCCGCGCAGAGCAGAGCAGAGCAGAGCAGCGCAGCCAAGCACATGGCAGCCAGGTAGCAGGGGCAAGATTTCGCCCTCACGCCGTCGTGTGCAGATGATGCTGCAAGGCGCGGGTGAAGGGCGTGGCCATATGGTGCTGCAGGGCCGCCTGGGCGATCTGCTGCAGTGGGCTGTGGAGGCAGTGAGTGGTCCTGCGGGTGGCAGGGGCAGAGCGGGCATCGGGGCGGGGTGGTTTTGGGGCACTCGGTCTCCAAAAGGTTCGCCATCACTGATCTATATTTTTTCCATTCCTTAGCTGCTAACGGCCAACCTTCAGACAGAACTGAAGAAGCTTTTTTGGATGAGAAGCAAAATGTTTCCAAGGAACATTCAAAGAAAAACAAGAAAGTCCAGTTGCCTCCTGGAAAAGCACCTTCGGGACAACCATGACCTGGATGACTGAGAATCACCATAGACATTTAGCTGTGCACTGTGGGATGAACACCCTCAGAAAGGTGAGGGAGTATGAATGGATTTCCAGAAAACAATGCAGACTACAGGTGTTGTGATTCCGTGCCAGCCTGTGCTCCCAACAGCTGAGTTTGAGGAATCTGAGGAGGAGGTAGAGGAGGCATTTGAAGGGCCATCAGGGGCAGAGGGAGGCTCTGATGAATTACAGGACTCAGGGTTTGATGCAGAGCCTGGGCCCTCCAGTCGTGTTCCTGATGAAACTCAGCTGTGTGAGGAGAATGAGTCAGACTCGGAGGACTCACACCTGATGGACATGCTAATTGATGCACGCACACGTCGTCAATTAGCGAGAGTAAATCAGCAGCAGTCAATACGGCAACTCCAGGGTAAAAGGAGAAGGCACTGAGAGGCAACGCCTTGGGACTGCTGTATAAAAAGAGGAGGTGTGGACGGTGCTGGTTGCTGAAGGCAACCGTTTGCAAAGTGTTTCTTGGAATCCTGGTCTGTTCGTCTTGCTTGTGACTACTCTTCTGTTTGCATCGTGTTTTCCTGTGGACTATTTCCTTCCTTTGGACTTGAGTTTTGCTGTTTGTGTTTTGGACTATTTGACAGTTTTGTCACCCATATTAAAAGGGGTTTGTTTTGTTGTAAAGTCTCCAGCCTATTGTATCAGCAGGGGTTTGGTCCTTGTGCCTTTAACAAGGACGGCAATAGGCTGGGATAGAACAACAGGAACCATTTGTGCTTTAGCTTGAGATGCAGACAACAGACACATCCTCGGCAGCCGGCGCCTGTCTTCAACAGTGAAGGGACACAGGACAGAAAACATCCTGCATCCAAGAAGGCTTGACACACATATGCACTACTTAGGTGACCCTGAGGACACAAATAAACCTCCAGATGGCCTCAACGACTCTTTAAAAGAAAACAAATGACCAGCTGTCCGTTGCCCACATCCAGTCAGAGCTGAAGAAGCTTCTTGGATGGGAAGCGAAACATCTTCAAGGAAAAACAAGAAAGTCCAGTTGCCTCTTGAAAAAGCACGTTTGGGATAACCGTGACCTGGATGATTGAGAATCTCTATATAGACAGTTTTCAAGGAAAAACAAAAACAAAAGCCAAGACTGTGCAGATGCCTGTTGAAAAGCACCTTTGGGACTTTGGAGGTGAAGGAGAAATTGTTTCACCTACTAACTCTTCCAAGATGAACCGGAGGAGATTCAAAACAAATAGTCCAGGGCCAGGTAGTCCTTGACTTACAACCCTTCATTTAGTGACCAATCAAGGTTACAGTGGCACTGAAGAAAGTGATTTACAACCGGCCCTTCCATTTGTGACTGTTGCAGCATCCTCATGGTCATGCAATCAAAATTCAGGGCAATCGGCATGCACCGGTATTTACAAGAGCTGAAGTACAGGTAGTCTTCGACTTACGGCCGCAATGACGCCCAAAATGTATGTTGCTAAGCAAGACATTTGTTAAGTGAATTTTGTCCTATTTTACGACCTTTCTGGTTACAGCTATTGTGAATCACTGCAGTTGTTAAATTAGTAACATGGTTGTTAAGTGAATTTGGCTTCCCCATTCACTTTGCTTATCAGAAAGTCGCAAAAAGTGAACACATGACCCCGGGACACTGCCAGTGTCATAAATACGAGTCAGTTGCCAATCTTCTGAATTTTGATCACGTGACCATGGGGACGCAGCAATAGTAGTGTGAAAAAAAGTCACTTTTTCAGTGCTGTTGTAACTTTGGACAATCGCTAAACGAACTGTTGTAAGTTGAGGACTACCTGTATATTCTCTTCTGTCGGCTGTGGTATCCCAGGGTCAAATGATCACCCTTTGTGACCTTCCCAGACAGCTTCCAACAAACAAAGTCAGTGGGAGAAGATGGATTCGCTTAATGATTGCACGATTACAACAGTGGCAAAGCAGGTGTTGTGGTTCCGACATATGAAACTCTTCAAAGAACTTTGAGACATTGTTTACCTTAAAGAATCTTTACTTGAACCGTGCGTACATAATCCAAGCCAAAATCTGACTTCTCCTCCCCTCAACACATAGATCAAAGCACAGTTCCCTCCTACAACTAACAGTCATAAATCACATTCTCCAATTAGTTTGAAATGCTGGCTTTCCGCCCAGTCCTTTCTCCCGCCATGCCTTTTTCATCTCTTATTACAATATTAATGTCTAACTAACTCCCAGCACATTCCTCCCCCTCCCCTCAGCATATCTAATTCTAAGTGCGAAGCATAAGAAAGAAAAAGGTTGCATCTCCATATGTTGTCAAAGCAAGAACATCCAATGTTAGCAGCGTTGACAGCAGGTCGTAAAAGTAGGTGCGATTCACTTAACAACCACCTTCCTTAGTGGATACAGAGATTCTGTTCCTGTTGTGGTTGTAAGTTGAGGACTACCTGTACACTGCTTCTCACTCTGCCTACTGTTAGGCTTGGCCCTGTAATTTATATCACCCAATTCAAGCAAGCAGCAGTGAAGCAACATTACATCTTTTCTTTGTTTCTTCTCTCCTATGCTCTGTTATTTCTTCTCAGTTAAATTTTAGACTGTTATTTCTTTAGGATTTTCTATATTGTTGTTCTCTGGAAATGTCCCAGGAATGTTGATGGAGAGACGTACAAATCAAGTTGGAGTCTAGCATTGCATACTGGAATGGATTTTTCTGAAATTCTATCCCCCGACTAAATGCAGGAAAACAATGCCTCAGAATCACTGAAGAAGGGAAGACCACAGAACTATGCTAGAACCACGATAGAATGCATGCTTTTTTTTCAATGTAGCATCTTACCTAGAACCACAATCCAATTAGACGTATTTTTCAAGTGGTTGAAGCAGTGAGCAGCTGTTAGAACCCAGGTACTGGAAATCAAGGCACCTCGGCAAGTAGAATCCATATGATACTAGAGCAAAATTTAAATTCAATATACGTTTAACGCTCCAAAATTATGTTCTAGGTTAGAGGTCCCCAACCCCTGGGCTGTGGCTCACTACCGGGCCACGGCCTGTTCAAAACCGGGCCAAAGGAGAAATGGCAAGCGCTTGGCACAAAGCTCCAGTCAACGTGAGCAGAGGGAGCTTGCACTCGCATGAATGGAGCTTCGTGCAGGAGCACCTTCTGCTCACACGACTGGAGCTTTGTGAGTGAGCAACAGGCACTTTCACACGAGTGGAGGGTGTGCACCTGCACCGCTCGCACAAATGGAGCGGTGAGCACGTACATGAGCCTGCGACTCACTCGCCCCCCCCACGCCAGGCTGGGCTACCAAGCTGGAAAGATTGGGGGCCATTGTTCTAGGTCAGTGCTTCCCAAACTTGACAATTTTAAGGCATGTGGACTTCAATGCTGGCTGTGGAATTCTGGGAGTTGAAGTCCACATGCCTTAAAATTGTCAAGTTTGGGAAACACTGTTCTAAGTCATCCTTCCTCGACTAAGGGGCTCTCCAGATTCCCATCCTTTAACCATTCAACGGGATCAAATATCAGGGATAAAACAAGTTAATTGCAGGTGGGGTCCACATTTCTGTTAGCCCCTACAGAAATCTGGGAAGAGGAAAGAGACCCCAGAGACTTGGGTGGGTGATGGTGGGGAAGAATAGTCTGTACTCACTGGGTTTTGGAGACGCACGTGCCACGGATTCTTCTGATCCCATCTGGCATTGTCCGAGTAGTTTGACAAACCACAAATGTCCTCCAAATCTCTAGGATCTAAGATAGTTAGAAAATTAAAGAATCTGGGGGGAAACTGATCATCATCAATCTTGCCATTTGCCCCCCTTGATTCTTTCTACACACTTTCAAGATCTATCGCTCTTTGAGCACACCAATACACAAATGCACCTTTTGTGCAAAGGCTCCCATTGGCCTTGTTTAAGTGGCAAAATTTTTCATGTTACCAGAAATGAGGTTGTGATATTGACTTTGATATGGGGAAAATCAAACTATGTTATTTTGATAATCTCTCTCTCTCTCTCTCCCTCCCTCTCTCTCTCTCTCTCTCTCTCTCTCTCTCTCTGTGTGTATGCCTTGAGTCAGTATCAGTTCTTGGCAACTACCTGCTCTCTGCAGATTTCTTGGAGATATTTTTCAGATGTGATTTGCCATTGCCTGCTTCTTAGGGCTGAGAGAAATTGACTGGCCCACGCTCACCCAGCTGAGTTCATACCAATATTGCCCCCAACAATCCAGGTCCTCATTTTACCGACCTCAGAAGGATGGAAGGCTGAGTCAACCCTGAGCTGGTCAGAATTGAACTGCTAGCAGCAGGCAGAATTAGCCTGCAAGACTGCATTCTAACCACCGCGCCACCGTGGCTCTTCAGTCCTCAACTTACAACTATTCATTTAGCGATCATTTGAAGTTACAACTGAACTTTAATGTTAATATTTATTATCTTAATATTGTAATATTTTATCTTGTTTTTACTTTGCTGTACGCCTCGTGAAGTTGTCTCTAGGTGAGATGGGCAGCATGTATATACTCCCACAGTTGGCATAAGACGCTGAATATTGGGTAGATGCACCAACCCTTTGCCCTTTGCCCCTTTCCCACTTGCATCCTCATCCCTGGTAAATAAGACAGATCCAACATACCCAACAGATCTTCAAAAGCTTTCTTGAGCTCCTGTGGATTTTCCATCACAAAGACATGCCTTTCCCCTGACTTCTTTGATGCAATCTCATTCATGGCAGTCAAGTCAACGTTGAGGTTCCCAATGCCAAAAACATAGATATCTGAACGAAACAACAACAGGACATGCACTGATGATGTTACCTAGTTGGGTAAAGAAATGTCTGCAAGAAAACAGCCAAGGACCCCTCAGCAGGGCATATGTTAACCTGGGACATTCTGGAAGAGAAGACAGGACAGTCCCCAAATCTTATCAAGGGATTCTTTCAGTTTTATCAAGCCAGTTAAGTAGCAGTGAAAGTCAAGGGTGAATGGGCTGGATGCACTGAAAGCCATACGAAATAAGAAAAATAAGAGCTTGACCCTTTCGAATTCATTTTGAGGGAAACTAAGCAGACAGGAGATTTCCAGCAAACCTGTGATGAATCCAGCAAGGGTTTTATACTATGTTTTAAGACCACCAAGAACATTTGCAGTGATCTAAAATGTTTGACAGAATCCAATTATAACTCCAGTTATCAATTATAGAAAACCCCATTTCTGCCCTCTCTGGATTCTGTCATAAAGAAAGAGAGGGGGGTGAACAAAGGGGCTTTATGGCCCTCACTTCCTTTGAATGTAGTTAGCACCAAAAGGCCTTATCATAACAAAGGAGGCTATTTACCTTTCATGTAGTTTATCTGAAGTCTCCATCCAGCCGGAAGAAAGGAAAAAAGGGGTGGGATTGTGATGCCTGAAACTGTCACTGGAAGAGGGGGGTGATTGGGTGGGACTACTGGGGAACCCCTTAAAACCTCGAATGAGAGCTTGAACCCCAAGTCCTGTCTGGAACGCCTGCAACCATTTTCTCTTAATAAAGGATTCCTGTTGGAAGAATTATTCCAAGAGTTCTGTCTTCTTAAGATGCAAAGTGGGGTGGGTTCTTACAATGTTATTACTTTTCTCTGTGAGTTGCCCAGGAAAATACTTTAACTGAAATTACTTTTCCTGGAGAGATGCAGGAGTGATTACATTTTCTATTTTCAATTATTGCTGCATGAAGTACTGGTCTGGCTTTTTTAACAATTGCTCCTGCTGTTTTCCAGCAACAGCTTTTTCTCAATTGCTCTATTTGGCCAGCCTCTTTATCTGAGTTGCTTCTTCTAGTGTGTTAGTCATAGATGAGCTGCTAAATTACTTACTTCCCTATTGGCCCTAATGGGCAGCACATCTCCTGAGTTTTAGAAAAGAATTGGCAAAAATAAATAAATAAAAATAAATATAAAATAAAGAATGTTGAAATATTTAATTTAATTAACAGCTGGAACAGTAAAGTGGGTAATGGGCTAAAACACACAGTGGTAGTTGACTGATTGGAGTGTATGGGCTCCTGCAGGAGGCAATCTATGTTCTGATTGGTTGCTGGGTGTAAAAGGGGCGTTTCCTTTTTTCCCACCTTTTTCTTTTGTGTGCCCTGTACAGAGTGTATGCTTTGTGATTTACCTCACAATGCTCCTGTTTGCCTGACTATCCTGATTGATGTAAATATGGATGTTAAATATATTTATTTATATAAAACTACAAGTTCGTGACAGCGTCTATGACTTCATTTGGACACCTGCTATGCAATTCCCTGACAATAAATAAATAAAATCTTATATATTTTGGAGAGCATTTACCATGGGATGGACCCCGAGCTACAGCCTTCCCCTGACAGTGGAAAGTGAAAGTGAAAGGAAAGCTTTTCTGCAGCACATAGAAAGTGATACTTCACAGTGAAGCTGCCCTCAGCTTTTCATGATGACACTTGGATTTTGTGAGAGATTGAGGAAGTGAGTGGGGTCAGGGTGAGGAAAAGATGTTTGGTTTATCAGGAATAGCCAACACTCCAGAAGACAGGCTTAAGATACAGAAGGATCTGGACAGACTTGAACACTGGGCGCTAACTAACAAAATGAAATTCAATGGTGAAAAAAGCAAGGTTCTACATTTAGGCAAGAAAAACCAAATGCACAACTACAGCATAGGTGGCACCATGCTCAATAGTAGTAACTGTGAGAGGGACCTCGGAGTCCTAGTAGACAATCACCTAAATATGAGCCAGCAGTGTGCTGCAGCTGCCAAAAAGGCCAACACAGTGCTAGGCTGCATTAACAGAGGGATAGAATCAAGATCACGTGAAGTATTAATACCACTCTTCAATGCCTTGGTAAGGCCACACTTGGAATACTGCATCCAGTTTTGGTCACCACGATGTAAAAAAGATGTTGAGACTCTAGAAAGTGTACAGAGAAGAGCAACAAAGATGATTAGGGGACTGGAGGCTAAAACATATAAGGAAAGGTTGCTGGAATTGGGTATGTCTAGTTTAACGAAGAAAAGGACAAGGGGGGGCATGATAGCAGTATTCCAATATCTCAGGGGCTGCCATAAAGAAGAGGGAATCAAGCTATTTTCCAAAGCACCTGAAGGCAGGACAAGAAGCCACGGATGGAAACTAATCAAGGAGAGAAGCAACCTAGAACTAAGGAGAAACTTCCTGACAGTGAGAACAATTAATCAGTGGAACAACCTGCCTCCAGAAGCGGTAAATGCTCTAATACTGGAAGTTTTTAAAAAGAGACTGGACAGCCATTTGTCTGAAATGGTTTAGGGTTTCCTGCCTGAGCAGGGGGTTGGACTAGATTACCTCCAAAGTCCCTTCCAACTTTACTACTACTATTATTACTACTACTAGAACAGGCATGTCAAACTCGCGATGTCACGTAATGTTGCGCGATGTATCGTGACTTTTTCTCCATTGCCGGCAATGGGGTGGGTACAGTTTCAGCGCGACGCATCCGGCCTGTGGGGTGGTAGTTTGACATGCCTCATCTAGAAGAAACAATCTGAGAGAAGCAAAGAAGTCCAGATATAACAAGTAACCTGGGAAAAAAGCATTTCAAGAGGAGAAAAAAGTGATTTATTGAGGATCATCTCATAACAATTGGAGAAAATTAAGTCTTGTGGCTTCATAAAGGTTAATACATTTATTTTGCTTTCTGCTGTGAACTCTAGGCTGCAATAGCTAAGCTATATTGGTAGTCCTCTAGTTAAGACTGACCAAAAAAATGGGATTTATGACCCAGATTCAAAATTCTGACAGTCGTATCCACTCCACAGTCAGGTGACAAAACTTTGGGCACTGGGCAATATGATTACATATATAGCTCTTTGCAAAGTCCTGCATTCACGTGACCACATTTTACGACAATTTTGCCCAAAGCTGGCACTTCTAGTTTTTGGCAAAACCAAAAGTGAACCATTTCTTCACTTAAGAACCACAGCTTTTGCATAATGTCCATGGCATCTGCTTTAGGACTGCTGCAAAAAAGGTCATAAAATTGAGTCAGTCATGTGACCGACTCATTTTAGGATTCTCATGCGATAGGACCATAATGGCCAAGCTCCATTATGGTCATATGTCCACGATTGCCAGTAGTGGGTTTTCAACTGAGCAGTAGTTATACAGAGATTCAGTCGGCTGTAGGAAAACAAGGTTCTTGAGGGGAAGGTTGCTGTCGCAAAGTAACACAATTCATTCTTTTGAAAAATCAAGCATTTTCTTGACTCACCGAGATAATCGTTTCTGTTTTGTCTCACATCCACCATACCTTCTATGCTGCGCACTGCCAGTTTGGGAGAAGGCCCAAGATTGGATTTTCCTGAGGACAAAAAAATAAAAATAAAAAATTGGAAGACAAAATCGAAGAGTAATTCCCAACTCACGTGCTTACAGCAAAACAAGTGAGCCAAGAGGAATAAGTTGTGGAAAACTCATGGATGATCATACACTGAACGGGCCTTGTGTTCTTAAATGGAAAAAAAAATTATGCCAGCTAAGAAAAATGAAGACCTGCCATGGTTCCTGGGCAGTCTGAAGTCCATGATTAGGTAGGCCTCTGACTGTGCTAAAAACAAGTGGTAGGAGAATTTTTTTTAAATCGCTTTGATTGATAGGCTGGAGTCTGGCTTCGAAACACAAGGAGATTTCAGACTGAATTTCTATCTAGATCAGTGTTTCTCAACCTTGACAATTTTAAGGCATGTGGACTTCAACTCCCAGAATTCCACAGCCAGCAATTGCTGCTTGTGGAATTCTGGAAGTTGAAGTCCACATGCCTTAAAATTGTCAAGGTTGAGAAACACTGATCTAGTGGAAGCTTTTCAAGGCCACAAGCAGAAGGTGTTTCCCTCACAGATGATCAGTTAGAACTGAAGAAGGTTCATGGATGAGAAGAGAAACATTTTCGAAGGAAATGTTTTAAGCATGCGTGTGTTTTAAGTCCAGTTGCCTTTAGGAAAAGCATCTTTGGGACAGCCATGACCTGGATGACTGAGAATCTCCATAGACATTCCGATGTCTGTCACATTAAAACACACACACGCCTAAAACTGGGCAGCATTTTTTGAAAGCACAGGGAGCAAAGCATTCTGGGAAGGGGGTGGTATACCACACCGTGAAATCAATTCTGAAATTATGAGGATTAGGTCTTCCTCCACCCCACCTCCCTCAAACCCCTGGGGAATTGGAGGAAAAGAGAATTGGAAAAATGAGCTGTTGCTAGTGAGGAGGTGTTCTAGTCCATGGGCTCCCTTTGTGGCTTGCTGATTGCCTCTTTTGAAAAGTATATAGAGTTCATGTCTATGTGCCTGTTGGTGGCTGATTTGTCTGAATGCTGGGCTTCCAGGAATTCTCTAACATTTTTGAACTTGGCATGATCTAGGACAGTGGTTCTCAACCTGTGGGTGGGACCCCATTTGGGGTTGAACGACCATTTCACGGGGGTCGCCAAACAACACAGTCCGCCATTTTTTTCCCCCTTGTCCTTAGCTGTGCTACTCCCTTTTATTCTATTGGCTTTTGAAAGCCAATAGAATAGACTCTCTTGAATAGAGTCTAATTCTATTGGCTTTCAAAAGCCAATAGGAATTGTCCAGGCTGTCTCTGCCCTGCTGAGCCCGTCAAAAGTCCCATTATGCAAACGGTGCTGCACCAGTTGAATAGTCCTCAACTTACGACCGACTGAGTAGTCCTCAACTTACGACCGGTTGGGGGTTACGGCATTAAAAAGGTTGAGAACCACTGATCTAGGATGTTCACAGTTCCTCAGTTGAAACTATGGTTAATTCTGTCCATGTATTGTGCAATTAAAAAGTTTTCAACATATCTTCTGATTGCAAGTTGGTGTTCATGGTTGCACTCTGCTAGTCTCCTGCCTGTTTGTCCTATGTAGTGGTTGTTACAGTCTTCAGATTGTATGCTGTAGATCAGCAATCCCCAATCTTTCCAGCTTGCTGGCTTGGCATGGCACGGGGGGGGGGGGAATGGCAGGCACACGTGCACCCCCACAGCTCCATTTGTGCAAGCGGCGTGCATGTGCACCCCCACTCACACGAACATGTGAGCAGAGGGTGCTTACACTCATGCACGAAGCTCCACTCACGCAAAAGACAGGCACTTCCACTCACACGCAAAGCTCCACTCGCGTGAACAGAGGGCGCTTGTGCTCATGCGCCATGCTCCACTTGTGTGAGTGGAAGGCGCTCGCGCAAGAATGGAGCTTCGCACATGAGCGCAAGTGCCCTCCACTCTTTCAAGTGGAGCTTCACACGTATGCACGAGTTTGCCTGCTGCTCACGCAAGTAGCACTTCACGTGCGCACGCTTGCCTATTTTTTTCCCATGGCCCGGTTTTGAACAAGCTGCAGCCCGGCAGTGGTAGGAGATTGGGGTTTCCTGCTGTAGATGACTCCTGCTTTTTCTTCTGGGGCTAGTGGGTCTTTTGGTTTACGTAGGATGTTTTAGAGCAGGGGTTCTCAATCTTTTTAATCCTGCGACCCCCAACCGGTCGTAAGTCGAGGACTACTCAACCAGTCCTAAGTCGAGGACTACTCAACTGGTGCAGCACCGTTTACAGAATGGGACTTTTGGCGGGCTCAGCAGGGCAGAGACAGCCTGGACAATTCCTATTGGCTTTGGAAAGGCAATAGAATTAGACTCTATTCAAGAGAGTCTATTCTATTGGCTTTCAAAAGCCAATAGAATAAAAGGGAGTAGCACAGCTAAGGAAAAGGGGGGGGGAAATGGCAGACTGCGTTGTTTGGCGACCCCCGTGAAATGGTCGTTCGACCCCAAATGGGGTCCCGACCCACAGGTTGAGAACCACTGTGTTAGAGCTTTAATTGATTTGTGTGCTGCCATCTGGTTATAATAGTCTGTGGTCTCCGAGATGTTTTTGATGCATGGCACTGTTATCCTTTTCATAGCTCATGTCATAAGAGCAACACAATGAGAGCTGGTTTCACTCTCATTGCACTGATGGTGTTATCTAATTTGGGTAATGAAACTTCTGCAAAAAAACAACCAAGCTCAGAGAGCACCAAAGACCCCTCATTTCAACCCTGAGCTATAAATATTCTCCTATATTGTACAATAGCCAAGGCTAGACAGTGAACGGTCCCCCCCCCCAAAAAAAACCCACCTCCACTTTCAATCTCCCCATTTCTCCTTACCATCTGTAAGCAGAATGATGGCATGGCGGACTTTGCTCCATTGATCTTTTGAAAATTTTTCTTCGTTAATCATCATCTCGTAAACAGCAAAAAGGGCCGCATGAATGTTGGTTCCAGTAGCATTGCCGTGATCTGCAAAAAAAAAAAAAAAAGGATTAGTCTTGAGCGGTTCTTCTTTTTAAACCTCATCTGATGGACCCTATAAGGCACCATGCAGAGGCAGTGAGAGGGAACCACAATAGATAGCATTCCCCAAGGTTTCGTGCATGTCTTTTATTTGTGGTTAAAAAAAAAGTGGGAAGTTATAGGTTCATATTGGAAGAAAGATTCGTTGCCTACTTTAGAAGAATGGCTATTTCAAGTTTCTAATTTAGCAGAAATGGCAAAAATTTCTGCTTATTTAAAGGATCATACACAAGAAAGATATATTATTGTATGGAGAAGATGGATAGATTATATTCAGAAGAAATACGGGACTATAAAGTTTCATTTATTTTATGGGTAAATTTTATAGTAAATATTGTATAAGAGATTTGTTTATGATGATGTAATTTAAGGGGAGTTAAGGGCTAAGTATGTTTTTTTTTCTCTCTTTCTTTTTATTGTATATTGTTAATTTTGTTATTAATAACCCTGTACTGTTCTGGGAAGTGAGGGGGGGTTGAGGGTGGGTGAGTGGGTGAGTGGGTGGGTAAATAGGTAGAATAGGATAATATAGATATGGTAATTTATGAGAGAGGTGCTGCTTGGGCGTTTCCCCTATGCTGTATTCCTGTATTTGAGAGGGATGAGAGGGGAGGAAGGTGAAGGGAGGAAGTAGGATGGTAAGAGGAGAAGGGGAGGGGAAGAGAGTAGTGAGGGGAGGAGAGAAAGAGGAGGGAAGTAAGGAAGGTATTAGGGAGGGTGGATACAGCTTGGGGGGAACAAGCAAGCGGCATCTATGGTTATGGTTATGGTTATGATTATGAATTTATTTTATTTTGTAAAGTGATAAATGGAAAATAAAAAAAATTATTAAAAAAAAAATTGGGAAGAGTCTGCCTACGTGATTGAACATGGATGAAAAAGAAGGCTGCCCTAGATTCCAATTAAACATCTACTTTATCTGTGGGGCTTTATTTTATTTATTTATTTTAGGGTGTAGGTCGTGCTGTGAGGGCTGAATGCTGCTATAAAAAAAAAAAAAAAAAAAAACAAGTAACAACTGGCTCATTTTTTTTAAATGCAAAAATCCTCAAAACAATCCAACCAATCTGGGGATTGAATTATCTCCAGGTGCCTGTAGGTCAGCCTTCTCAGTAGACCAGAAAAGAAACCCCATCAGATGAGCTAATTCTCCTTTACTCTAAGGCAGTGGTTCTCAACCTGTGGGTCGGGACCCCATTTGGGGTCAAATGACCATTTCACGGGGGTCGCCAAACAACGCAGTCCGCCATTTTTTCCCCCTTTTCCTTAGCTGTGCTACTCCCTTTTATTCTATTGGCTTTTGAAAGCCAATAGAATAGACTCTCTTGAATAGAGTCTAATTCCATTGGCTTTCAAAAGCCAATAGGAATTGTCCAGGCTGTCTCTGCCCTGCTGAGCCCGCCAAAAGTCCCATTCTGCAAACGGTGCTGCACCAGTTGAGTAGTCCTCGACTTACGACCGGTTGAATAGTCCTCGACTTACGACCGGTTGGGGGTCGTGGCATTAAAAAGGTTGAGAACCACTGCTCTAAGGCTATGTTAAGCAAATCTTGCAAATCTGAAGGTACAAATCTCCCACTGCCTCTTTGTATCACTTGATAGATAGGGAGGTTGCTTTCTGAATTTTTTCTCTGTGCATCATACATCATCATCCCCTTATTTGATTCTTCCCTAAACAGCATTTCACTTCGCAGGAGATGGCTGGCCATAGAAATTTGACAAATAAATTTTAAAAAACTCTTTTTCCCTCTGTCTCCCAAGGCCACCCTCACATGCCAGTAGTGGCGAATGGCACACGTGCCAAAGGCAGCCCTCAGAACCCTCTCTGTGGGCACGCGCGCCATGCCCCGGAGATGGCAACCATCTCTCTTCAACCAGCCGCCCGCTAACTCACCAAGGTCCTACATGCCCGGATGCATCCCAGCACCCATGCGCTCGCTGGCCTCTGTGTACAGGGGCCAATGGTGTCAGGCAGCAACCACCCATGCCCCTACTTGCCCTGTGACAACGGCACCCCCACCCACCTCCCCACCTGGCAGAGACCCCCTGGATCTCCCCCAATTCTGCCCGGCCCCCACAGGCGTCCCTCCCCACAAGCAACATCGAGGTGATCACGCCCCCTTTGGCCACTCCCACCCAATCTGCCATGACCACCACAGCCACGCCCACCCAGTGGGCCACGCCCACCTGGCACCCGGTGATAAATAAGTGGTCTCTAAAAGGTTTGCCATCACTGATCTATGCCCATTGGCTTTGGTCCAAAAGGGCAAATGCATTCCAGATCCATCAATTAAAGAGCCCCTCTTTGAAGGAGATAGGTGGTTTAGAAATATGGAAAAGAGAGAGAGAGAGAGGGAGAGGGAGGGAGAGAGAAAAGAAAAGATAAGAAAAGATAAGAAAAGAAAAGAAAGGAAGGAAGGAAGGAAGGAAGGAAGGAAGGAAGGAAGGAAGGAAGGAAGGAAGGAAGGAAGGAAGGAAGGAAGGAAGAAGCCTTGCTGGATCCTGAAAGCGTACCTACTCTGTTCCAATAGCTGATCTCTGGAAGGATCTCTCCCCCGCACAAAAAAAAAAGTTTTATGGGGGTCTCACCACCTTTATGTCATTTAGGAAATTGTAGAAGAGTTGGTTGTTCTCCCTGACCTTGGGGCCAGGAGGAATGTGGACCCCCCCCCCGGGTTTCTTTTGTTTTTGCTTTGTTTTACTTTGGTTTGATTTGGCTTTGCATTTTGCTCTTCTGTTTTCTGGAACCATACTTTTAATAAATTGGTTTTTAACTGTAAGCCACCCAGAGCTATTTGGGAACTGAGCAGTCTAAAAATGAAATGAAATAAAATATAAAAAAAATTAAATAAGAGAAAATAAAATAAATAAAACAAAATAATAAAATAAATGAAATTATGAAATAATAAAATGCTTCTAACTGTGGAAATAGCAATACTCTTATTATATTTATTAAAGTGCTGTGCTATGTAACCACATAGCAATGTACCCTTTTGTAATTCCGGGAGAGATAAAGTAGCATTTGAAAGGTTGCCCTAGGTTTTATTCTTTATTTACACAACACAGCTGAATACGGCATCCAGTTTTGGTCACCACGATGTAAAAAAGATGTTGAGACTCTAGAAAGAGTACAGAGAAGAGCAACAAAGATGATTAGGGGACTGGAGGCTAAAGCATATAAGGAATGGCTGCTGGAATTGGGTATGTCTAGTCCAGGTGTAGGCAACCTTGGCTCTTTTATGACTCGTGGACTTCAACTCCCAGAATTCCTGAGCCAGCCATGCTGAGGGGAAAGGGAGAGGTTTCCAAGCTGAGCCATGCTGGCTCAGGAATTCTGGGAGTTGAGGTCCACGAGTCATAAAAGAGCCAAGGTTGCCTACCCCTGGTCTAGTCTAATGAAGAGAAGAACGAGGGGGGGGGACATGATAGCAGTGTTCTAGTATCTCAGGGGCTGCCACAAAGAAGAGGGAATCAAGCTATTTTCCAAGGTGCCTGAAGGCAGGACAAGAAGCAACGGGTGGAAACTAATCAAGGAGAGAAACAACCTAGAACTAAGGAGAAACTTCCTGACAGTTAGAACAATTAACCAGTGGAACAACCTGCCTCCAGAAGTGGTGAGTGCTCCAACACTGGAAATTTTTAAGAAGAGACTGGACAGCTATTTCTCTGAAGTAGTATAGGGTTTCCTGCCTGAGCAGGGGGTTGGACTAGATGACCTCCAAGGTCCCTTCCAACTTTATTATTATTATTATTATTATTACTATTACTATTATTATTATTATTATATGAACACACATAATAAGCCACAACCACACTACCTTCTTGCCACTATAGAACAAAATGAAAGCTTCAGTTCAAGAGACGACGTGAACCAAGTGGCACACAAATTTAAACAATAATAGGGACACCCAAAGGTTCCTTTCCAAAAAGGCAACTGGACTTTCTTTGTTTTTCCTTGAAGATGTTTTGCTTCTCGTCCAAGAAGCTTCTTCATTTCTGGATGAGACTTCTTGGATGACAAGCGAAACATCTTCAAGGAAAAAGCAAGAAAGTCCAGTTGCGTTTTGAAAAGCAGCTTTGAGGCAACCTTGACCTGGAGGACTAAGAATCTCCATTACACAATAATAGCCATAGTGGACCAGCCAGTTAGGTGTTGCAAGAAAATCACACTGATTACAAGCAAGAGCATGACAAAGTAGCAACAATGGTGCATTGGAATATCTGCAAAAAAATACTATTTGCCTGCAAGGAAGAACTGGTGGCACCGTAACATAGTCAAAGTAATAGAAAATGAAGACGCTAAAGTGTTCTGGGACTTCAGAATTCAAACGGACAAGCACCTGCCACAAAACATCAGAGACCTAACAACTGTCGATGAGAAAGACAGAAAAGTCTGGAAAGTGGATGTGGCAGTATCTGGAGACAGCAGAAGAGAAGAGAAAGAGATTAACAAAATCACCATTGGGCTATGTTGCACAAGGCAGCTTTACTGGGACAGCTTGCAAATGTGATGGCGAACCTTTTAGAGACCGAGTGCCCAAACTGCAACCCAAAGCCCACTTAGGTATCGTCGGGTGCTGGGTGGGCATGGCCCATTGGGTGGGTGTGGCCAATCGGGTGGGCATCACCCATTGGGTGGGCATGGCTGCGGTGGTAATGGCAAACTGGGTGGGAATTAAAAAGTTCAATCAATCAATTCCAACTTTGCTAGATCTTTTGTTTCCTGCGAGAAGTTGAAATTGATTGATTGATTGAACTTTTTTTTTTTTTTTTTGCACACGGCAGTGGAGGCCTAAAGCGAAAAGGTTTTATAAAACCAGCCTGAAGGCCTAGGACTGGGGTGACGGCGTGTGCCCACAGAGAGGGGTCTGCGTGCCACCTATGGCACATGTGCCATAGGTTCGCCAGCACAGGCTTACACCATCAAACACCTGGGGAAGGACTCGATAGGTGGGTAAAAATGCCACATCCAATCTAAACATCAGGTTGACTGTGGTACGATCCATAATAATAACCATCAAACATCAACATCTGCCTATCTCAGGCCCTTGGGAAGGACCTAGGTCAGTGGTGGTGAACCTATGGCATGGGTGCCAGAGCTGGCACTCAGAGCCCTCTCTGTGGGCACACGCATCGTCGTCCCAGCCCTAGGCCTTCAGCTGGGTTTTATAAAACCTTTCCGCTTTAGGCCTCCGCCATGTGCAAAAAAAAAAAAAAGTTCAATCAATCAATCAATTTCAACTTCTCGCGGGCAAAAAAAAAAGTTCTTGCAAAGTTGGAATTGATTGAACTTTTTAGTCCCACCCAGTCTGCCGTTACCACAGCCATGCCCACCCAATGGGCCATGCCTACCCAATGGGCCACACCCAGCCAATGGGCCACACCCACCCAGCACTCGACAATGCATGAGTGGGTTTTGGGTTGCAGTTTGGGCACTCGGTCTCTAAAAGGTTCGCCATCACTGACCTAGGTCCTAGGATATTTAGGCGCTGACCCTTGGCCATGCCCACTTCATTCCTAGCCACCCACCATAGCTGATTCACAATGGGCTTTCGTCCTCCGCTGACCCTCCCCCAGCAATTCCCCACCACCAATGCCCCCCCCCCATCCCTCCACCCTCAGCTCATCTGGCCGATTCCCCAAGGCACATTTCTACCCGAAGTGATTTGGTGCACGGGACAAATAGCTGCACCTCCCAGCAGCCAATCAATGCTGTGGCTTGCCTCCTGCGCCTGCAAACACACCGTTGCAGCATTCCCATGGTCACATGATCAGAATTCAGATGCTTGGCAACCGGTTCATATTTATGACGGTTGCAGTGTCCCAGGGTCACGTGATCATCTATTGAGACCTTCTGACAAGCAAAGTCAACGGGGAAGCCAGATTCACTTAATAACCATATTATTAACTTAACAAGTACAGTGATTCACTTAACAACTGCGGCAAGGAAGGCCGTAAAATGGGGCAAAATCCACTTTAACAAATGTCTCACTTAGCAACAGAAATTTTGGGCTCAGTTATGGTTGTAAGTCAAGGACTATCTGTATATGTGCATGAGGCAAATTTGTGCGTAAGGGGGAGAGGCTCTCTATACAGTGAACACAATCACATGGGGCTTGTATCACAAACTTGTCTGTGTTGACCACTCCCTCCCTCTCAGGCACCAATGATGAAAAGCAGTGTATAAATATTTTAATCAAAATAAGGGATCTATCAAATTTATAAAGCCACCCAACTCACAACAACTCTGGGCAACATACAGAGATACTGGGAAAGAAATACGACATGCAAACCGGTCTAAATATGTACCTTTGTAATTCATATTACTTTCCATCATCTCAAGCACCATATCAGCATCTTCAGCCTCATCATCGCCAATGTCGACCACTGTCTTGGGCTGGCTGGCATAAGATATGACTGAGAACTTGACCGGAACATCAAAGCTAGAAATCTGAGGAGCAAAGAAAAGCAAAAACACACAAACAATAACAACAACAAAAAAACAGGATTACATTTTGGAGACCATCCAACAAATAGGTCGTTTTCTTTACCATCAAAGAACCTTTTTCCATATGATATTTTTCTACCAAAGTATTTCATTTTAATGTTTGGCAAAAAAAATTCTGAGGCACACTTGAGAGCCAGTTTGGTCTAATGCACCAGAATAGAAAGTGGGAGACTGTGAGTTCTAGTCTTGCCTTAGCCATAAAAGCCGGCTGGGTGACTTTGGGCCGGTTAGTCTCTCTCTCTCTGAGCCCAATCCCACTTCACAGGGTTGTGGTTGTGGGGAAAATAAGAAGAGGAAAGTAAAGTGGAATAAAGTAGAATAACATAGAACAGTGGTTCTCAACCTGTGGGTCGGGACCCCATTTGGGGTCGAACGACCATTTCACAGGGGTCGCCAAACAACGCAGTCCGCCATTTTTCCCCCCTTATCCTTAGCTGTGCTACTCCCTTTTATTCTATCGGCTTTTGAAAGCCAATAGAATAGACTCTCTTGAATAGAGTCTAATTCTATTGGCTTTCAAAAGCCAATAGGAATTGTCCAGGCTGTCTCTGCCCTGCTGAGCCCGCCAAAAGTCCCATTCTGCAAACGGTGCTGCACCAGTTGAGTAGTCCTCGACTTACGACCGGTTGAGTAGTCCTCGACTTACGACCGGTTGGGGGGTCGCGGCATTAAAAAGGTTGAGAACCACTGACATAGAATAAAATGAAGAATAAAGTAGAATAATAATAATGATGATGAAAAATCATTATTCAAGCCAAATGATGTGTCTGCATAATTCCTGGAAGAAAGCTGTGTTAGCAAAAGCTGTGTTAACAATACGTGACTGACCTAATGCACATTGAGAAACATTGTACAAAGTGAAACTCTCTTCATTGTATGCCTGTGAGAAACTAACCGAATGATATACAGTGTAGATTCCATGTGAGCTTCTTTGTTCCTGAGAAAAGGAGAGCTATAAAACTGTAGTTTGAACCCACCCCCTTTGTTCAGAATTGCTGTTGTTAATCGCTTCTGAACCTTGCGCAAATAAACTTCTCTGTTACACCCTCTGGAATTCGTAAAAGTCTTTCGTTTTCCGCAAGAAATTTGTGTTGGATATGTGTGTTGGATATGTTCGTCGTTATGAGTTATTTGTAAAAATAATGAAGGGAGGATACAAATAAATAAACTAAAAATAAATAAATAAAAATATCCCACAATGCTCCTTCAGCTGATATGAAGCAGGATCCAGTTCTGCTCAGTTTCAAGGTAGATCGAATTGATCTACAATATAAGTAGTCCTCGACTTACAACGGGTTGCTTAGCAACCGTTCAAAGTTCCAACGAACCTGCCCGGGGGGGGGGAGCTACTACCTAGATTCAAAGTTCTGACATCAGCCCTCCCCCAGGTCACATGACCGCACTTTGGGTACTCACTAACCAGGCCGGTTTGCGGTGAACTACAATCACAGTGAACCATATTTTATGACAGCTTTGCATTTTGGTAATGGCTTCTTTTCTTTTCGCTATTTTACAGTGAAATAACCAACGTTAGGTCACAATTATTAAAGGGCTGAATGCTGCAAAAAGCTCATTTTTTTCAGCAAAATCTAGAAAATCATTGCCTTTTTCTGTTGAAGTTGAATTACGCAGAATTTTCTGTCCAACAAAAGCAGGATCTTTTAAATATTTACTCCAAGGAATAGGGTCAGCTGTCCTTGTTTGTGTGTGATATTAAGGATTGCAGTCACTGATAGGTTGATAACCCTGGGGGTCAGCAAGCCTTTGCATTGTTCTTAGAAAATCCTCTCAACAACACACCAGCAGCTGAATACGCAAGAGTGGAAGCCCTTGTTTGGCTTTGACCACCCAGCCCTATTTCAAAACCAGCTTTTAATCCATTTCTCCCTATTCAAGGTGGCTGTACTGCAAACTGACAATAATTGAACAAGAGTGATCACCCCTCAAATAAATCTATAAGCACTTCTGGCTGGGGAATTCTGGGAGTTGAAGTCCTTGGGAGTTGCCAAGGTTGAGAAACACTGCTACAAATGGTAGTTTCAATATGGCAGTTAGAACAATCAACCAGTGGAACAACCTGCCTCCAGAAGCGGTGAATGCTCCAACACTGGAAGTTTTTAAGAAGAGACTGGACAGCCATTTGTCTGAAATGATATAGGGTTTCCTGCCTGAGCAGGGGGTTGGACTAGATGACCTCCAAGGTCCCTTCCAACTTTATTATTATTATTATTGTTGTTGTTGTTGTTGTTATCTTCAGTGACCTCTTAAAACCTAACTTTGGAGGGCATCGTGGAAGTAAAAGAGTTCTGTTCTTAATCAATTAAAATCCAAGTGCAGGGGAAGTTTTCAAAGTAATAAAGGCAGGATAAAAATCTAATAAATAAAATGGGACTGAAGTATGTAATGAGCCAAAGAAACCTGCAGACTTAAATGTTTCTGGCAAAATGAGGAAAATGGCATTGCGTTGTTACACCATTAGTTCTGTTAATTCTATTAGTACCAACAGTAACAGGTGCCATTGTAACTTTGAACGTTCACTAAATGAATTGTTGTAAGTCGAGGCCTATCTATACTTGGAACAGCTTATGTCCTGCAAACGATACCTTTAACATTATCAAACAACAACATCTGCCTATCCCAGGTCCTTGGGAAGAACTCGATAGATGAATAAAAATGCCAAATTCAGTCTAAACATCTAGCTGACTGTATGACCAACCATAATAATATTAAATGTGTTCCGCCTGACTCTGAACAGCCCTAGTGGCTCACAACAATCAAATAAAGAAATTACAACATCCTTGTGCTCCCCCTAAATCCCTCCAGCAAAAGGCCCTATAATGATCGAAGGATTAACTTTTCTTTTCTTGCTCTGATCCCCATAAAAATCACATCCCAGCAAAGAGCTAAAACTTTCTGTTGGCACCCACAGATATTTATTTTCTAGGTCAATTCTCCATCCTGCTAGGGAAGGAATGATCACTGTAGAAATGCAGTCAGGGAAAAATGGCTTAGCTACAGGACCCTCTTTCTCCTGTATTGCTTCTGTCTGATCAGTAACATCTGGGTCCCAGCTGTAAACCACACTCATTTTGAATTTCAAGGGATGTGCTTCTTGGCAGTTCTGCCTGCCCTATGGAACGGCGTTATATTGCTTCAATCTATGGAAATTCTCAATCATTCAGGTCTTGGTGGTTCCAAAAGGCAACTGGACTTTCTTATTGTTGTTTTTTCTTTGAAAACATTTTGCTTCTCATCCAAGAAGTTTCTTCTAACTGACTAGTTATTGCCTCAATATTGTGGGTCTTCCATAAGAGAAGAGTAAAAGTCCTGGAGTAGAATGGAACCATGTTTCTGATGGTGATTGGCGGGGAAGATAACTATTCTTCTGTTATTCTTAATTGATGTATTAACTCTATAGGTTAAGTTTCCTGGAGCCCCTTTGTGCAGGGTGTAAGGAAGATGGTCTTGACAGAGATATGCAGAATTTGTTGTGTAGGCAAAAGGTCTGAAGCATTATTGAAGTCCAGAGTAACAAGATAACATTCAGAAGGCAGATGGCTCCCTAATTCAATGGACTATAAGAAGGATGGGGACAATCAGACTTGTAAAATTCAGTTATTACAGCCAATCTCAATCAAAGAAGTGTTAGGTTTCCTGTAGTGTTTTTTTTCCTGGTACCTAGTGGAGGGGACATTTATCACTGGAGGGAGCATGCAGGTTGATAAATAAATAAATACACCTACGTAACCTACTCACATACTCCAGTCTTGGTGAAGATTTTCTTCGTCACTTCCATCTTTTGGGGATTTAATTTTGTACGCACTCTGATTTGGCTGCTTATAGTATGGTTAACCTGGGTTAGACCTTGTTAAAGTTCAAATTAGTTTATATTTGCAGCGTAAACATGTCCTTATGTCAATAGTCACCAGCACTGCTGCTAACACCACCGCTGTCAAGCACCAGGGAAATCAGAAGATCCAGGAATTCAAATGGATATAAAGATTTATTGTAAGCTTAAGCGCTCTACAAGAATCTGAACTACTAACAGTCAAAGCAATTTGGTGGTAGATAAGGAATTCAAGGTGGGCTGGGCTCAGATTGATGATGTGTTTGACCCCTCCCTCGGGCTCAGACTGGTCATCTCCTACATCCACCTCCCAATTCTTTATCCAACTCTATATCTACAGAAACTTACCCTGATGATGATTTGGCTTACAGCATCTTTAAAGATAGAAAAGTTAGGTTCTTTAACACTGTGGGAAGCATCCAACAGAAAGTAAACATAGAGGAAGCTATCTTTGGTCAGTATAAGTCTTCGGCCTAGAGACGGAGCTAATGAGGAGAAGAAAGAAATTGTTATTTCCCATCCTAAGCAAAAGAACTTGCTTCCACTGATACCAGATACTTCTTTCTCTCTTTCCCCTTCTATAACTTAGGATACCTCCAAAGAAGCTGAAAGTGATTCTGAAGCCACAAAAAAATGGACAGCCCAAAGGCTAAGCCATAGAATTTGCTTGTACAAAATGTATCATAAAATTGACCTGATGAATATCTTCAGCATCACCATTTTGTGTGTTTCTCAACCTTAGAATATGATTCTGCAAGCGCCTGTGACTCATTGCACTGCTTCAGTCCCGCTGGAGATAGAGAGATCTCCTCTCTATCATTTAATTAATTCAGAATAAAACTATAGTTCCTAATCAATACTGAATGGGCCCTCTTTAAGTGCCATGGTATCCCCCAAAACTAATTTTTAAGAGATCTGTGAAGATTGTGTTGGAACTACCATTTACAACAGTGTTTCTCACTATTTGAGACTTGAGAATTTCCACTTCCAGAATTCTCAGACTTCAATTCCCAGAATTCCACAGGCAGCATGCTGGCCAGGGAATTCTGGAAGTTGAAGTCCATATATCTTAGTTACCAAGGCTGAAAACTCTGGTCTCCTTACTAGCCATTAGTAGCTATCAATGGCTACTAATCATGTTATGTTGGCCTTCCCAGGTAATCAGACAGGAAACTCAACTAGGTGAGTGAAAACTACTTTATTATAAGGCTACATTAACAGTATTTTGCAAGTCTGGAACTACAAATTTCTGCCTGCCACTTTTAACTGGTAGACCCATTAGACTAGCTGCTCTGGAGAGAAAAAAGACTCACTTTGAACTGTCCCAGAAGGGTCCACCTCGAAGGTGGATACTTCACTCAGGACATCCGTCAACGAGGCCCCAAATTCAGCTTTAACATCTTCAGCTCGGTCATAAGAATAACTGGCTGTGAGGATGAGAAAAGGGGATCATCTTGTGTTATTGCGAAAGAGAAGGAGACATTGATTCCAGTATTTGAGAGGGTTCCAGAAAGGAGAGAGGGTCAACTTATTTTTCAGAGCACCCAGAGGGCAAGACAAGAAACAATGGATGGAAACTAATCAAGGAGAGAAGCAACCTGGAATTAAGGAGAAACTTCCTAACAGTGACAACAATTAACCAGTGGAACAACTTTGCCTTCAGAAGTTCTGGGTGCTCCATCACTGAAGCCTTTCAAAAAGAGACTGGACAACCATCTATCTGAAATGGTATAGGGTCTCCTGCTTGATCAGGAGGTTGGACTAGAAGACCTCTAAGGTCCCTTCCAGCTCTACTCTGATTGATAGATTGATTGATGAGAGATTGCTGTGAACAATATTTTATAATTAATCTGACCATTAATCTTTCCATCTTTCCAACATAAGAAAGGAATTCATTTTTTTTTACTAAACTCCTGCAATATTGCTATTCTCAAATACTGGAAATACAAATACATCTTTATTTAACAGGTTATTTCAAAACAAGAGAAAAAAGAATTGGCTGAATACAGGTAGTCCTTGACTTACAGCAGTTCATTTAGTGACCATTCGAAGTTGTAATGGCACTGAAAAAAGTGACTTATGACTGTTTTTCATACTTACGACCATTGCACCATCCCCATAGTCATGGGATCAAAAGTCAGACACCTGGCAACTGGTTCATATATATGATTGTTGCAGTATTCCTGAAGCATATGATCACATTTTGTGACTTCCGACAGGCAAAGTCAATGGGGAAGCCAGATTCACTTAACAACCCTGTCACTAACTTAACTGCAGTGATTGATTTAACAACTGTGGCAAGAAAGGTTGTAAAATGGGGCAAAATTCACCTAGCAATTGCCTCATTTAGCAACAGAAGTTTGGGGCTCAAGTGTGGTTGTAAGTCAAGGACTATCTGTAGTTAGCGTGGTAACAAAAGTGTCTTAAAATCCCTTAATTCAGGTTTGTTTTATTAACATGTTAGCAAAATATCTCCAAATGATTGTAATTTTTTAAAAATTCTCCATATATATATGGTGAACTGCATTTCTAATTTTTGGCTTCGCGTTCGTGGTCGTGCCTCATCTTCATGGTGGGTGTCAGTTTGCTTCATGTATGGATTGGAGGGGTTTAAAGTGGCTAATGATGCAGCTGTGGTCTGGCTTCTGGTTTGTGGTCGTGCCTCATCATCGGTGTGGCTTTGGGTTTGCTTTTGCGTGGATGTGTGGTGGTGACATCCTGTGTGGTTTTTGTGAGTGTGGGTCTGGTGTCATTTTTTGTGTTAGGGAGTCGTTTGTCAATAAGGGCGGGTTTCCAAACCTTATTTACCAATAATACAGCATATACAGATCTAGACAGAGCTGATTATTCATTTCCCTCTTTTAAAAGGCACATCAACAGTGCTCTGTGCTTGTTTCACAGGTAGTCCTTGACTTACGTCCACAGTTCAGTCCATTATTTCTGTTGCTCAGTGAGACAGTTGTTAAGTGAGTTTTGCTCCACTTTACAACCCTTCTTGCCACAGTTGTTAAGTGAAACACTGCAGTTGTTAAGTTAGTAAGGCGCTAAGTGAACCTGGCTTTCCCATTGATTTTGCTTGTCGGAAGGTCGCAAAAGGTGACCACATGACACTGGGGCACCACAACTGTCGTAAATATAAACCAGTTGCCAAGCACCTGAATTTTGATCATGTGATCATGGGGATGCTGTAACGGTTGTTAAGTGTGAAAAATGGTCATAAGTCACTTTTTTCAGTACCTCTGTAATTTTGAACAGTCACTAAACAAATAGTTGTTAGTCAAGGACTAATCTTTTTTAGTCTTATTATAGCAATAGCACTTAGACTTATATACCGCTTCACAGTGCTTTACAGCCCTCTCTAAGCGGTTTACAGAGTCAACAATCTGGGTCCTCATTTTACCCACCTCGGAAGGATGGAAGGCTGAGTCAACTTTGAGCCTGGTGAGATTCAAACTGCCGAATTGCAGGCAGCAAGCAGTCAGCAAAAGTAACCTGCAACCACTGCGCCACCATGGCTCTTTAAATCAGTGGTTCTCAACCTGTGGGTCGGGACCCCATTTGGGGTCGAACGACTGTTTCACGGGGGTCGCCAAACAACGCAGTCCACCATTTTTTTCCCCTTTTTCTTAGCTGTGCTACTCCCTTTTATTCTATTGGCTTTTGAAAGACCATAGAATAGATTCTCTTGAATAGAGTCTAATTCTATTGGCTTTCAAAAGCCAATAGGAATTGTCCAGGCTGTCTCTGCCCTGCTGAGCCCGCCAAAAGTCCCATTCTGCAAACGGTGCTGTACCAGTTGAGTAGTCCTCGACTTACGACCGGTTGAGTAGTCCTCGACTTACAACCGGTTGGGGGTCGCGGCATTAAAAAGGTTGAGAACCACTGCTTTAAATAATCCTTATTTAAAACATTTTTTTTCAAAAAGATATTATCTTTGAATGAACAAATAATTGCCAAGGTTATACAATTATTACTCAATGCAACATAAAAAGGAACATAAAAAGGTGAAAAAAAAGCAAGGGCAATTTAGAACAGAACAGAGCAGAACAATAACTTTATTGTCACTTTAGATATACACTAATCAGCATATATTAAAATGAGATTTTGTTGCATACAGCTCTCAAAGGGTAGCCACCTCCAATATACACTGCATAAAGATGACCCCAAAAAAATTATGCATATGATCATATACACACATATAGGATCCAGAGAAACAATACAGTCTAGTTTGGACGCGTACATATACATGGCGAGAAAAACGAATCTCATGAGTTTACCAGACAGATGGCATAGGGAATAAAGCTGTTACAGAATCTAGTAGTTCTGCTATAAATACTTCTAAACCTCCTTCCAGAGGGGAGTAACAGAAACAGACCGTGAAGTGGATATGAGAGGTATCTAACAATGCCTCGAGCTCTAAGCGCATAGTGCTTATAAACAGTGTCCTGAATAATGGGAAGCAGGCTTCCTATAATCTTCTCAGCTGTCCTTACCACTCTCTGTATGGACCTTCTATCTGAGGAGATGCATCCTAATTGAAAAGGAGATGTGTCTAGTGAATGTAAAGAAAGGATGCAGAAGCTAAGGGACAAGTGGTGACACTGGAGACCATCTAACCTAACCCGCTGAAAAAGAGGTGTCCTTGAAATGCATACCTCTACAACTTGGCTGCATATCAGACCATTCGCCATCCAGCATGCAGACCCGTTGGGATGATCCAATCAAGTCTAAGTTATTCTGACACTGGAATGAGATCCGATCACCAAGACGGTTGCCTTTCCCTGTAGCAATCGCCCCCGGGGGCACAGCAAGACTGCGGCAGTGCCCAACTGTGGAAACAAGACAACAACATCAACCCAATTGCAGAGGTGAGACTGTAGCAGATGATGTGAGAAGATACGTGGCTACTCTCATACTGCTTCCAAATGCTTCTTCATTTTTACAGCAGAGTACACAGGTAGTCCTCAATTTATAACAGTTCATTTATTGACCGTTCAAAAGTTACAATGGCACTGAAATAAGGGGCTCATGAACATTTTTGTTGTGATTCCTCGCCAGCCAGTGGACCTGGCAGCTGAGTCTGAGGAATCAGAGGAGGAGGAGGTGCCTGGAGTGACATCAGAGTCAGAGGAAGGCTCTGAGGAGCTCCAACTTACAGTCTGATGAGGAGCCTGGCCCCTCTACTCGCGCTCAGGCTGAGACACAGCTGTGCTAGGAATCTGAGTCGGACAGTGAGGAATCACAGCTGGGAGATATCCAGGATGCACGAAAATGCCGGCAAGAAAAGAGAGTAGGACAGAGGAATGCAATAGGGCGGCTCCAAAGGCAAAGGAGAAGGCATTAGGAAGCCACACCTTGGCTGCATAATAAAAGGGAAGGTGTGGGAGGTGCTGGTTGTCAAAGGCAACCGTTCGTGTTGAGGATCGAATTTCTGTGTTTGTTTCCTTTGTTTCCTTTGGACATTGACTCTGTGAATAATAAAAGGGGATTGTTTTTTTTCCTGTGGTTCCAGCCTGCTTGTTGGAAGAAGGGGTTTCTCCTTATGAGCTTAACAAGGACTCACGTAGGCTGGGACAGAACAATTTTTCACCCTTACAACTGTTGCAATCATCCCAATGGTCACATGATCAAAATTCAGACACTTGGCAACTGGCCTGTATTTATGACGGTTGAAGGGTCTCAGGGTCACATGATCACCTCTTGCAACCTTCTGACAAGCAAAGTCAATGGGCAAGCCAGATTCACTTAACAAACATGTTGCTAACTTAACAATTGCAGTGATTCACTTAACAACAGTGGCAAGAAAGGTCGTAAAATGAAGCAAAAAGCACTTAAACTGCTGTCTCACTTAGCAACAGCAATTTGGGCTCAGTTGTGATCGTAAGTCGAGGACTACCTGTATTGTGTGAAGTGTGGACGGATGCTGCTACCAGAAAATGGGGTGAAGGCCATTCATCTCGTTTGAGTTGAACAACTAAGATGTTTAGGGTGGAGGCTGTTTAGTGTATTTCCAAAATGTACACAAAAGCCTGCTATGAACCCCCCCAAAGAGATAAACTAGAGCTAGAGATGATGTCATCTTCACAGCCAGGAAAGGATACCTATCACAGGTAGACATATTGAAAGCCTAACAACAAAGCCTTACCTCCATCATGACAAAGCAAAGAAATACTGGAATAAGATTCACATCTGAATACAGAAGATTCTCAAAGTGAATATAAAGATAAAACCAGAAAGTTTTCTTTTGGGTTTCATGGATAAAGACATGGGAGGGGAATGGAACATTGATCTTATATACTGTATACTTTGACAGCAGCAAGACTACTTTATGACCACAAATGGAAGGATACTGATTCCCACAATGCATGAATGGCTGCAAAACGATGGAGTTACTGGATGAATGGCTGCAAAAATTGATGGAGTTGGCTAAATCAAGTGCTTTGATTAAAGAAAAAAACACAATTTTGTTTCTACTGGGAAGCCACTTCTGGACTTTGTGCTTGAGGTGGAAAAAAAATAATAAAAAGTTGGTTTTGGGTTTTACCAATTGCATGGGTTTATTGTTATAGAAATGGCTAGTTGATATCACTACGTAAAAGTAAAAAGTTGAGATTTGATGCTATTATCTTATTCTACTGCACCACAGAGAAGTCGGAAGTCAACGCCTTTTCTTTCTTTTTTCCCTTCCCTTACGCTTTTCCCTGCCCTTCTCCTTCCCTTACTTTCCCAGTATTTTCTTTTGTAGCTTTGTATTTTATATTATAAACTAATTAAAAAAAAAGATTTACCTCCATCATCACAAACAGGAGTGGTCCCATTCCATATACCGTTGGGCTGGCAGTATCGCTGGGATGAGCCAAGAAGCTGGTACCCATCAGAACACTGAAAACTCAAGATGTCACCAATGGGGTGGAAAGTTCGTCGTGGGGCGAAAAAGCCATTTTCAAAGTCTGTCTGCCCCGGGCAGCGTATGTCTGCAAAAGAGAGAGAGAGAGAAGAGATCAGCACTAGAAGACCCAAAATTTAGGCTCAGAATGAAAATGGCACAATGAAACTACATGTTTCAAATGTAAGTTGTATCTTGCCTTTTCTCCATAGCGGTCTCTGGTGATTCTCAGTCATTCAAGTCATGCTTGTGCCAAAGGTGCTTTTTCAAATGGCAACTTGGACTGCGTTGTTCCTTGAAGACGTTTCGCTTCTCGTTCAAGAAGCTTTCTTCAGTTCTGAATCAGAACTGAAGAAGCTTCTTGGATATGAGAAGCGAAACGTCGTCAAGGGACATCAAAGTCCAAGTTGCCATTTGAAAAAGCACCTTTGGGACTCCATAGCACTTGTTCCTCTAACGTGGGGTGGGCAGATAGATCCCCACTGGCATCAAGTTCCCCAGGGAGCTTCTGTGACTCAGAAGGGATTAGAACCTGGATCTCCCTGTACCTAATCCAGTGTTTCTCAACCTTGACAATTTTAAGGCATGTGGACTTCAACTCCCAGAATTCCACAGCCAGCAACGCTGGCTGTGGAATTCTGGGAGTTGAAGTCCACATGCCTTAAAATTGTCAAGGTTGAGAAACACTGACCTAATCCAACACCTTCACCACTAACCCAAACAGGCTCTTGGGCAAAGGAGGAGGAAGTAGCTCAGAATTTGGCAGGACTTGAACTTTGCTTGTCAGAAGGTTGCAAAAAGCGATCACATGACCTCGGGACACTGCAACCGTCATAAATATGAGTCAGTTGCCAAGCGTCTGAATTTTGCTCATGTGATCCTGGGAAGGCTGCACCTGCTAGTACAGCGGTTCTCAACCTGTGGGTCGTGACCCCTTTGGGGGTCAAATGACCCTTTCACAGGGGTCGCCTAAGACCATCAGAAAACACATATTTCCGATGGTCTTAGGAACCGAGACAACGCTCCTCTATCCGTCTCCGCACGGCTTCGAGCTGGGGGCCGTTGCAGCGCCGGATTCGTTTCCGTCGAGCATCTCCTAAGGGAGACTGCACTGCTTCGCGGCCCTTTCCGTGGAGGAGGCTGAACTAAGCTCTGCTGATGCTGTCGCCCTCTTGGCTCTCTCTCTCTCTCCCCGCCTGGGCGCTTCTCCAACCAGGCTGGGCGGAACTGGCAGAGCGGCCTTCCTGCCCCCCCCCCTCCCCGGCCAGCTGGAGCCGGGCAGGCTGGCAATCTTCGGAAGTGAGGCGAGGACAGGCGAGGCATGCTGAGCCCCGGGTGCGGCAGGTGAGTGGGCGGCGTCGATGCACGCTTGGAGAGCCCTTAGGGTTGGGGGTCACCACAACATGAGGAACTGTATTAAAGGGTCGCGGCATTAGGAAGGTTGAGAACCACTGCGCTAGTACCTAAGAGTGAAAATCGATAAGTCACTTTTTTTCAGTGCCGTTGTTAACTTCAGACGGTCACAAAATGAACTGTTGTAAATCGAGGATTTACCTATAGTAAATCCTGCTGGGAAACCTGGGGGCAAGAAACTGCTTAAAGATGGGAAGAGCCAATTAAGTCACTCAGTTGATGTGGAACTCCTGGAGGATCAATATTATTGTAGGTTTTAAGATCTTTGCTAATTTTTAAAGAAACTATTGCAAAATTATGTTGAATTGTCTCCATTGAGCAGAACTCTACATGCCCCGTTGTTTGCAAAGGGCTCACTGCCCTTCCCTTTCCAAATATTTTGAAGGGGGGAAAATAAAATGTGAAGTTTGTGCAGTTTTATTTTTATTCTCTTTTGGACTTTCGATATTGGCACCAGCGGATGTAATGACTAGGCAATGCCTATCACTGCATAAGCATAAATAAGCTCTAATAAGAGGAAAAAGAAACAAAAATGCTAATGGGTAAGAAACATGATGGTTTTAAATTGATACAGAATGAACATGTTATACAGACCTTGGCCGATAACCATTAACACAAACAGACCAGCATTCAACGATAAACATTCTGGCTTATCAAAAACAAACATACTCCACCACCCAGAGTAGGAACCACTGAATAAACTACGGAGCCTCTAGATCAGGGGTCTCCAAACATAGCACCTTTAAGACTTGTGGACCTCAACTCCCAGAATTCCTCAGCCAGCCATGCTGGCTGAGGAATTCTGGGAGTTGAAGTCCACAAGTCTTAAAGCAGCCACGTTTGAAGACCCCCTGCTCTAGATAGTCCTCAATTTCCAACCCTTCATTTAGGGACCATTCGGAGTAACAGCGGTACTGGGGAAAAAAGTGACTTACGGCCATTTTTCACAATTACGACCGTTGCAGCATCCCCCTGGTCACACGGTTTACATTAGAACGCTTGGCAACTGCTTCGTATTTATGACGGTTGCAGTGTCCCCGGGGTCACGTGATCCCCTCTTGCGACCTTCTGACAAGCAAACTCCAAGGAGAAACTAGATTCACTTAACAACCATGTTATTAACTTAGCCACTGCAGTGATTCACGTAACAACTGGGGCGAGAAAGGTCACAAAATGGGGGGGAGGGGAAACTCACTTAACAACTTGTCTCGCTTTGCTTAGCAGCAGAAATTTGGAGCTCAGTTACAAGTGGAGGACTACCCATAGTTATAATTTGTTAACATGATGTATAAATGGTAGCCTAACACCTACCTCTGCAACGTGCCACTTTGGTGGGTTTTCCATTAGGATGGTGCATGGGTGTCCATTTGCCATCCGACTGGCAGACCCGGCTGGGTGTGGGATATGGGTAAGTGCCAGCTGGGCAGGAAAAGGTAAGGATGCTTCCTGGACGATATCCATCGGAGAGAGAGATGTCCCCACCTTGGATCGATACCCTTGGGCAGGATGGTGTTCCATCAAGGACCAAACTTTGGGTGGCAATAGCTGCAAGGCACATGATAGGGATTATTATTATTTATTATTTATGAGATTTATATACCGCTTTAAGTGCAAGCACTCTCTAAGCGGTGTACACCAGTAAGCAATGTATATATATATTTACATTGCCCCCAACAATCTGGGTCCTCATTTTACCTACCCCGGAAGGATGGAAGGCTGAGTCAACCTTGAGCCGGTGAGATTTGAACCGCTGACCTGCTGAACACAGTCAGCTAAAGTGGCCTGCAGTACTGCACTCTAACTGCTGCGCCACCTCTGCTCTTTGACAAGATAAGATGAGATGAGATGGGATGGGATAGGATGAGATAGATCAGTGGTTCTTAACCTTTTGGAACGAATCGCCCCCTTGAGCCAATGAGGAAGTTGTCATCGCCCCCCTCCCCCAACATAACCTCTCAATCACAACATGGGAAATAATTCTTCAATTTATGCAAACACTTTTTTTGTTTTCTTTAAAATTGTTCATCAGGACGTAACGATGCAAATAATTTATTTCCAGTCTTTTCTCCATATCTCCCATATTCTGGCTAATGGCGCGCCACCGTATGGGTAGAGGCTGCTGCACAACACGCATGAAAATGAGCAATGCGTATTTACATATGTATGGCGTTCTGTACTGAAGCTAGCTGGAGGAACATTTGAAAACACAATTCAATCCACTAATAGCGAGCGATCTGATGTTTTTGTATGACAGATATACAGCCATTCACTGTACGAAAGTCTCAAAAGTGTCCCCAAAACTTCTCGCTCCATCGCCCCCATTTCGCACCCTTTTTGTTCCTTCGCCCGCACGTCGCCTCTTTTCGTTCCATCGCCCCCCTGAAAAATGAAATCGCCCCCTGGGGGGCAATATCGCCCAGGTTAAGAACCACTGAGATAGATGAGATAGATGATAAGATAAGATAAGATAAGATAAGATAAGATAAGATAAGATAAGATAAGATAAGCTTTATTGTCACTTTATTTTACTGTGGGCACAACGGCACACATCAAAAATGAAATTTAGTTGTCCGCTCTCAAAGTGAAACACATACATGACACACACCTAAACATACTACATACAACATATATATAGACCCACCCCCTACATATACATAATAAATAAATATTAAATACTATCCATCTTGAATATATAACGGAAGGAGGAAGCTTGAGAGTTCATTGGTTTTGGTTATGAAATAAAACCTTTTTATGAGATTGTCGAGAGGGAGGGAGGAAGCAAGGAACAAGAAAGTTGCTAAAAGAAGACTTCTGCTCTGAGAGATCATTATTATAGTCTTATTAAACAGATGGACTCTTTTGCAAACATTCGGGGGGAAGGAGGTGCAGACACTTCATAGAATAACAGAGTTGGAAGGGACCTTGGAGGTCATCTAGTCCAGAGCTTTTCAACCTTTTCACAGATTGTGCCACTTTTAGGACATGACACTTTTAGGACATGACAAAGTGCCTGAAGGCAGGACAAGAAGCAACGGATGGAAACTAATCAAGGAGAGAAGCAACCTAGAACTAAGGAGAAACTTCCTGACAGTCAGAACAATTAATCAGTGGAACAACCTGCCTCCAGAAGCGGTGAATGCTCCAACACTGGAAGTTTTTAAGAAGAAACTGGACAGCCATTTGTCCAAAATGGTTAGGGTTTCCTGCCTGAGAAGGGGGTTGGACTCGATGACCTCCAAGGTCCCTTCCAACTTTATCATTATTATTATTATATTCAAGTACCACCAGTGCTTAGCAAGATGTCAAAACTTGATGATTAAAAAAAAAGGGGGGGGGAATTTTGGGCTTTACTGGTTAGGTTCATTTGTTGTTATAGAAATGGCTAGTTTATAATATTATGGAAAAGTAAAAAGTTTGTGTTCAGTGTTAATGCTTCCTTCTACTGCAACCGAGGAAGTCTGAAGTCAATGCCTTTTCTTCTTCTTTCCCCCCCTCGCTTTTCCCTTCTTCTCTCACCCTTTGCTTGCAAAAGCCCCTCACTCGCTTTCACTCACTCACCCTTTGCTTGCAAAAGCTCCTCGCTCTCGCTCTCTCATTCGCCCTTTGCTTGCAAAAGCCTCTTGCTCTTTCACTCACTCTTTGCACGCAAAGACCACGCGCTCGCTCTCTCCTCACCGCTTTGCTAACAATTCTCTCTCTTTCTCCATGTGGTTTTTTTTCCTCTCCCTCTCCCGCAAAACCTGCTCCTTTTATAGCTTCTCCTCTCTCCGCCTCCTCTTCCTCCTTTTCTCTTCCGGGTGCACCGGAAGCTCCAATCAGCATGCAGCCATGTGCGCAGATCCTGGGGCATCCACCAAGCCCTGCAACTCCAGCTGATCTCCTCCAGGTCTGTGTGGCACCTTTAGCTCGTTCCCTCCACCGCTGCACTTGGCCAGGGTTCGCGTACCACCTGCCAGGTGCTAAAGTACCACCGGTGGTACTCGTACCACCAGTTGAAAAGCCCTGATCTAGTCTAACCCCCTGCTCAACAAGAAGAGTCTATACCAGTGATGGCGAATCGTTTAGAGACTGAGTGCCCAAACTGCAACCCAAAACCCACTTATGCATCGTCGAGTGCCGGGTGGGTTTGCCCCATTGGTTGGGTGTGGCCAATTGGTGTGGCCCACTGGGTGGGCGTGACTGCGATAACGGCAGACTGGGTGGGACTAAAAAGTTCAATTAATTCCAACTTTGCAAGATCTTCTTTTTTCCCGTGAGAAAGTGAAATTGACTGATTGAACTTTTTTTTTTTTTTTGCACATGGCGGCAGAGGCCTAAAGCGAAAAGGTTTTATAAAACCCAGCTGAAGGCCTAGGACTGGGGCGACGGCACGCGTGCCCACAGAGAGGGCTCTGAGTGCCGCCTCTGGCATAGGTTCGCCACCACTGGTCTATACCATTTCCGACAAGTGACTGTCCAGTCTCTTCTTAAAAGCCTCCAGTGATGGAGAACCCACAACTTCTGAAGGAATGCCGTCCCACTGGTTAATTGCCCTCACTGTTAGGAAGTTTCTCCTTAATTCCAGGTTGCTTTTCTCCTTAATTAGTTTCCATCCATTGTTTCTTATCCTGCCTTCTGGTACTTTGGAAAATATAATAATAATAATAATAGTAGTAGTAAAGTTGAAAGGGACCTTGGAGGTCATCTAGTCCAACCCCCTGCTCGGGCAGGAAACCCTACACCATTTCGGACAAATGGCTGTCCAGTCTCTTCTTAAAAACTTCCAGTGTTGGAGCATTTACTGCTTCTGGAGGCAGGCTGTTCCACTGATTAATTGTTCTCACTGTCAGGAAGGTTCTCCTTAGTTCTAGGTTGCTTCTCTCCTTGATTAGTTTCCACCCGTTGCTTCTTGTCCTGCCTTCAGGTGCTTTGGAAAATAGCTTAATTCCCTCTTCTTTATGGCAGCCCCTGAGATATTGGAATACTGCTATCATGTCCCCCCTTGTCCTTCTCTTCGTTAAACTAGACATACCTAATTCTCGCAACCGTTCCTTATATGTTTTAGCCTCCAGTCCCCTAATCATCTTTGTTGCTCTTCTCTGTACTCTTTCTAGAGTCTCAACATCTTTTTTACATCGTGGTGACCAAAACTGGATGCAGTATTCCAAGTGTGGCCTTACCAAGGCATTGAAGAGTGGTATTAATACTTCGCGTGATCTTGATTCTATCCCTCTGTTGCCCCCCTCTTCTTTGGAGCAGCCCCTCAAATATTGGAAGACTATCATGTTGCCCCTAATCCTTCTTTTCAGTAAACTAGACACTCCCAATTCCTGCATTCTTCATATGTTTAATAATCTGCTTGCTTTTGGACATTACATAGCTTGACTCACTGCTGCTCCATGTCAGGCAGAAAAATAACTTCATCAATCCCTGCCCTCCAAACTGAGATTTCAAAATTTTTTTAAAAAAACAACCCAAACCACAAACAATTTGATTTCAATCCTAATTTGCTGACGATGCAAAGTGTTTTCCCCTTCCATTTTTTAGCTTACATATCATAGTTGCTTCACATGTTATTTCCTGCCTTCCCTGAAAAAGGCAGATCTGCAAAAATTAAAAAGGGTGTGAACAAAACAATAAAAAATGATCGGAAATGGCTAGACGATCAGGAAAACAAAATCGAAAGTGTACAAATTGTGGAATTATGAAACCCTGTGTAAAGAAATATCAAATGTTGCTCTGCAAGTAAAAAAAACTTCTGCAAATGGAGATAACAACACCATAGATATGCAAGGCTATGTTTGTATCCTGGTATTGCTCCAAAGTGCACACTTTTATCCTCGCAACGAAATTGTGGCATAAGCCTGGTGCTGGCTCAGTTATTCCACACATCCTACTATACTGTACCTTTCTCTAAGGACTCATGGACCCATCTCATAGCACCTCACGTGAGAAACACCAATCTTTTTTTTAATCTACAATTGTTATCAGATCAGATAGATGTAGTCTCTTTGAATGTAGCTAAATGTTGTTATGCTGACTGCAAAACTAGGCTGACTTTGCCCACTGATTATCTACTACCAGTTGTTAAATATTATTGTTATGTCCCGAGCCTTTGCAAACGGCTCGGGCGTTTGCAGGCAGTCCCGGGCAGGTGCAAAGCTGCCCGGGACCAGACAGGCTGTCGCCAGCGCCGTGCGCATGCGCGGGTGCTGGCGCGGGAAAAGTAACCCTTTTACCCGGGAGTTGCCTATATAAGAGGCTGCGAGGCGTTTGGGCGAGGCTGAAGCCATCTTCCTGTAAGCTGAACGCTGAATAAAAGAAACTGAGAACTCCAGCTGCTTCTCGTGTCTGCTTTCCCGCCAAGGACGCAACACTGGCGACGAGGATGGGATGCCTTGCACTACCTGGAAAGGAAGAAGTGTAAGCTTACCCAAGGAGTCCTGAGCGGCGGAAGAGGAACGGCGTCGACTCGGCAGCTGCCCGCCAATCCGGTGCGCATTCGGGGGTAGGCTGGCTGATAGACCCGTCTCCTGAAGATCCGAAGATGGCGAAAATCGGAAGGC